CCTATTGGTTGCCACTAGATGAGTTTCCTCCTGGTGGTGAAGCGACCTTTGTCACCGTTGGGCGCTTTGAACAGGCACCTTTCTGGGTCCCGTCAAGAGGTGGCATTTTGTGGGGGTTCTCAAAATTACTCTTAGAACAAATTTCCCTGCAAACCACCATCCGCCAGGATTGTCACAATTACTTTGTAGATCTTTGTAGGATGGTTTCTCTTCAAACCACCAAGATCGGGTCAAGGTGGAGCAGTGGATCGTGGGTACGGTTGATGGACCAAGTCCATCTACTGGTGGCGCTTGTAAGTATTTAGGCCCTTATATTACGACGTAGAAGCAATGCCTTTACCCCTTTATGGATTGCATGCTTGTGTTGTCCAAGCTTGCTGGTTAAACAAAAGGCAGCGGGCGGTCAGTTGCCTTTGGGGTTTTTGCATTCATGGCTTTTGACATGTGCAGTGTCGGTCATGTTCCCTGTAGTGAGCAGCTGGAATGGTAGGATGTAGTATGGTGATGTCTACGGAATCATCGCGTGTCCAACCTTCTTCAGCAAAAGAGCCGCAGGATGGAACACCTTGAACGTGGCAAAGGAGCAACAATCTCATGGAAGTCACTCGAGTCGTCTTGTCAGAACCATGGCAAAGAGCAAGAACTCGAGTGCTCAACAGCTAAGCACGTGTCGCATGGAGGGTCGATGATAAATTCCAAGGCGGGCCTTGTGAAGGCACGCAGAGAGAGTCAAAGACGGGCTTCCAAGCAAGCTGGATATGTGTCAACAGGTGGTTTTCCTTTTGGTTTCCCCTTAAACCAGCCAAACAAAGGGTACCCTCAAAACAAACACACACACACACTCACAAACACTTACACACTCTCAGCTGTACATTTTGCCCTGGAATGTAAATACGGTTCCAGTTGGCAGGAATGCACACAGCAATTCCCTCGCAGACTTTGATGCCCTCGCAAGAAACAAAACAGATCGGATTTGCCTCAAGGGTTTCCAAGCCGCAGCCAAGCGTGCCGTAGCAACCAACTAGGGCGCGGTCCCGGAGGCCCGGAGCGTAGAATTGTGTCTGGCATTCTGAAAAGGAGAGGCAGTACTCGGTTGTATCTGTAAATCCAAGGTTCGCATTCTGTGAAACTTATGTTGGCACTGTGCCAAACCCACCTTGCCGTGGAAGATATTGTTGGACGGCTACAGACTGCCCAGAACCTTAGCCTGGCATTGATGACCGACGCATTTGGAAGAGTTGCAAAACAAGCGACATCGGGACGTTGTTCTCGGTTCCGGGCATATGGGATGCCACCATGCCAGGGGCAACAATTCGCGACCAACTCAGACGAGCACCATTCAGGACGGGCTATGCAATATGCCGTCAGAAGCACATATGTGCGAGGTTGCATGAGTGTCAAGATTATCAATTATGATGCAGTGGATAGAATTATTTTCATTCTGGAGATGAACGGCATTCTTGATTTGCTTGCTTCTTTCCTTTCGTGCATTTGCAGACTTTTTTGTCTGCTCGCTAGTGCATACCATGCTTTGCATTTATCCCTTTTGCTGCCAGGTGTAGTCTTCAGTTTAGATATCTTGGGGGGATTGTCCTGGTGCTTTGAGCCGCCTTTCATTTCAGCCCCCCCCCCCAGATCTTCAGCGGCGAGCAAGATTGGCTTCGAGAGTGAAGAGAATATGGAACCCGCAACGCCATCATGTCTAGAGAGATCTGTTGGGTGGACCTTCTTTTTTGGGTTCCATGTTAATGGGAGAGCAAGGGTGGGTAAAAGTGGCACAAATCTCCCATTTGGGGCGCTCATCCGCACTACAAAAAGGAAACTGTGCCAGCTACTTTTGCCCTGTATCTTGGCTTCCCTTTGGTACGACCTTGATTCCTTCACGCCTTTTACAGAAAGACTATTCCCCAACCAAGCGCGAGGTTGCCTTTCGAAGGGGGTCTAAGAACCAACATACTGGGTCCCTTCAATCAGTCAACAGGTTTCTAACAAGCAGGTTCCGATCTCTTGAACCCATGTCTTAGAACCCATTTAGCATCACCCCAAATTAAATCTCACCACATCAGGGGTTCTCAGTTCAGTCTGGGGTTCTGGTGCGGTGGCTTCCCTTTACCACCAGCAAAACGGCGGGTAGTTTTGAGGATCTCTTGCTAAAATGGACCCAGTCGTAGAGCGATGAAGCTGGACGCAGATCTGCTACCCTCAACATATGTCCTAATTGCATGCTGGCTCTTCATACTGTGGATGGTTGCGAAATCCTCTTAGGCACCACCGTTCAGAAACCCTGGAATGATACGATTCCCCTGTACATACCAACAAAGCATGGTTTCCCATGTGTTTCAGGTGGTGCAGGATTTTGTCCATCCACAGCATTGGTGTCAGCTTCTTTGATGGAATAGTGTTGCTGCACAAGACAAGGTAGCCAGGCTTTGTAGGGTAATCATCCTTAGCTTTGTCGGGCGGCTTGAAGAGGAGTCCAACGCGTAAGGGGACACCAATAGGCAAGTACTTATTGTGGGGGTTTGCCGTGAGACAACTCATTTGGACGAACTGGGCTTCGCCTTCAGGCTTTGTGACTTTTGGAGAATGGATGCTTCTCACCGACCACCAGCGTCCATAGAGGGTTTTTCCAAACAAAAATAGGGGCCCCCAAAATGGTTGTGTCGTTTTGGTTTAATTCAAGACCAGCCAAAAGGGTTCATGACAAAGGACCAAAGGACACGCCCATATGTCCCGTTTTCGTGATGTTTAAGGGCATAGGGGGAAATACGGGGAGCCCTGAACCAGCAAAGGGTGAGCAGTGTTTTTTTTGTTTTGCAGTTTGTCGGCTGGACTGATCCATATTTGACATAAGGAGGGAACATCCGAGATTGATATAGTAACAAGTACTAACACGGTGTTGAGCTCATCTACTCTCCCACCAAGAGCTGGGCCTATTAAATTAGGCATCCTCAAGATTGCCCTCCAAATGGCGAAGAACCCACCGTGGCCCAAAAGTTATTTTGAGAACCCCTGACAGTGTTGAGCCTTGGGCATGTGTCGACATTGAGCGACTTTGGTTTTCCTTCTGGTTTCCCGTTAAACCCACCGTCACACAACCTCACCAATCCGAAACAACAATTAGACCTACCTGAATCATGTGCCAATTGTAGTTTCCCAAAGAACCCATTTCCTATGTTCCATGTAAAATCGGTGGGAGGGTGCATGGCCTTCCATTTGCTTAAGAATATTTGTTTATTTTCCCTTGTGGTTTTAAAAAGAGTTTATCCCTACTGGACCTATATTTTTTTCCAGTGGTCTTAACCAAATGGAAGGTAATCCTGAATTGGAGGTTTGGGTTGGTTTGTGGATTGAACCCTTTCTTGAGGGTAAATGGGAGATCACCCCTTTACACCAAAAAACAAATAATAATAATAATAATAATAAAAATCAAAATAATAATGAAAATAATAATAATAATAATAAACATAACCAACAAAAAAACGGTGGGAGGGTCAAGGGCGGTGTCTCAGGTTCCGAGGCTTAGCCAGCGGTTCTGGTGTCGCAGGTGGCGCTCCTGGAGCTGCTGCGGCGGCTCCGGCTCCCCGCGCGGATCCTGCCCAACCCGGGGCGCCTGGAGGTGGCGTTGTCAAAACCGTTTTGGGATCCCATTTTAGGTAGTAAATAAATTCACCATTCATTTTAGAGCCGATTTTAGTGGGGATTGGGCTGTTCACTGGGGGTACGATTTGGATTTTGACCCATGGCCAGGTGACGTTGACCTCGGAGGACCTGCGGCAGTTTCAGCGAAAAGAAAAAAGCTGCGGAACGAGCCATGCGCGCAGAGACCGTGTCTTGCTTGTCGACCAGTTGTTGGGTGACGTTTTTGTTGGTTGGTTGGTTGGTTGGTTGGTTGGTTGGTTGGTTGGTTGGTTGGTTGGTTGGTTGGTTGGTTGGTTGGTTGGTTGGTTGGTTGGTTGGTTGGTTGGTTGGTTGGTTGGTTGGTTGGTTGGTTGGTTGGTTGGTTTGTTGGTTTGTTGGTTTGTTGGTTTGTTGGTTTGTTGGTTTGTTGGTTTGTTGGTTTGTTGGTTTGTTGGTTTGTTGGTTTGTTGGTTTGTTTGTTTGTTTGTTTGTTTGTTTGTTTGGTGTTGTTGTTATGTTTGGTGCTTCTTTTGCTCCTGTCTTGTTGTGTTCTTTTGTTGCTTGTCCGTTTGGTCTTATTTCAATTAGTTGTTCTGCAAGGCGGGACACGAGGTCCAGGAAAGACGAATGCCATGTTCTGTTCCCCTTGGGCGACTCCCGGCTTTGGGCCCCTTTTTAATTCAATGACTCGCTCAACGCTTTCGGTTGGGCTCCGGAACCTTCAACTGGCTTTGTGTTTGTCTTGGGCGTGAAGCCATTATGACATATAAACACGCGGCGATTTGTTTCCGTTGAGGGTGGCCTTTTGAGCTTGGCTTGTGGTGAAACTGGGGGTCCACAATCGACCGGGGTTCACACCAGCCACGGGTAGAAAAGTCCATCTGAATCTGGTCGGTCCACCAACTGTCAACCCACCTGTTTTTTGGGCCCAGCCAAAAGTCAGCTACCCCTTCAGCGGTGTTGGGTGGTTTGGGGATTTGAGCCCCAGTTCCTTTGAAGCCAAATGGGAAGGTGCCAAACCTATCGTCCAAACCACCAAATCAAACCGCCAATTGGGGGCAAGGTAAAGAAACCAGTTTTTGGCCCCTCCATTTTGACGCATCCCCAAATGGGTTTCTCTCAACAGAGGGGTCCATTTCCCAACATGGTTTTGTCTATTGAAAAGTGCCACCTTAGATGGGACATGGTTCCAAAAAGGCAAATGGTTCCTTCAGATGAAGCATTGCCTTCACTGCGGGCCCTACTGTGACCATCCATATCCATATCCAATGGAGGAAAATTTCCCAAAGGGAAATGGACAGTTTCTGTTGAACGCGCCCCCAAAAAAAGTTTGGTTCCACAAGGGGACATGGACCACCAAAAGCGGCGGGCCGTGGGAGGTGGCCCTGGATTTGCTGCTGGCGCTGCCAGACGCCGGGCCTGCTGGGCAGTGGCCGCAGGTTCCGCTGCAGCTGCACCAGCTGCTGGGCCGTGGCCGCCGCTGGGACTTTCAGCCAAAAAGAGGGCGCCAAGGGAAATCTGGGAGTGTGTGGTTTTGTTTTTTTTGGTATTTGTTTGGTATTTTTGAGTATTCTTGGGTATGTTTTGTGTATTTGTCGGTATTTTTTTATATGTTTCGGTATGTGGGGTCTTTTTGGGTATTTTGGGGTATGTTGGTAGGTAGGTAGATAGGTAGGCAGGTAGGTCGGTTGGTCAGTTGGTCGGTTGGTCGGTTGGTCAGCTGGTCGGTTGGTCGGTTGGTCGGTTGGTCGGTCGGTCGGTCGGTTGGCTGGTTGGTTGGTTGGTTGGTGAGTTCTTCGCCTATTCAAATCATGTCCGCCCAGAATCCCCTGTTCTGAAATGCAATTTGGGCAGGGAAATAAATGCCTGGAATTCCTTGTAGCGGCCTATTTTCCGGCGACGGGGGTAAAACGAGCAGAAGCCATGATGTAGCGTGTTTGACTGGGGCATCCATTTCATACTTCAGGGTTTGGAAGTTGTGTACAATTATGTTCCCTTTTGTCGGCGACACTGGAAAATGGAAGTGGGGATGTTTGATCGGAAACCGCGTGACCGGAGCGGCCGGGCCGGAACTTTCTTGATGGTGTGTGGCTTCTATTTTAAACTGCAGGAAGTAGGTAGTTCTACTCAGCTGATTTCATGGTTCCGAAGCCCCACCAAATCGATGGCTTCTCTGCTTTGGTTTGCCTTCTCAAACTGGGGAACCGGTCCCCTGACAAAGTTTATGGTGTTCCACTTTCCGTTCACAGACCCTCAGGTGGCTGGTGGACATGCACCCCCAGCTACTTTTTTGGGCCTTTATTTAAACAGACAAAGAAACACCTTCATTGGAGGCAAACCTTCGGTTCTCAAAGATCCAGCCCACCTAAGCCCATTTTGTCAAGCCGCGTGGAGCATTGGGCTTTGACATCATTGACTCATTCGATGAGGCTTTGAGTTGGTGAACATCGTTCAGACTGTTTTGCAGCCTTTTGGCATTCATGATGTTTTGGCTGTTTCGGCAAAAGATCGGGCAAGTGGCGTTGACCCGTTTCTGTTTTCATGATTTGAATTTGACATCACATGCGCCACAATCAAAACCCGGTAAATGAAGGTTAGTAAGAGCTACTCTCAACCGCAAATAGGTGCGGCCGCCTTGGTAACTTCTTACATGGCTTTGACTTCACCATATTTGTACCAGGTTTTGATGATGACTCACATTATCTACCCTCTGGTGGAATCAGATGCCCGTGACCTTCACCTGTGCCGTTGACCTGTTGGCAAAGTCTTTGCAGAGAGAAGCTTCGCCGCGCAAACGTCAGACACTTCAGATGATCCAGACCTGCGATGGAAATTCATGCGAGATAGAGGGATTGAGATAGGGAGATGCAGCAGTCGAAGTCAACTCACTTCATTGCCTGCTGCATGGTGTAAACCTCATGGGTTTCATGAAACATAATGACTTGTGTTCATGTCAACAAACCAATGCCATCCTTTGCTGGATTATTGTTCAATAAGGGCCTTTGATCCAAAGCTTTGTGTGCCTCAGACACACAAGAGGAACGCGATCATCATTTCCTTTGGGTCTATACAAAGCCGAGTGACGCTGTTTGTCCATGCCCCTGCACCGTTCAACAGCTCGGTGGCTTCCTGGTGAGTGAGATTGGCGCCTTGCAGAATGGTTTGCCTAGGCTCAAAAACTCACTCCCTGGGTATGGACTACACTGTTTGGGAAGATCCCACCAAAAAGTTTGAACTGTTTTGGCCAACCCACGCAAGAAGTGAGGTTATAAACAAAGGCCCCATACGGAGGTTAGCCCCAACCAAACCTTCGAATGCCACGCAGGCGACGAGGACGTCTTCCGCTGCGGGGCAAAGTTCCCTGCAAGCCTCGAAGGCATTTGGCCCAGCTTGGAGCAAGCTGTGCGAGGAGGCCAGGGCCTCGTCTTTCGATAGCGGCAAACTGAGTAATGGGTACCGTTGATAGTGCAGTTTGTGGACAGCGTGGCAAAACGGATCTTCCAGAGGCTTGGACACACAAATGGAAGCATGGCTTGAATCAGATGCAGCTAAACCTCGGCAGTTATGGCTCCTAGATTGTGCCTAACATGTCGTCGCCCCGGACATTGTTTAGAAGACAACATCAGTGTTTAACTTGTGCTCTCCGGCGGGTGTGCTTATCATTTGGTAGGCGTGTGGAAGTGCTCAGCGTGTGCTCTTGAGCGGGCGCACTTATCATTTGGCGGGCATTTGCGCAGTGCTGAGGATAGCGGCGTAGCAGGCCGGGACAGACATCCTTAAAAGACACGCGGACCGGCAACCACCGGGTACCTTCTAGTGGTGGGGCGGGGGGATACCTGGCTTTAGAAGCGGATTCAATCAAGGCCTACGCAAACCATCTTGGAGCTGTGCGTCCAAGCCCTGCACAGAAGCTTTGAAGGTGTGCTTCAGGTATCTTGGAGACATTGAACGCGTGCTCGGCGTGCTAGACAAGTCGCCACACAATTTGGGCAATCTGTAAGGGAGGCAGTGCCTGCGCACCGCCAGCAAAATCCAGAAAAGCCGCAGGAATGCTGCACCACGCGTTGGATGATTGACACAGTGGCTTGCGGAAGGGGAATGCAGCGCCTTTGTTTCTAGGAGTTTTTTTGTGTCACCTGTTTTGAGACGGTCCTCTGCCACCAGTCATGTTGTTTGGGTTGATATCGCCGGTTAGCTGGATCCTGACAGCACGCGACAAATACGATGTTAAGGTTGCTGTCCTTCATATTGTATCATGCAATCCGTGCACAGCTGCAAAAAGAGGATGTTGTTTTTTTTCTCAAGCAGAATCCATCACACAGACGGGTGCCCTGCTGCTATGCTGACGGATGTTGCCGAATGTCCTAGCAGTTCTTGAGATGAACCACATATTTATTTTCACTTCGCTCGGGCGACAACTTTGGCAGAACTTCCGGTTAGCAACACGAGAAATGCTAAGATGCGGACACCAACAGTGTCCCAAGCCTCCAGTTGGCTGCTTCAAGTTGCTACATTGCTTCTAGCGGGATTCCTTAGGTCAGCAAGAAGGGGATGTCCTTCTTCCTTGGAAATCCAAATACCTTAGGTGGAATTCACTGGCCAGGCTTTGCACTGGACTGCACGCATTTACCTCCAGCAGCTTGGTTTCCGAGAGCCGGGACACTCCAATTCCTGTGGGCCAAGGGACGCTCCTTAGGTGAGAAGGTAGTCAGGCTGGCCTTCTGTTCTATCACAGTTGCTGCCAGAAACCTCAGTGACTTGAAAGTAGTTTTGGCAATGGATGGGAATCCTTTCCAGTGCGTGAATTAAAGTTGGTGCTGGTAGCACCGCTTGTTGCGCGGCTACCAGAGACAGAGGCTTGGCCAAGGTGGAAAGAACGCTTGTGAAGTACCATGATTGGCCCCGATGATTGTCAGTTTTCAAAAAACTCACCCGAGGTTGCTTGGTTGTGGCTATGCCACAAGTCAACAAGTCAGGAGACGCACATGATGAATTCTGGTGTATTGACTAGTAGAGCTTCTTGTGCTTGCTGTTTTGCTTGACAAGGGACCCGTGTCTTGTCCAAAACATAGCAATTTGTCCGCTGACATGTGCTTGTTTTCTGGAGGCATTCAAGATAGGTCACGGATAGTCTGCCAGTGCCTGACCTTGCTGGCGCGGCCGGTCTCTGTCGCGAGGAACTCATCCGGGCCGCCAAGAGGTATAAGGCCTCAAGGTCTAGTCTTTGGTGCATTATGCTTGGATGTTAGGACTTGAATTTGTTGCCAACTAATGGGTTTTCATAATCCACGAAGAGTTAAACTGTTAGCAGGGGAACAGATAGCAACCGAGTAGTGTTTGGGGGAAGGTACTCATTGGACCTGCGCTTATTATGGCTGAGTGATGCAATCTTAGGGTTGGACAGCCAAATCGCCAAATCGAGCAGCTCACTTGATCCTTTGCCGGGATGTTCCTTAAAAGATGACTTCAAACCTCGGGGGGATTAGCCGCTTGAACAGAAGGATGGGAACTCGGGAGTCAATCTGCACATTCCTTGCGTTCCCATTTTTCCTCGCTTTTTTCAGGTGGGTGTTCCTCTAAAAATGGTCAACCCCAACAAGAGATGGTTCCTCTTGTTCTACATGTCGGGCTGGTTGCAACAGGTTCACCCCGTGTACTCGCTGCTCGGGGCACAGGTGGTGGTTCTGGCTCTCGGCCCAATGGGGTCCTAAGTTCTGAGCCTCCCCTGTCCAGCTTGTTGGGACCTCTAAATGCCATCGGAGTGTCGCTGGAGTAAATAAATGTATAAGCAAAACAAACCAAACTTTCCTGGGGCCAAAGCTCCACAAGCTGAGGCCGCTGGCTTGCGGTTGAGAGGCTGCGCGCTCGAAGCCTTGCAGAAGGGCCATTTAAGCGCCGACGCTCGCGCGCAGACGGGTTCGGGAGAAAAGGGCCAGTTGGTTTGATCATGACTTTGGCCAGGCCTGCGCCCCACACGCATGGTTTTCTGTCCCCATTTTGCTGGCCTTCTGAAGTGGGGGGGGGTCTCCCATATAATGTCGACTTCACACTAAGGCTTGGCTCCCCTTTCAGTGAGGAACTGAACCATGTTTTGTGGGATTCCTCGGATGAGTATGGTCCTCCGGATGAATCCGAAGTAAGCGTCAAAGACTCGTTTTGGCTTGATATGGGTTGGGCATGGGGCGCTGACCAGTCCTTGCGAAACAGTGGATCGCGTTGAAGCTCTGATTGCTTGCGCTTGGCTCTTGGGAGATGTGTCAGTTCTGGCTGAGCCTGGGCACTTGGGGGGTCTGTGGCAGAGCCGCCATACCCCGTTACATACCTATGTAACAACTTTTGCAGAGAATGCTTTTGCTGAAGAGTCAACTTGCAGAGGGCTTGCCATTTAGAAGAAAAGTTGGAACAGGTAGCGGGGAGTGGCACTGTGTGTATTGAAATATACTTGTCAAGCACTGCTTTCCCGCAACACACCGGAGTAACAAGGACCCCCGTGACATACCTCTGCAGCAGAGTCGCGCATTACGCGCCCTCAAGCAAAAACCATAGCCCCAAAGCGCAGTCTTCTTTGGAGACCGAAACAATGGATTTTTGGTTTTGTTTGGGGAGCGCGAGCATTTGCAGCTTGCCGTGTGGCTTTGAAGAAAGGCAATATCCGACCGTCCAGCACTTGTTGCCATGCGCGCTTTCGAGGGGCTGATGAAGCAGCGGACTACATTTCTCATCGATGTTTGTATGTCGAAGACAGCCAGGATTGGCGTTTGATTGGTTGGAGAGTGTGTTGCCTTTGAACAGGATCTCTGAAAGGGGCATATTTAATTAGGCCAGCTGATTTAGAGGACTATCTTGCAAATGAGGTGTGGTTTTGGGTGTATCCTTTAAGATTCGTTGATCAATCCGGGTTCGACATCTTTCGGAGGTCCATGCAATGCGTACCAGCAGTGAACGGGGAACGCTCTCAGGTCAGCATGCTGTTGGAGCTGCCTAGCTCGGGACTGGATTTGTTGGACGCAGCGGATTTTCTCTTGCTCCTCGGCTGTGGTCTTCCGTTTTGTCTTCTGGGCTTCGATGTGGACCGTGTTTGCATGTGCACGAGAACGCGTGCTCATTCAAGCCAAGTCGAATTCAGCCTAGCTTTGGATTAGCGTTGCTTTCCCCAGTTGGCTTGCATCGGTTCCGATGATTCAAAGTTGGTTCATCTCAGGACTGGCCGGAAACATGCGTGATCTGTTGGGGAGCTTTCTCAGAGGCAAACATGTCCTTTGCAGCTGGGGTGGGTGCAGGCATGATGGCCCGGCCGTGTTTCGCAGCCACGGTCGTGCACGTTCACAGGTCAGGAGCACTTGGCAGACATGTATGTGAGCGACCGGCAAGTTGGATTTACGTGAATTTGTTTCAAGCTATTTTCTTGCAGGTGATTACAAAACCCATTTCCTTTGCCACATTTGCTCTGCAGAACTCAATGCATCCTTCTCCAACGAACCAAAGGGACCCCGAGACAAAGCTGTGTTGCATCTCCAGCTCTCAACTTCAACCACCGAGTCAACTCTTTGTTGTCACAGAGTCCTTTGCAAATTCGACTCATTGCCTGGTTGTATCGTGAGCTTAATCAGCGAGGTCCCCGAGGTCAACTATTGATTTGAAGATGCGAACCGAGACACAAACACAGGCACTGGCATAGGCCAATTGCAGAGCAACGGACGCGTGGAGTTGGTCTGCGTATCGTGCAGAAGTGACTGACGACAATGCATTCTGCTAAGCTACATGTTCCAAGGCCACTGGATGCCCTGCGCCCAGCTTGTTGCCCCCAATAGCCAACAAGGGCAAGCTACAGTAGTTCACCAGGAAGTTTATAGCAGTGAGTTTCAGCTGGTCGGCTGGGAAGCTGCTTAGCAAATTCAAGAATTGCAAAATCAGCCTAGGTGGTATCTCCACCAGCATCCCCGGGAACCCTTCCGGAACTTCTGGAAGGTGCAGTATTGTTCCCAAATCTGCATTTGTCCAGGCAGCAAGCCAGCCAGCCAGCCAGCAAGCAATCGCCATTTGACTGTTGCGAACTTGCAGCGTCGGCAGATCCAAGGTTTCTCGGTTTCTCCGACTCCGGCCATGCTCCGAGACTCGCATAACACAGCCTTGGATGTCAAACGCAGCCTGACCAGATGGCGGATCATAGCCATCCCACACGCTGCAAATTGCTTTCGCTGGCGCTATGCCTTGTGCTAGGGCTATGGCGCTTCAGTACCCCGTATTTTCGGGAGCTAAGCAATAACCAACATTTACTCTGATCGTGAGTGAATTTGGTTCCAAAATACAGACCAGCACCCCCCCCAACCATTGCTTTGCGGACAGTGCTGAAGGTTTTGGACATGCAAAAACCGTTGTTGGGGTTCTGTCGCCCACGAATATTCAGCAATTCAACAACTTCCATGTGGCAAGAACCATGATTCAAGGCAGTTCATTTTAGGCGTGCGGCGGACGTCGCTGCGCGGCTCGCCTCCCTGGAGCTTTGGTCGCGGCTCTTGTCGCAGCTGAAAGCCACCGCGCCGGGCGAGCGGCGCAGCGCCTTCGCGCGCTTCAGTGACGGCCCCCCGGCATGAGAGACAACGGGAACTGACGACCGGGGTATGTGTGCGACCGCATTGCCAAGTACACACGGGAACCTCATCTTTTGGGGGTACCTTGTTGTTGGGTTGGGTTTAAAGGGAAATACGTTTTTGAAGAAAGACACACCCGCAGTTCCAAATGTGCAGGTAGCATGCTGTGTTCCAAATGAATCAGGGAGTGAAACCTACTATGGCAGCTGACTTGGCAAAAGAACTCTAGAGACCTTGTCGGGGCGGTTGCTTCGCGGAGGTGCCATGACATCCATAGTCAGGGACTTCGTGGACAAGCATGGATGCTTCTTCGTGACCAAGGCCCCTTCACTGTGGACCTCTGTTTTTGGGCAGCTGTGCAGTGGTGCCATTTCTCATAGGGCCATCCTGGTTCGGAACCGGACTCCAGCCTTGGGATTGGTGAGCGGATTCGTTCTGAACTTCCTGCCCCTTGCCGTGGATTGCTGGATGGCTTCAATACTGAATGGTGCTTTAGTCAACCCCGTCTTCCTTGTGCAGACCGTGATCTTTGGAGCATCGGACTGGAAGGGTCTTTCCTGAAGGTTGCGCAGCAGGGATTTGGCCCTCCTTTCACGGTCATCGTGCTGTTCTGTGGAGGATTTGCAGGTTGGCTACATGCAGTCAGGCTGCTGGAGTTGCTGACGAAACACTCCTGGATGACCAATGGACTGCGCTGAAGTTGCACTGCAGGTTTGCTTTCTTTTCTGGCCATTTTGTTATGGCAGCTTCGGCTGGCTTCTCATTGGGCCCTTCGTTCTCTGATCTGTTGTGCTAGTGGCAGCTGCTTGCGGTGTTTAGATTGCACTAGCAGCGCCATCCGCAACCACTTGTGAGGCTGGCCAACTGTGTCTGCCGTTGTGCCCTTTGTGTTTGCTGGCTGTGGATTCTGCCAAGCTAGTGGGATACACTTTGGCTATGGTCGTCCTCTTGCAGGCTGAAGTTGCACTACAGGATTTCATTTTTCTGAGGCTTCGGCAAGCTTCTCATTTGGCACTTCGTTCTTTGATCTTTTGAGCTAGTGGCAGCTGCTTGCGGTGTTTAGATTGCACTAGCAGCGCCATCCGCAACCACCTGTGAGGCTGGCCAACTGTGTCGGCCGTAGCGCCCTTTGTGTTTGCTGGCTGTGGTTGCATTGCATGGCCTTCCTGTCCTGTGCTGCTGATTATTCAGCCTCGGAGTTCCAATCTTTGAGCCGCCTTCAGCCAGAGGCTCCCCTTTTGTTAGGCCTGCGCACTACTGACTGGCTTTGCCTGCTCGAGTCGGCTGGTTGCGCCGTTTGCTCTGGAGCGTCCACCTGCTCCAAACCTTGGCGCATGGCCGTTTGGATCTCCTGGCGGCTTGCTTCTCGCTAGGTTTCCTGCGCGGGCACCTGCTCCGGCAGACTGTTTCGTAACTCCACTGTCATGGGCCGGTCCGCATCTGCTCAGGCCCGTCAACAAGCGTCGCGGTCCTTTACTTGGGGCCCCCTATTTTTCGGCTGTGGTGAACATTGCAGATGTCTATAAGACAAGGGGCGATGCTTCTGATTCCCAGAAGGGTGTTGTGTGATTAATTTTGTCTCATCATGCAACCTGACTTTCTGCGTTCATATGTACCAGGCTTGTTGAACAGGATTGCAAGTCAACTTGTAAACGGGTAGTGTAGTGAACCTTTGAATAGCTGCCTGAAAGGTAATAATCGGCATGCGAGTCTCGCTGCCCGTGTTCTGCTTTGCGTTGGGGTCTGATTCATGCGGCAATTGGACGTCGGCAAGCGTACCTGATTGATTGGTGACGCTCACAGAATTGAGGGTACATCCCAATGTATCTCAATAAATGTGTTCCACAAAGTGACCATGGAGATGACCTGTGTCTACGACTTCTGGAGACCCCATTCATGTCGAGCTGCAAGAGCGTCGTCAAATAATTGCGGCTTATGAATGACAATGCGTTCGTCCATGGTACTGGTGCTAACTAGCTCATAATATGTGTGTTGTCCTTCCCAAAGACAACCAAACGGGTTGGCTAATTGTTACTCCAGGAGACAGCTAGATGACACAATTCCCATTATATTGCGAGGTAAGGGCAATGACTTAAAGACAAGTAGGAAATGGTCAATCCACTTTCATGGAAGTGCAACTCTTCCAGGAGACCCTATCTTGCTGGTGCTCGGTAGGGAATGAGGGAATGAACCCAAGGGTCCCCTTGAAGGAAACCACCAGTTGCTTCCCTGCTGAGCACCAGCAAGCTATGCCCCTATTCAATACCCAGGACACGTTTCTCTTTGACTCCTTGGCGACTCTCGTGAATCCCTTGCCGCTGTCGCCTGAAAAGGCGTATTCCTGGGCGCGCTCTGGCAAGATGGCGCCTTGGCAAAGAAATGTTTCTCCGTGTGGCCGCAAGTTGCATGCATCAGCAAGGGGACCCCGCCAAAAACTGGAAAAACAAATCAATATATAAGTAAATATATAGCTAAATGAATAGTGAGTGTCCTTTTGCTGTCGCTTTAAAAAACTAACTCCCAAAGGGCTACCCCCAAGAAAGCGACCCAAATAGTGAGTAGATCCCAAGATTAGCCAATTTCAAAATCAAAACCTGAGTTGTTTTGAGTAAACGCAAACGGCCATGGGATGTGTGATTTGTTGACAAACCAACTTTGGTGAATGCCCATGTGTGTTGTCTTGCTTCATTTTGGACAGTGTGGTTGTTTTTTCAGGGCACCCCTTGCTTCATCGTTTTAAAGCGACACCAAAAACGAACACCCGAGCTGCTTTCTTTTTTTGGGAGTACAAATCCGCTCGAAACCGCTGAGCTCCGTGCCGTTTGGAGCTATGCCTCAAAGCCTTGGACTCGTAGTGGCTCTCGGATGTCCCTCTCGGCAAATGGACAGGGAGCCCAAGCAACCACCGGAACCGGATGGTTTTCTTAGCATGGAACCAAGCCAGACGTAGAGGAATGTCCGTTCGGGAAATGGACCTTGTTTCGGGTTCCATGTTAAAGTTGTAGGGAGTAGTGGGTGGATTTCTCAACCTCAATGACCCTCCCCAAATAAGTTGTTTTGCCCAGTGACATGTTTGGACCACGGCCAGGCTTTGGAGCCTCAGCTTTTGTTTGGCAAGATTTCGGGTGGAAGTGGATGGCACAATTCACTTTGTGTTGCTACGGTTCAAGAAAGGGAATCCCCAAAATGCCACCTTGGTACATGGAAATAAAGACTAGAATCCGGGTAGCCGAAGCTGTTTTATTTGGCCCTATATTTATGGTAACAGGGGATGGCCTAAGCCAAGTTTTTGGGAATGCCATCTACTTTCACCCTGTAATCCGTCTAGTTAGACCTGGGAGCCAGAATCGTTCCTTACGATCGGAGCTTTGAGATTTAGTGCGACTGCGGAAGCATGCATTGTACCTATGGGAAACCGCCTTAACTTAGTGTTTCTTTCACCCTGCTGACACCTTGTTGTCTTTTTTCCTGAGACATTCGGTCAGGCTCACTCACGAACGCTGATCATTTGCAGTTGAGATTCGAGCTCTAAATGTTCAACAAATCCGGAATGCTCACCAAATGTCCCAACAAATCCCGGGGACGGAGCCTCATTTTCCAATGTTATTGGGAACCAAAGGCATAGTGCATAGTCGGACAAGTTACCCTGTTGTATGTGTCTATGAATCCTCTGCTTGGAATTTGCAGATCCGGAGGGCTGGTCTCAAAATAGAGCCACTTTGCCTCGTCATATTCTCTTTTTCCCCACCCCATGTCCCGTGTCCTAACAAAGAAGAAGGGGATGGGTTTAGACCACCCCCTTTTCCCGAAAAAACGACCTCCAAGCGCTCGCGCCAAGACGCGAGTGAAGATGTGGAGGCGCTGCGGGAGGGTCTCTGGAGCCTGGCTCAGAACTGGCAGCTTACGCCGGAGCGCCCCACCCTGCTGGCCTCTCGCCGAAGAAAAATCGAGCGACGCAATCGGAGCCATGCGGGTGGCTCGTCTTTTTCTAAGACCCCGCAAAATGGCTTTGGTTGCCCTGTTAGTTTTCCTTTAAAGCCCACCACACAGGGGCTTCACCAAAAGAAGACACCGAGCAACCAACCGATTGTGCTTTTCATTTTTTGAGCAGGGGGGGTGGGGGCGGGAGGGGGGGGGGCAAATCCAAGGGAAGATTCCATGGAAAAAATACAGCAGGGCCCACAACACCCAGAGCCTAAATGTCCCATGTCCTCGTAGGAGGGCAAGACTTATGAATGGCTGGCTTGCCTTTGGTTTCCTTTGAAACCAACCTAAGAAAGGGTGCCCTCACCAGAAGCTCACACACACACATGCCTGTTTGTGATTTATTAGGCTCTGTGAGTGCCTTTCGCAGTGGCAAGGTTGCTTGCACGGGATATTTAAGACCAGTGCGCTTTAGCAGAAGCTGAATCTATCGAAACACTCCCATGACGCCATGAGCGAAAAGCAGCGTCGGCAGGAACCTGCTTTATGCTTTGGACTAATGGTGGTTTTGACGCAATATGTCCGATGTAGCTGTTTGTGCATATGGTGTAGTCTTGTTTTTGGGCAGACTTCCAGCTTGCAACCTTGGCGAGGTCAGGTTTGTAGGGTGATGAGGTTTGTACGCAAGCATCCGGGATCCTACTGAACATCGGCGGTTGCGCTCTGAGGTCTTCGATATCTTGCATCCCAGGAAGTAAACATGCCTTACCCCTTCCACAGTGATTGCGTCCAGGGGACTGTCTGTGTGGGACGTGGACAAGAGGATCCCCCGACAGGGGGTAATGTCCATGGTTGGAACAGCCTCACTAATTGGTTGCATTGGATAACTCCCACCACACATTTCCGTCAGGGCCCAGCCAGTCAAAGTTCATCACCGCATGTTTGTTTTGACTTTTTGAGCTTCCCCTTCGGGTGCAATGCTGTTTGGTGGCTCCATGGGCAGCGGAGCAAATTGCCGGCTGGGCCCCATGCCATGTTGCTCACGTTTTTTGCCATGGGCGAAGAGCCCGAGACATGTCCGCAAAACTGGGCCCAGTCTCGCCTTGTGGGAACAAGACATGAAGGACCATGGCTCAAGTGGGTCGAGGCTAGCCCCCTTTTTGTGGCTTTACAGCAGAAGAGAAAAGGACCCCCCCCTTTTGGGGATCCAAATCCTGAAAAAAAGGCCACACCCAAGTCCTCTTGAGAATCCATGGAAGCACTCAACTCATTTTGTCTCCGGAGGAAGCTGCCCAGCAGAAGCTGCAGGGGGACTGGCGTGAAGTGGAGGTGGCACTTTGGCTCTTCGCCAAGCAGCTCGGTACAGAAATAGCGGACACTTCTGGGTCCCCCGTTGCGCCGATTGCGGTGCTTCTTTAGTCTGAGGTGGGGTCAGTTTTGAGTGTGTCATTATTTAGAGCCACTCATTGGAATGGTGTCGTGATGGTTGTAAGCTTTCGCAGATTCAACTACTGCTGCCTAAGAAAAATCCGACAAATGGTAGTTCTTGATGGAAGCCATCGGTACCCAACAGACATCAATGGAGAACCCCTTCAACCATGTCGAGACTTGGGACCCACCGCCCCAGCCAGTGGCTTGCCTAGGTCCCCCAGTAGTGCCCTTCTCTCCCCTTTTTTGGGGGGAGGGTCCTACTAAAATAGACTTCAGAAAAAAGATCGGGTACCAACTTATTCCAAGCTCTCCACTGGAGGACCTAGTGGAGTTTGTTTTGGGGGTGTCCCAATTGTTGTGGTTTCAAAAGGGAACTGAAGGGAAACAACTGAAGAAGAAAAAAACTAAGCTCTTCAGTTGTTTCCCTTCAGTTGTTGTTTCCTTTCAGTTGTTTCCCTTCAGTTGTTTCCCTTCAGTTGGTACCAACTTACTGTATTCTAAGCTCTCTACTGGAGGACCTAGGTGCCCTTCTGATGCCCCGAGCGTTCTTCGTTCTTTCCGCGCGATGTTCGACGAGGTATGCGAAGAGGAGGCCGGCCGGAGAGCTGCGGCCAGCAGTGCAGGCACGGCTTTCTTGTGTTGAACTCGGTGGCTCCCAGCCATCCGGTCCCTTAGCTCTTTAAAAGCTTTTTGGTTGGTTTAGTGGTTGGGTTTCCGAGTTTAACCGAAATGTGAAACTTTTAGCAGGGGATCTGAGGACAGCCCAGTTAATTTCAGCCCTTCCCCTGATTGGTGGTTTGGATTTGGATTTGAACCCCTGGTTCTTGCAGAGTGTAAATGGCAAGCCGCCCCAGACCACGAAACCACCAATCCAATCCACCAAGTAGGGGGACGCTGAATTGGTGGTTTGGATTGGTGGTTCGGATTGGTGTATGGTTGGAGCCCCGGTTCTTAACTTGCAAACCGCCAATCCAGAACACCAGTCAGAGGCAAGCTGATGTTTTGTGCCTATTTTGTCAGGGGTCATTACTTTGCCTGTCTTGGGTTGTTTCCCTTGGACCTACCACTTGGAGCGTGACTTTCAGAAGTGTAGGCCGCGCACAGTGTGGGCTGTGTACAGTAGATTCTGATACAAAAACATATCCAGCTAAGCCTTTTTGTTGGTTGTCAGCGTGGGGCATCAATTGGTCACTTTGAAGGTGCTCTTTGAAAGAATTGTTACGATTACGAAGCCAATAGATGAACAGGGATTTGATGTTGACATTTTGCTACTGATTGTCCACTTGCCAATTTGACTTTTGGCCGGATAGTATGTTCGTTGTCCAAGGTTGCGCCGAACCAGGGACCAGCCCAAAACATGTGTGAAACTTTTTGTTACATGGATCATTGGGCAGGGATTGTGTAGGGCTTTCCTATCTTCAGTGATTCCGGGTTGTTCCGAATGACCAGCTAGACAATTCTGCAGGGCAGTGTTCCGGACGTCTGAGACACTTAAGCTGAGAAACCACAATGATCAAGATCAAAGTTTGTCACAGGCTTAGCACGGGATGACATTTGGCTAGTAATTGTAAGGGAGATGAGCTTTCTCATGTGACATGAGACAGCACAGACGATTAACCATTAACTATTGGCACCTGCACGTGCGCATACGGACAGGCACGAAGCTTTTTGGGTTTGTCTTTTGCTGCGGGTACTCCCTATTGGTTCGTTTCAAAGGGAAACCGTCAGGAACGCCATAATTTTGGGGGTTCCCTGAAGCAACACACCCCCGTTTCATGTTGTGCTGCAGACTACGCCTGTAGTGTTTCAGGCCTGTGCGCATCAGCTCCCCTTGCTCGTCGAGCAAGGGTGCCATGCTTCGAACATCATGGAGCTGGCCCTCCATTTTTCACTGAGTGCCGGCCACCATTTCGGATGAACATAAATCATCCAATACTTGTTGACCAGCATGGAGGCGTAACACCCGAAAGCTGGTCAACTTTGGATCACACCTCTTCCCATGGCCTTGCCCCTCCTGGATTTCTAGCTATGCATGAGTCTGTGACCATCCCTTCTAACTTGTTTGAGGGCTAGTGATGGGATACTTACATGGGTTCTTGTTGCCCGAATCCTGCTTCTTCTCAACTGCGGTTGACGATTGTAGGCCTTGCAACATGAATGCGGTGGCTTCCCAATTTGGATCCTTAACCGGGAAAAAGGGCTGAGTTGAAGAAACAAATGGCGGGAAACGTGGAATCCATTTGGCGCGCGCCTTATTTTTTGGGCTCCGCCAAGCGAAAAGGGTCTGCTTCTTTGGGCCTCAGGCAGCAGTGATGATCCTCGAGAAGCTACGCGGCGCTTCCGGATACGAAATGCTCCTGGAGTCCGCCTGTGAGCTTCTAGCTGCGGCCCCCTGCAAGGAGGCGCGAGCTCGGCTCGTTTTCACCCCCAAGGGCTCAAAGGGAAGCCAAAAGGAAAACCACAAGTTGTATTCACCTGGTTGGACACATGCCAACAAACACTCAAATGTCTCACAAAAATTAGGAGCCTGTCGGAAACAGGTAAGTAGGGTTGTCAGGCTCGTATATGAACTCAGTTGACCAAAGCGAAGCTTGTAGTCTTTTGTTTTTTCCCATTTTGGTCAATTTTGAGTCATGGCCCAAAAGGTTAGCCTATGTTAGCCTCTTATTTCTTGGTCCTTTGGGCGACTAAGTAGCAAGACAAGGTCTTTTTTTTTAAAAAAAAAATTGAGATGGTTGAGTCCTTCAAAGGGGATGTTTCAAGCCACGTTTCAAAGGATTTGTGGATCGCGGAGATAGTCAATCCATGGTTGAAAAGGCGGAGCAGCAGCTCTAACAGCTTTGTATCCCGCACGACATGGCTTGCGATGCATTGCAGGTGACCCTCGGCTCATATTTGATCAATTGCGGATCGGGGGAACATGCAAACCTGCCTCGCCCATCGCCAGCTCAAGCGGAATCACGGTCGGATCATTGCCAACTCTATAGCTTGAGTCAAGGGGCCCAAGCTCAGTCTGGTCTTAAAGCACCCCGCAACTCCATTCTACATGTTTGCGCCCCATATGCTCCTGCGCAGATTGAGCTCATGTATTTGTTGTCGCAGGTTTGCGTCTTGTTCTTTCGCAATCCGAACACAAGCCGTCTACATGGCAGTGTTGTATTTCCCTCTTGCGCGTGACTTGATGACTGTGGGTCTCGTGGTAATTTTCCTTTGTCGCAAACTGATGAAAACAAGCAGACAACAATCACAGATAGCACCTCTCTGTTCCTCCAATTCGGAGGGAAGCCGAGCCTTCGTTTTTCCGTCATCAGTGCAGCTCAGGTTGGTTGAACATACTCTAGTGACCTAGTGTCCCAAGACCGCAGAATGCGGTCTTTACAGGTCAAGGCATGTTTGGTTTAGGGCCTTGGGGCCCCATGGCACTCGCTTGGATTGCCATCATTTGTTCAATCACCTCGCTCCGGCGCTGCAGGTGTTCATTTTCGTGAGCTTTGTTGCGAGAAGAATCGTTCATGTTGACATAGACTTGCCAAAGCTTGCAGGCTTTCCTGGTGCCGGTCCAAACACTGAAGATGTATTCACACTGAGCTGAAGTGAAACGTGGAAGCCGACCCAAGGAGAGCTTCTCCCCGGCTGAAAGCTTTGCCCTCAATAGGCCTAAACGAGCGTGTTTTTTTTTGTTTTGTGCTTCAGGCAGCTTGGGGGATCCGGTGTTTGTTTCTTTAGATTTCCTAGGGCTGGTTTTTTAAGTGGGGCTGGCTGGGTTGGTTGGTTGGGTGGCTGGCTGGCTGGCTGGCTGGCTGGCTGGCTGGCTGGCTGGCTGGCTGGCTGGCTGGCTGGCTGGCTTGCCGCATTCCCAACATGGGGTATCCGGTGCTTTTCTTTTCACCAGGGCTGGTTTTTTTTTTTGCCAGGGCTGGGCTGGTTGGTTGGTTGGATGGCTGGCTGGCTGGCTTGCCGCATCCCCGACATCAAGGGGTTTCAATTGGCCTGGGATGGCCTGGGCGTTGCCTATTCGCTCTGATCGGGAGGCAGTTGGGAGGTGTTGGGGGCTAGTTTAAGCTAAGGGGGGGGTTTAGGCTGGTGGGTCTTGTGGTGGTTTGGGGATCCAGGCTGCTGTTGGGCCGCTTTAGGGTTGAATTTGGGTGGAGTTGGGGTTGGCTTGAAGATGATTTGTGTTGGGTGCGCTGCTGCTAAGCAGTACCTTTAGGGTTGCTTTTGGGATGTGGTTACGTGAGTTACCCACCCGAATAAAAGTCTAAGCCAGCCGAACTCCCCCCCTTAACTTAAACCAGCCCCCAGCAACTCCCAACTGCCTCCCAATGACAGCCAATAGGCAACCGCCAGCCCTGCGTGCGGAAAACCAGCCCTATAGCCAGCCCTAGGAAGAACACACCTCTACCCCAGCTTGGGAGAACTCCGGACGGTTCCAAAGAGTTGCGTAGAGCGTTCTTGCGCTGAGCGGGTCCCACCTCATTCCTTTTGGACCGGGACAAGTTCGACCTGGACAAAGCCATTGGGCCCCGGTTCCAAATGTGGACTTCTCCTCTTTCCAGGCCTTGCCGCTGCTCCTGGCCCGGCCTTCGCCAGCGCCTACGCCTTCGCGCACGTCGGCGCCGAAGGTGCTGAAGGCGCTCAGGGCCTGCGCAGCCTGCCATGGCGTGGACGAAGGCTTGGCGCAGCAGCTGCAGCACCGGGCGCTAGAGGCGGGCGCTGGGCCCCGATCAGTTCGCTGGCCAGAAATCAACGGAAACCCAACAGGCAAGCGTTCGGTAAACAAAAAGGCGGTAACACGCAAAAGCCCCTGAGCTGTTTGGCTCTTTGGGCAAAAGCCCCTGAACAAAGGGCAGCAGAAGCAACAAATTGCCCGCAGAAACCCAGAGGGGCGGGCCTCTGTTTTCTGACGGAAGGTTTGCAATTGCGTCCTTCACGTTGCGACCATGTTGATGGCATGGGTGGTTCTCCAAATAGTCCTTTTGGTTCGTTGGTTTCCCTCCAAAACCACCAAACCTCGCTCCCAAAGGTCGCGGACTTGAACCTTTTGGCAAGACCACTTTAGCGGCAACCAACAAAAATGAACATTTTGTTGGGCCCATCCCAGTCGGGAAGTGAGAAACTGGAAGAAGCCCCTTTTCGGTCCAGCCTTCCCCCGCAGGGCGAGGTAGAGTTGGTGCCCGCCGCAGCGCAGCTCACACAGGACTCGGGCGGGTTGCGGAAGCCAACTAGGTCCCCCAGCTAGGTGCCCTGTTACCGTTTCTTTTTTGGGCGAGGGTTCCCCTACTAACATAGACTACAGAAAAAAGGGTACCTTTATTCTATCCTCTCTACTGGAGGACCTAGCCAAAAAAGGTGGGTGGTGGGTGGTGGGTGGTGGGTGGTGGGTGGCGGGTGGCGGGCAGCGCCGGCGGTTTTTTGCTGTCTGGTCAAGGGGCATGCTGCAGGCTGATAGCGTCCGCATGCTGATTTCCAGGTAGCACATGGAGTGCGCAGGTAAGGACTTCGTGCACTCGGATTCTTGGCAACTGTGCACTATGTTATGGATGGGTGTCACTCAAGGCATCCAGGCCGCTGTTGTTGGAACGCATGGATCGACGGGTACTTGGACGACTGGACCCCGTTCACTGGTGATTGGCGAAATAACATTCACCCGGTAAGTTGGAAGGTATTCGCTTTGTAAGCATCAAACAGCGACAGCTTGTGCTTCAAAGGCCTCCCATGGTTGCTTGGATTGTGTCGGGTGCGAAACAGCCCATAGCAACCCATATTGTGGGAGTTCCCCAAATTTTGTCAAAAGGACGCCAAGCTGATAGGGGTAACCCGGAGGGTTTGCAAGTATCGCAGAATGATTGTTGAGGTACTTGGACTTGGACCCTTACCAGCACCGCCCCAACAACTGTTTTTTCCCACACCTCCCAAGTGTTGTCCAAAACGCAGCGGTTGGGGGCTTTTTTCCCATGTCCAAACCTCACGAGTGTCCAAACAGCTGTCAGTTGGGGGCTGCTGGTTGGGTGACGTTTCACTTTTCCAGACCAATTGGCTCCCGTTGGGCACCAGGATGATCTCATTGGGCCGGCAGGATGTGCGGTCCTTGGCGCAGCAGTGGGCGCGGCTGTGCGCCGAGGCTTTGGGATTCTGGACCCTGCCCGGCCAAACTTGGGGGAAAGTTCCCGCGAACTTAGGGGGTCTTTTACCATATTCGTGGGGCTTAACCCAGTCATGCGCGGGTAACCCAGGCTGTCCACACGCTAACTTGGCCGAAGATCCCTGGGGCCATTCAGGAGGAAAGGGTCCATGAGTTTCCCATCTTGTCTAGGTCCCCCAGCCAGGTGCCCTTCTCTACCAACCTTTTTGGTTGGGAGGCTTCAGCTACTAAAATAGATTCAATAGATTACAGAAAAAAGTTGGTACCCTTATTCTAACCTCTCTACTGGAGGACCTAGGGTGTCTTTTACCAGCTTGTTTTGTTCCAGGGTAGATTGAGGGAGGTGTGCAAAAAACATGTTCAACGGCGGTGCTCGGCACCAGGAGTTCCGGCAATGATAGCTCCAAACAGAATCGCCCCCGAGGCGTTCAAAGTTCTGAAGCGTACTTTGTGTTGAAGCCAGCTGATGATAAGGGTTACTCACTTCCCGAGCTCCTGGGGGTGACACTTTTTGGGAAAACCATTTTGGTGGTAACAAAAAACAAAGTCTGGACTTTGGTTGGCCAATCCACTCAGGAAGTGCGGTTATCTAGACATCCGACATTCACCTACTTTATGGTGCATGTCCTGGTTCCACGGAATTTCCTCACTTTGAACCAGCAATAAGCAATAGCGCCCAATACTCGCCGTTCACATCATGGAACTTCAAGGGTTTTGGGAATGAACCGAAAAATCGCTAGGAAATTACAAGAGTTCAGTTTGGGTCATTCAGGGGGCCACGGGGGTTCCGACTGCCCGGACAATTTTGTATCCGAAAGAGAACCCAACATGTTTCCCATTCAACGCATTGCTCACCCCAATTCCAGGGAACCCAAGGTGTTTCCCAACGAATTGCTCACCCCAAGTCCAACTCGTCCCCATGGGCTTCGCCGATTTTTGTTCGGTGAGGCCAGCCCAGCCCAGCTGCCGCCGCGGGCCAGGGCGCTGGTGTCCTGCATGATCAGGCCAAGCTCACCAGTTGGACGTCCCGACTTCCCGAAAAAGCTTTGCTATTGTTGGACGGCACCTTGACTGCAATTGGGTTTGATGTTTAGACTTTAGCTTTTTGGAAAATCAAGGTGTTTGCCACAAAACCCCCAATGTTTAAACTTTTTGCAGGGGGGTCAACAGCAACCAAGATATCAACGGGAATCGGGACATGGAACAATCAGTTGGGTGCTGGTTGGGGAGATCCAGTTCATATGTGTGGACTTGGAGCGAGCCCTGGGTGAAAGGTGCTACAAGCAAGGCCTCTGCCCTAGCTTATGGGAATAGGCGGCGGGGTACACAAACATCATGACCCATTTCGACGCAAAACGCAGAGCCGCAGTGCGACGATGTGCAACCTAGCCAGCCATGTCGCGCTGATCGGACACACTTGGTCGCACGTCGTCACAATTTGCTCACCTGTTCAGAAGCACTGCAAGCTGTTTAAACATGTACTTCCACAAGTGCAATGAAGACGCCATGATCATATTATATGTATGGCTAACATCGCCACTGGACCAAGGTTGCGCCCGTTAGATACTCACGTTTGCCAACGAGGGCGGTGTGCAATGGATTTCCACGCAAGACTTGCAGGATGCAGCCTCAATTTGATAAGACAGCCGTGAAAAAAAAAAACCTGAATATGCAATAGACACCCACGATCATGCATACAATTGCACCTGAATAGCTAGCTGATCATTAGTTTATTTTATGACGAGCTCACCTTTGGATAAAGCAATATTACCATGATGTTGATCTTTTGCTTGGCGTGTTTGGAGTTATTGTAAAGCATTGCAGATAAACTTGGTTATCAAACTTGCTAGCACCCCCCACCCCCCCCACCCACCGGCAACAAAAAGAACACCAACAAACAAAACCAACGAGCACGCCCATGCACACACACACACAGACTTGCGTGCTTGGGGTGTTTCGGTCTTCCCTGAAGACTTTGGGGTGAGTGTTATGCTGCGCCTGCGGGTTCCGAGTTGCGCTCACTTGGTCACTCGGGAGGCCCGAGCTGTGCCAGCTCTGGTGGCGGGATTGCCAACAACTCCTCGCCTATTTGCCGCCAGAAGACCAGGCCGCCTTCCGACTTGAAAGGTCTCGACATGGGGGTTTGGGTGCCCTTTTTTGGGGTTTTGGGGAGGAAGAAAAGCAGAGCCGCCCTTTTGGAGGGTTCCTTTGAGACAAACCCAAATGGAGGCTTTACCCCAATTCGGGGAGCCATGGGAAGGTTGTGGCCATTGTTCTTAGTTACGGCCCCTGATGGTCGCGTTTTTAGACACTGCTATGCTCTAAATATGGGTTTAGGGCTCTATGAGTCATGTTTTTGTGGCATGACCTTCAACCGTTCAGCCGTGTGCAATTAATGACTTACGTTTCCCGCAAGGCAAAAGGTTAAATAGGGTCTAAAGTGGCTCACGTGTGTTGGGATGTTGGAGAAATAAGTTGCACACAAGCTGCAACGTCCTGTATACTGCCACGTGTGAACTTAAGCAGGATTATCTGAAGGATTCTTTCTCAGAAGCAGCAAGCAACCCAACATGGTATGTTCTAACCCTACCCCGAAATGTTTATGTCTTGGAGTCACTCCAGCTTTTGGATCCGCGGATTTGATGCTCCAATTGGCTGCCATTGCCATTGGAAGGTTCCTAGCCGACGAGGGCCACTACGCAGTTAGCCTTCCACCAACGAAAGTCCTTCTTGGAGCATGCAACCTGGCGTCCTGATCGCTAGCATCGAGTTCTCATGAGATAGGATATGGAGCTTCCAAAATGAGCAGGAGCTCCCATGGGCGTCCACCCCACACCCAAATTCCAAAGGCTGATAGCTCAGCTGGAGAAGCTTTTTACATTTGGGCCAAGAACTTCAGCTAGTTTCAAGGATGTTATTGTAAGGCGGTTTTGGGATGTTCAACCTACGTAGGCTTTTGCCATGGTTTGACTACACCAGCCAACCTCGGCTATGGAAAGCATGTGTCGGGATGTATCCCTTGTGAAGGTGCACTACGCCTGCCGCGTGGCGGACTTCGCGTCTGTCTCTGGGCCTTTGCTTGGGCCTGCCTGCGAAATCTGGCAGGCGGCAGCTCGGCTGGGTACTCTGGGTGCTCCAATTGGGGTTCCTTGAAGGACACAACACATCCGCCCGTCTTTTCTTGAGGGCACCCCGTGTTCTCTTTTTTGAGGGGAAACCAAATGGAAAACCCACCTTTTTGGGGGGTCCCCCTCAAAAAGACACACCCATATCCGAAACCTGCGTGGCAAGAAACGCCTCTCAATCAGCTTGTATTTGAGTCATTGTGTTGCTTGGCCCAAATGTATCCTTAAAATAACAGGAGAACCGAAACAAATTGTTGTTCTGTTTTATAATTTGGCCGGACCCAATTTAGCACCCAGATTGGCAGATGTGTGTGTGTGCAAAATTCCACCGTCGTAGGTGTGATTGTTCATCGCAGAAGAGGCATCGGCGCCCGGGAAGGAGGTTTGCTTTGTTCATGTTGCTTCTGATGTGTGGGAATCAGGTGAGGTTTCGCGAAATCCTGATTGTCTATGGTCCATTTGGGAGGGACGTGGGGCTCTTGGGAAGCACGAGGTTTTGACCGTGACACAGTTGTTGCCGGCAAACCAATTTTGAACATGAAACCATAAGGAGCTCAACGATTCGGGAGTAAACAAGCTGACCCATAAAGGTGCTCTGAAAACGGACGGGTGTCCTTATTTCCCATTTGGGAATACTACTTTGCCCGCATCAATTTGTGCATGTCAGATTTGGGTTACGTGTTGACGTTTGGTTTCGCAGAAAGGCGACCGGAAGACAACACACAAAGAAAGGCGCACCCTCAAAAACATTGTGCATGTCAGCTTTGGGTTCGGGTTTGAACCTTGGACCTTTGGTTTCCCTTCAAGCCAACCGGGAAAAAAACAACGCACAAAAACACCTACCCATGTCCGGCCGAATCTTACGCCTAACCAGCCTAGAGCCGGCTGAGGTTTGGCCCCGTGCTGAGGGCGATGAGGACATGGTGGCTGCCTTGGAGCAACTGGTTCAGGCGCATGGTGGCTGCACTCTTCTTGGCAAGTGTTTTTGTTGTTTGGCCAGTGTATGGTTCTGTTATTTTTGTAGGGGCTGCACAACATGAAGCTTTGTGCAACCATACCAAAGGTTGTGAAGGCGGCTCCACTTGTGAAACCATTTCAATGGTTGAAAAGCAAGATCGGACATGCATCCGATCATGCGCTGCTTATGCCCACAAAATGTCATTCATCCTCGAATGGGTTTCCTCTGAGTTCCCTTTCTCCAAAACCGCAACAGAAAAAAACGCACCCACCAAACAGAACGCCTTCAAAGCAACCCAAGGCCCAGCCTCCCCAACGGGTTCAATTCCACTCGAAAGATGGGTACGCGTCAAAATAGGACAACTTTCAAGTTTGGTTGGTTTCTCTTTGGCTTCCCTGTAACCAACCACAAAAAGGGTTTGTCTCAAAATAGGCCATCACTTGCTGGAAGGTGTTTGAATCGGGAACCAAGAAAGAGACCAGCCAATTGTTGGGTCCCCCATTTTGAGAACGCCACACGACAAACAAAACTCACCTTTTTCCAACCATGTTTAAAGGGTCAGCAGGAGACTCCAGGTACCCTCAAAGCGCAATCCAAATCGACCCCACAGCCCTTGCCTTGAACGGATGGCAGGCCTCTGCCCGCAGCTCTACGGTGGCGAAGCAGCCGCTCCTGCAGCTGGCACAGAGCTTGGAAGCTGAGCCGAAAGCGTCTGGGGCCATGTGGGGTTTGTGGGAGTTGACCAACGTTCACGGCCTCAAAATGGCAAAATGGGTGGTTTTGGTCATTTAGGGACGGTGGGAAAGTCAAATCCGATTTTGATGGTTTCCTGAATTAAAACTCCTGGTTGTCTGAATGCCAGCTCCAAGTAAAGGGGTGTTTCGATGGCATATTTTGGCTTTCAAAATGGGTGACCCCCAAATGTGTCTTTGCCTTTCTTTGGTAACCAATCCATGAAAAGTCGAAGAGGTACATAGGCATTCCTACAAACCCCACGGCAGGTGGTTGTACGGGCGTGTGTTTTGAGGGAGCCTTTAGTGAAGGTCTCCCTCGTAAATAAATCAACCTCAAGTCAGATATTGACCCACGTCGCAGCTTTTCTCCCCGAGCTGGAAGCTATGGAGTCTCTGCCAGAAAAGCTCCAGAGTCCAGAGGGTTCCTCTTGTGGTTCGAGCGGTTGTCGGGTTCCGCAAAGTAAAGGTTCCATGGAGTTGCTCCGGAAGGGTTCCATACAGCGGCTGCCAGGGTTCCGAGCTCCGGATGTTTCCGCAGGGTTACGAGTGCTTGCGGTGGCTGCTGTTGGGGATGCCCACGGTTTGTTGTGCTCGAAACATGCAAATTCCTCCATGGTGTTTGGCATTCATGTGTGTTTGGCATTCATGTGTGTGTGTGTGTGTGTGTGTGTGTGTGTGTGTGTGTGTGTGTGTGTGTGTGTGTGTGTGTGTGTGTGTGTGTGTGTGTGTGTGTGTGTGTCTGCGCGCGTGCTTGTTTTGTTTGAGGGTACCCCTTTTCACCTTTCAACGGAAGCCAACAAAAAAACCTGCTCGAATCACTTCCCAAGTGCTGAGGTACATGCCTCCGGCTGGGCACCCCAAGTTGTCAGTGTCGCTCGGCGGCTTTACCATGGCTCGTACCCTTGGCAGGTTGGTTTCAGGGGAAACCAAAAACAAAACCAAAACAGTGTTTCTTTGCTTCGAGGTTTCAAATTGAGTGGGGAGATGAGCGTCAGCGTTTTGATTGCACTTGGAGGTCCCCCTTCAGACCCCCAACACGGATGCCAAGTCAAGCGAGAGCACTGAACTTCACCACAAAACACAAAGGACAACACAAGTCTGCAGGGGGAGAAGTCATATTGTGGTGGCTTATGCGCCAGTGAGGCATGTGCGGGTGGCTCGCCCATGATTCAGCGAACTGACCTTGTTAACTACAACGGAGCTAATATTTGTGGACGAATAAGATATATATATATATATTGCCACTTTCAGGACAGGCCTTGGCTGAGAACAAAGGTTTGGCGAATATTGCTTCGAAGTTTGAGTTGAAGAATGGCTTCTGGCTACATTTGATTTGACGGACTGTTTGACCGTTTCTGTGTTTGTTTTTGTGTCTATGTTGTTTTGTGATGTTGTGGAGCAAGAAACGACAGGCAGTATCACCAATGTGTTTTGGGCTGACTGGTTGGCAGAGTTGTTATCCAATTTAAGACGAGTACGAGTTGTTCAGTTGGACAACAACTGTTCATTGCTGAGACCCCCTTAGAACAGTCAGGTCACAATTAAGGGCAACAGCTTTCTCTCATTGCCATCCATCCGCCCCCCCCCCCCCCGACCATTTTGTGAATCAGGCACCGGCGTATGACATGTCATGGCTTATCCATGCCATTTGTACACGCTGTTGGGAGAACCAGGGGTTGTTTCAGGGACTGCCACTCCGAAAGCGCTGCCATTTTCTCAGCGGAGAATGTGAGTGAGAGTGAGAGTGATTGACTGAGTGCATGCACGTGTGCTTGCATGCGGGCCGTCGCTCTCTCTCTCTCTGTGCGTGGGTGCGTGAGTGGCTAATTAGGTGGGGAGTTGTGTGTGTGTGTGTTTGCTTGTTTGTTTTTTTTGGCTGTCTGTCTGTCTGTCTGTCTGTCTGTCTGTCTGTCTGTCTGTCTGTCTGTCAGTCAGTCTGTCTGTCTGTCTGTCTGTCTGTATGTCTGTCTGTTTGTTTGTTTGTTTGTTTGTTTGTTTGTTTGTTTGCGTGTGTATGTGTGTGCGGGTGGGTGCGTGTGCGTGTGTGCTTAGGTTGGAGAGTGAGTGAGTGAGCGAGCAAATTGAGCGAGGCAGTACGCCAGTGCTGAGTGTGCTCCATGTGTCTCGATTTGAATTTATTTCTTGTTGTTTTGTGTGTTTTTTTTCGACCTTGATAAGACCGGTATTGTTTTCAGAGTCTTGGTTTCCTGCCGGACCAATGGGCTTCTTGATGTGCATATCCCTGTAAAAGGCAAGCCACCCAAACTCCACACCTCTGCACCAATTCAAACCATCAAGTAATCAGCGTCGTTCTTGGTGGCTCGGATTGGTCTGGGGATGTTCTGGGGCCAGCTTCTCATCTACCCCCCCCCCCACCAGTAAAAAAGGGGGCTTGGTTCAAATCCCACCACCAAGCCAAACCAATTTGGGGTCTGTTTTTAGGGGACCCCCAAAATGTCCTTTGAGTTTCCATTTACAAACCCCAAAAAAGACGTACCCAAATGGAGGTAGCCTTCTTTCGCAGGAACGCTTGCATGGGTAGCGGGAGACAGCCAGGAATGGGTGCCCGATTTTGAGAATCGAAACCATCAAGTCAGAGGGAATCAGGCAACGGTTAGGATTGGGTTTTTGAACCCCTGTGAAGCATGGGGGAGGTACTCAGGTCACCAAAACCAAACCACCAACTAAGGGTAAGTTACCTCCCCAAGCGCCTCAGGGGTCGCCAAAACCGAACCACCAACTAGGAAAAATGTACCTCACTAAGCGCCTCAGGGGTCGCCAACACCGAACCACCAACTAGGAAAAAGGTACCGCACTAAGCGCCTCAGGGGTGGCCAAAACCGAACCACCAACTAGGAAAAAGGTATCTCACTAAGCGCCTCAGGGGTCGCCAAAACCGAACCACCAACTAGGAAAAAGGTACCTCACTAAGCGCCTCAGGGGTCGCCAAAACCGAACCACCAACTAGGAAGAAGGTACCTCCCTAAGCGCCTCGGGGGTCGCCAAAACCGAACCACCAACTAGGAAAAAGGTCCAACTAGGAAAAAGGTAGCAAGCGCCTCAGGGGTCGCCAAAACCGAACCACCAACTAGGGAGGTACCTTTTTCCTAGTTGGTGGTTTGGTTTTGGCGACCCCTGAGGCGCTTAGGGAGGTACCTTTTTCCCAGTTGGTGGTTCGGTTTTGGCGACCCTGAGGCGCTTAGGGAGGTACCTTTGTCCTAGTTGGTGGTTCGGTTTTGGCGACCCCTCGCTTAGGGAGGTATCTTTTACCTAGTTGGTGGTTCGGTTTTGGCGACCCCCGAAGCGCTTAGGGAGGTACCTTTTTTCCTAGTTGGTGGTTCGGTTTTCTGAGGCGCTTAGGGAGGTACCTTTTTCCTAAGCGTCGGGTCGCTAAAACCGAACCACCAACTAGGACAAAGGTACCTCCCTAAGCGCCTCAGGGCTCGCCAAAACCACCAACTCGGGGTAAGTTACCTCGCTATCGGCGAGGGACGCTGGCTGAGTCGCCTAGGCGGCGCTGGGCGCTGTCGAGGCCTCGGTGGCCCCCTGCGGCGCGAATGCCTGGCCGCTCACCGCGGAGCTGGCGCCTGGGCGAAGACTGCGCCGCTTCTTTTTTTTTGCAGGTCGAAGCCTAAAAACGGGGGGGGGGGGGCTCCTAAAACCCAGGGTTTTGTGGGTGCCATGTGGATCTGCAGATGTTTTTTGGTGGTTCGACCGCGTGTTTGTGAGACTACTTGTTGGCCCAAAGAAGCCTGTATAGCTGCTCAGGTGACTAGCTGACCCTGTGTTTGGGGTTGCAAAGGATGCTTGTGGAACCTTTAATGGATATCTTTTGCAGCAATGAAAAGGATTGCTACTAAAACAAACATGGCAAAGGCCCACATAACGAGAAGACAGACATTGGGGAGGACGAGGCCTTGCCTTTGGCATCGCTGATCATGCAAACAGATGTAAGTGCTCGAAATCGCGCCATGTTGGTTGAGGGGGTTTTGAGTGCGGCCCCTTAAACAATCATGGCAGAGCGTAGCAACTTCATTGGTATACTTCCCGGTTTCTTCTTGCGAAGGCACCCTGTCCAGCTCCATGGGAAAAGGGTTAGCTTTTGTTGTCAGGTGGGAGTGAGATAGGGTGCAATTCAAGCCTTTCAAGTATCGTGGAAAACCTATTCCGGAGTCTCTGATCCCAAAACTGCTTCACATGTTAGGGTAGACTAGATATGGAACAGAGTCACAAGTCACACACATGTTGTTTTCTTCCAGCACCTCTAACAGGCTTTCCCACGTCCAAAATCCCAAGTACGCTCCAAAAAGCGGTGGTTGGGACCCGGGTGCTGGATGTTACCCTAAGATAGATAGAAGCATGATCATGGTTCAGGATCCTACCAGGTGGATGACCATCCCTGTTAACCCCGAGAAAAGGAACCGGCCTTTTCACCATGGCGCATATGGGTGTGCCTTTTTCGGGGTTTCCTCCCTTTAACACCACACAAAAGAGTACCGAATCAAAAAACAGCACACCCATATTCCCCTTGTTGCATTTTGCTTGGATGTTAGGACTTCACCCTTTTTGCCAACTAATGGGTTGTCCATTAAACCACTAAAAGTTACACTTTTAGCAGAGCAGAAAGCAACCGAGTTCCTATAGTAACCCCCAAGGAAAGGAACCGAGTTCCGCCCTTTTGGTTCCCAGGTGCCAGTCTACGGCCATGTGATCCGTTGCGCCGCCTCCATCTCTAGCTGTCAGCCGGCCAGGCCCTCAAATTCGTCCAGGGTCTTCCAGAGAGCTGGGCTCTCCGATTCCCAAGCGAATTTCATATTGTAGGAATATGGGTGTGTGGTTGTTTGAGGGTACTTTTTTTGTGGTGGTGTTACAGGGAGGACACCACTGGAACATAGTTACTCCGAACATGCGCCTGTAAAAAAACGGAAGGGTTATGCCTTGTTGATGATGGTACACTTGGTTTGATGTGTTTGTTGAGGCAAACCCAAAATCCATGGGAGGAATGCGTTGCAACAATGATCTTCTCGGCCATGATCTTTGTCCTGGAAACCAAATATTTTCCGCGGAAACCATGGGAAATGTTGTTTGAACCAACCCCTGGCCTCTTTGAATGTGAAGCCAAGTATGTCCAAAGCGGTTTAACCTTGCAAACCGGCCTCACCTCCTTTTTTGCAGGTCAAAGGGGCATGACTCCAGTTTCTGACTTTATATAACCCCTAGAAGCAGTCAACAGAACTGCAATATACATGTGTATTTGTATATATGCATACATATGTTCAAATTTGGTGCCTTTGAGTTTAGCCAAGACGAAGTGGCGCCCTTGAAACACCCCCGCACCCACATGCTAGTGGTAACCATGGTCCAACTCGCTGCATGGTGGCACAATTCCCGGTACAAACTCTCTTCTGGCTGTAAGCTCTCAACACCTCCAGCTCTCGTGTCGTTTTTGCCTTTCAGCCATCAATCTCGCGCTTGGGCTCTGTCAGGGGTCTGTCATCTTCCCTTAGGGAGGCCTATTTTAGACCCGCAAAAGTGGCAGTTTCAGTAGAACTCACCAGTAAAGTCTATAACTTGGTGTTTCCCAGCCATTCTGTCCCTTAGCTTTTCTTAGCTTTTTGCTTGCTGTAGTGACTGTAGTGGTAGGTTTTCCGAACTTCACCCACTAAAAAGTTGAAACAACATCCGAAAAAAAACCGGACAGCCCAGCCCAAAAACAAAAACAGGACCGGACCTCCGCCCCTCCTCCACCCCCCACCCCAAGCCCCAAGCCCCACCAACCCCAAGCCCCACCAACCCCAAGCCGCACCCACCCCAAGCCCCAAGCCCTCCCCGCCCACCACCAAGTCCCCCAGGTGCCGGCCTTGTCCTTGATCGGCGCCTTGGCCTCCGACCCCAGCTCCGCCCTGGGCCAAGAGCTGCGGCAGCAGCTGTTGGGCCAGGAGCCCGCCGCCCCTCGGCCGCGTGGGCGCCTTCGGGGGGGGAGGTTTGACCCGGGGTGACATGGGTGACAAGGGGCTAAGGTTGGTTTCCATATTCATCAACCCCCAGTTTATTTATAGGGGGGGAAGGTGGTCCATTTTTCTGAGTTTAGTGGGGAATGATCAGTTTGGGAGGGAACTGGGGAGACTGTATGACATGGGGATGGGTCAAAATGAAGCCAGGAATCGGATAAAATCAGGTTTTAGCCCTTTCCATTTACCAGGGTAACCCATTGTCGGGTTACCCTATTTTTGACAACCACACCCACATGGTGAAAAGGAGGATGGATGCCCAAGGAATGTAAGTGAAAAAGGAAGAAGCGCAGCCGTTTGGTAGTTTTCACCGTGGATTTGTAGTGTTTAAGGCATGCGTCATTCACACTACCCTTTTCAATTGGGTGTGATTTTGGGGGTCCCCCATTAACTCGGCCCGGGTGAAAGTAGATGGGAACTCTCAACGTGGGGACTAAATCAAAATGAGTTGAAGTTGCGCCATCTAGCCTCGCAGGGTCGGTATCGAGTTCCAACTGGAGCCGAGGCTTTCTATGACTGCCAGTCTCTGTTCGAATGGTCATGTCCCGGCTGTGGGGGTAAGCAGGTAGCATGTGGGGTTCCAATATGGGTTTGGCATCAAATCCATCAGTAAGCAGGTTCCCGCACCCCCCTCCCCCCCTCCCCCCCTTTTTCGGTGACTGGACCACTGCTTTTTTGGACGTGCGAGAAAAAAAGTTGTTTGGGGCGGTGCTGGTTGCCATTCTAGTCTTAAGACGAGTACTGGGCTCCACATTCCGAGCCTCATGTTCTCAGCATGTTCTTGTATTGGTTTGTCACAAATCAATGGACCTTTGTTGCATTGGGAAAGCCAGAACACCAAGCACCTGCAGGCTTATTTTTCTGCGACACCGAGCCCCAGCTGTGTATTCCATCCACCTTGTAGTGGCCCAGGTTCTGTGAATTCCATCAATCCCTGTTTGTTCCCCCAAAGTGGTTATTATCCCCCAAAAGGGATGTCCTTTTTCTGAGTTCCTTTGGTCACTTTTTGGGTTTGGACCATCATAAACCTAAACTATTAAGCAACGTTGGCTACTTCTGGCCAACCCACTGAAGTGAGTTTCACTACTCACCTCTTGAGTCTGTGCAATTTGAAACCTTTTTGTGTTTGGGCCATTTTAGTGGTCAACAACAAATTGGTTTGCTGTTTTGCGTTCATCTCAGGTGAGTTCCACTAAAACAAAGCAGTTGCACCGAAGCCCTCGCTCCCGGCTCGCTCCCGAGTTACCGCCTCTGAGGTGCGGCTTCTCATGTCCAAGGCGGAGCCTGGCCGCGTGACGGAGCGCATCGCCGCGGCATTGGGATTGTGAAAGAGAAACCCAGGGCGAGCCAGCGCTTTTTGGAGGCGACACGCGTTGTTGGATGCCCACTCAGTGGGGCTGCCTTTGCGATAGTGCGCAGTGTTTGTTCGACGCAGCGATTTGTGTGGGGGGGGAGGGAGGGAGGAGAAGGCCTAGAAAAAAAAAAAATGAGTGGGGTGGACTTAAAAGCAAACCAATCAGGTGGTAAAACGAGTGCAGAATGTGTTGATGGCGAGCGATTTTTTTACCGGCTCGGAATAGTGAATCGAGCGAAAGCTATTTAGTAAAGATCTATCCTTTATTCTTATTTCAGGTTTTGAACACATGGTAAACACTTTGCAGGTTGCAGTGTGTCTCTTGTTTTGAGGCTCTTCCCACCAACAGAAAGCACCTGGAGGGCATCTGGAAGATCAGTTGCTCTTTGTATTCTCTGACAAGTGCCCATGTTTGTGGGAGAGCGGGTACCCTCTTTGGGGTTGGTTTACACAGAAAAGCCAAGGACAACACATGAATGGGTCCAAATCCTGAAAAACGGCCAGCCGCGGGTGCCTTGAAGTGACATTGCGAGTTCCTGAACCTGCATAGATACAGATGAATTCTCACGTCCTCAGAGAGGGCGTTGCATTTGAAGGCTTGACGAAGGTTTTGAACCGCAGGTTCGAGGGTAGCTTGTGATGCTTAGTATGTTGGGTATACCCCCAGAGTTGGGCCAAGGGGATGACATGGGGCACTCACCAAAACGCCATTGGGAAATCTGGCTTCGACGCCCAAATTTCCCCATCGGGACTGTGCTGTGGCGTTCAAGCGTCTGGCCTTGCTGCTGACAGTGTTCTTAAGGGAGCCAGGAAGGCATTATTAGTGCCCCGGTCAGATGTTCTGGATTAGTTGCTGATTCTCAGCAGGGAATGAGGGAATGACCTAGCAACCCATACCCTATGGTTTTCTTTAAGGGAATCCCGGAGTGAACACCCTGGGTCACTCCCAACTGAGCGCAAGCAAGTCTTTGGCACCAATGAGTTGTTCTGCAAAGATGTATGAACAAGTTGCTTTGTGGAGAAGCTCAAGTTGATTTGCCGCCTGGTGGGTTTACGGCAAAGCTCTTGCTCCAAATGATGCCTGGCAGGAAAACAATGTGTGGCACGGAGATTTGGCATGTCCAGTTCTTGCGCACAGGTGTGTTGCTAGCATCAGCAGCCTTTCTGGAAATTGGCCACGCGCTTTTTGGTTCAGCGGACTGCAAAGTGAAACATCAAAGCATGATTGAGCATGACATATTCCGCAGATACTCCGACAGATGCTGAGTGGCGCAATCGGGCTTTGACTTTCAGATGCGGTCGGATGTCCGAGGGACTCCACATTAGGGGCTTGTGCAAATCGCATTGGATGCGCCTTGCCACATTTGTCAAGGCCACATCCAAAAGTGCACATTGAGCCATTCTGCAGGCTGTTGACCTCAAGCACAGGTAAAGCGCATATGTGCCAAATGTTGCCCAGGCACATATTATGCAACCAGCACACATCGTGTTGTTCCCATCCTTGTTAATCAGCAGGAGTCTCTATATTTTCCAAATTTAAGCCAACCATTAGTTTGTTTGGATGAGTTTCTCCAAAACCCCCAACAACTGCTTATTCAATGCCCGAATCCCCCAGAAGATCTCCCCCCCCTGTCCCAATGGCTGGGACCCGGGTGCTGGCTGGTGCTGGACATTTTCGGACACGATTCCGATTTTTCCCCGGTGCCATGGCGAGATTTCATGGCGCAGGCGAGGTCGGCGGCTTGGGATGATCGTGGGATGTGCCTGAGCTGTGGCCCTTAAAGATGTGGATGTCGTGTTTGGGCCAATAGTCAGCTTCCCTCGAACTGGTGGTTTCCCTTCCTACAGGATGGCACCGGAAAACGAGCCTGTCACTGGGTTTTTTGACAGTGCTTGGCAGGGTTTGTTGCACGTTTGGTAACAAGCCCTGGTTTTCTTGGGGAGCCAAACGGAGATTTTTTAAGCAGTGGTTTAGACATGTTTAGAGGGCGATTCGATTGCCTAAGCATTTGCCTCAGTTGCACATAGGCAAAAGGGAGCCGAAAACACCGCCAGGTGACGACTTGCCGGGCCAAGCTGCGCTGGCGGCCAACTGAGAGTGCAAAGCCTTTCTATGGACCTCTACACAAAGATCATAATGTGAGGATGTGCACTCCTTTTGACATTGCCGTCACAGTGTGTGATCCTTACCATCAGCTGTAGCTGCACTATAATTTCAATGCGACACTTGACCGGAGCAATGTTGGTTTGTAACGAGCACCGGTGACAATGACACCCACAATTCCGGTTCCAACAACATGAAGCTATGAATTCGAAGAGTTGGAACATCCTCAAAAGTGTTTGATGGCATAGGGTCCCAGGTCCCGAATTTCAATCATATACCCATAGATAGCCATTGCAGGGTTGATACCCCTGATTTCCCCTGGCAGTATCGGTTTGAGGGTAGGGGGAAACCGCTTAGAGGCTTCAAACGTTTGAGGCGCATCGCATGGCTGGCCACGTTCTTCTGCAAACTAAGCTGCAAAGGAAAGGCATTCCAAAGTAGCCTTTCCAGAAGCGTGGACGTGGGTCCGCTGCCTAACATGAAGCATTCAACGCGACGAACAATGACGCGCTTGCTGTTCAATCTGTGATGCATCAAGGCTACGCCCCAGGCAAAATGCGCTTTCAGCTTACTAGGTATACCAAAAGATGCCAACGCATTCGAATCCTGACCAGCAGGCAATGGCAGGTACTTACTGCTTTTGGAGATCGACAGCCGTTGAAAAGGCTTCCTTTGACCCAAGGCATGTTTACGATTTGAATCAGCTTTGACGACATGAGCAACGGTTAATATTTGCTGCCATCTAAGCAAAGGGGATGGCAAGGGGGACACTCACGGAAATATCATCAGGCAAAGGGGGACACTTACCAAACTAGAATGTCAGACGGGGGGACAATAAAGGTGAACTGCAGCGCATATGGTTCCATCACCTGACGTGATTTCAGGCACTTGAACATCTATGCCCGCACGTGCACGAGACGCTTGTCAAGAAGTAGAAGCACTGCAACAGCACTTCTTTGATCCCGCCTGTCTTTGGCCAGTTTGAAGCGTTTCGCCGGTCATATTTGCAGAATTCAGCGGATGCTGATTTTGGATCGCTCTGTTCACAGGCAGCTTCAGCCCTCTCAAGTGTTTTTTTGCTTTGCCCCCCCCCGCCTGGTGGCATTCATTCCGAGCATTGCCTGTGCATGGGAATGTCGCAACATTGTGGGTTTCCGCAAAATGCACAACTTTCATGTCACCCAGCAAATGGTCCCGAGGCACACAAACACACACGGCATGATGATTGTTATTATTATTATTGTTGTTCTTAGTGATATGATTATAGACATTATGATTATGTTGATAAATTGACGGTAGTCGTTATTATTGTTTTATTTCTTTATTCGTATTTCATTGTTGCTTTAGCCATTGCAATCTACCCTCCTTCCAACCATCATTTAAGTGGAACTCGTTTGAGTTCCATGATTCTTGGAGGGAGGGTACCATCACATCACATCCCTTCCATGCATCCTGTGACTGATGACTTGCCAAGGACACTTCTGCAAGGTGCCAAAGCAGCACCAGCCAGCCCGTGCAGCAAAAGGCGACGTGGTGAGCTGCAATGTCTTGATGCGCGCTGTAGCGCCGAGGCTGCATGTTTTGTTGACTCCGCCGGAAAGAGTCGAAGGTCACTTTCGGTGCCAAAGCGAAGGTTGTTTGTGATGGGTTACACATCCGGAAGGTGCGGACTCAAGGTCCAGTGGATTCCAACCGCTTGACAAGTCCAATTGTTTTGTCTCGGGCTCGAAAAAGGCTCAACCCTGGGCGTTAGTTGTGCTGGAAGAGGCAACCAAACAACACGCACCGGGACCCGGGGACCGGTACTCTCAAAATCAGGGTCTCTTAGATAGATTCCCTATACATGTTCTCTTGTGGGGTTTTAATTTAAGCATCGGCTTTTGGGCCAACTTTCAAGTTAGCGTCTTTTTGATGGGGTGAGGTTTGAAAATTAAGTCTACAGAGTCCTCGGATACGAATCTGGAGCCCTTGTCTGTGAGGGAGTCATCCTTTCGAGCCACGGCAGCAGAAGTGCCGATCTTGTTGCTGGACATTGTTGGACTAGAGCGTTCTACTGCTTCATATGTTCCTTTTGCGGACTACTTCATGGAAGGGGCAACATATTGATGGGCAACGGGTGAATTCATTGCCAATTGAGGTTGTGTGAAACAGCAAAATACGTGTAGGCCCACAGTCCACGGTCGGGCTGATGCTCTTTACAGCAATTAAATTTGACCGCTCAGTTGCAAACATCCTTTGAGTTGAATGATAATTGTGAAATACCTGCCCGCAGCAACATGATTTAGAGGCACAAGCCGAAAAGCCTGACTAGGTTCACATAGCGACTACTTGGGTGTTCGGCCAAGTTAGCGAGTTGTCAGTAACCTGGGTTCTAACCCACTTGTAAGCCTCATTAAGGGGGCTAACCCAGTCATTCGTGGGTAACCTAGGCTAACCACATGCTAACTTGGCCGAAGATCCCTGGGGCCATTCAGCAGGAAAAGGTCCATGAGCTTCCCATCTTGTCTAGGTCCCCCAGTAGTGCCCTTCTTTTTTTTTTTGGGTTGGGAGGCTTCCCCTAAATAGACTACAACAAAAAGATCGGGTACCAACTTATTCTAACCTAGGACCAAGTTGTTATGCCACCGGACTCGAGGAATGGCAGAGGGCCGTCTCCATCTTCAGCAGCATGGAACACCGGACGCTGGTCAGCTTCAACTCAGCGACTCTCCGAAGTGAGCAGCCCTCCCCACAGCCTAAGAGCCACTTTGGGGGTGTCTTTCTTTGGAGTTACCACCTTTTTTGCGGTTAAAAAGAACAAATACCACAAGAAAAGCCCAAACCACGTGGTGGGTCTAAAGAAAGACATGGCCATTTATTGTAGTAGGTGGTTCTTTCAGTAGGAATCCCTAGCAAGGGCTATATTGACCTTTAGAACAATTTCGGTAGATCCAAAGGTCAATGGGTTTTGGGCGCTGCTCAAGTATGCTGTTTGCTTTTGGGTTCGAGCCTTTGACTAGTTCTTTCGGCGCAGAGTGCTAAATGGCCCAAAAATGTTACTCTTTCCAACAGGGGAATTATTTTTGCCCAGACCACCTATTTAGCACCTAGAAACAACATGTTGAGCGGAGAGAAAGGAGGATTGCAAGTAGGGACCGGGGCTGGCATGTGCAACCTTTGCAAGCTTCTGATTGACTTTCAATCATATGTTACATTTCCGGGAGCTGCAATATGATTTGTGAAAGAAACGGCTTCTTGAATGTCCTGCAGCTGATCTCTTGGTGTGTCAGCGTGTCTTTCTTGTGCGGCAACCATGAACCGGTCAGAAACTTGCATTCAAGAAATGGCCCATCCCACTCACTCGCCGAGTCGACTAGTCGACTCAGGTCATCAGCACTCTGAGTCAGAGCGCTCGCTGGCAAGAGGCCATTGCTTCCCAGTGGCAACTGGTTTTCACGTTTTTAGGTTTTTTGGTTTCTTCCCTTTAACAGGGTTTCCTCCATGTCCCTTTCTTGGAACCTCCGAACGTGGCAGTGACACCTTCAGTAAATTGCAGCAGTGACCCCTGGTTATGATCAACCAGAGGAACTTGGCGCCCCAAGTGTTTGTCTGCAGCAAGTCTGAGGCTTTCTTTGACCTCATTGCGTGCCGCCGGCTTCAACCTGATGTGATTAGCTACAACTCCACCATCAGCGCATGTACCAGAGGAGGTCAGGGGGTCGGGTGGGTGGGGTTGGTTTGGGGGTGGGTTGGGCTTTGTATCGATATGGGGGTCTCTCTTTGTTAGGGAACCATGAATCCCATTTGGGGGCCGGTTAAAAGGGAAACCAGCCAACAAAGCAATGACGCATGCCCAAATCAAATAACCCTTGCTGGTTTGGATTGGTAGGGGGTTGAACCCCGGGTTCAGGACAAAAGGGTGGTAATCCGAACCGCCAAGTTGTGGTAATCCTGGCTGCCTGGTTGTCTGCAGTGGCCAATGCAGACTGATTGTGCAAGTCCGTTTGGACGTGTTGCTTGTAAGGGGAGAAATAGTAATTGTCATTGGAGTTTTCAGACCCTTCGCCCGGCACTCTTGTTATTCATGTGGGTTTCGGTGATCATAATCACTCATGAATGCACCCCATCGGAATCATGTCACATGATGATGACAAGGCGCCAACATGAACATGATAATCGTCTTACGTTTCGATTGGTTCCAAGCTTCTAGATGCCGTAATGTGTACTGAGTAGTAGTTTCACTCCTTTGAAGTGACCAAGTAGTAAGTAGTCACAGGGATGGGAATCTTACTTTGATATCACTTTGGTGGGCTTACTCACTCCCTGAGCTGCACCCTAGTGGCAAAGAGTTTGGACTTTGGCCAAGGAGTTGCATAGTGACACCACGCGCTAAACCGGCTTTGGCCACAAAATCCTCCCGTCATGTCCAGGTCGGTGGCAGCTGTCGCTGGCCTTGTTCCACGCCGTGCCAAGTTGGGACCAGGTCAGCTACAACGCCGCCATGCGCGCCTGTTCGAGCGCCATCGCCTGGCAAGGCGAGAATTATCGAAACGCAGCGAAGCGTTGAGCACGTGGTTTGGGGGTTCATAGCTTTGTTCCCTCTATTTGGTGGTTTGGATTCGTTTGTTGGTGGTTAGGTGGTTTCCCATTTCAAGGTTACCTCAAAACAGCCAACAAGAAGACAACACAAGACTTGCTGGTTCTTTATAGGCAGGGGAGTTGACCCTGCAAAAAACCATCTGCTATGGCCCTATGCTTTATTTTAAGGGTCTTGCGATAGGCAGGGAATGAGAAATGGCATGACCCCGCAAAAAAAGAAAAACACATGCCCGTTTGTTGGTTTCCTTTATTTGGGAATCCCGAAACGCTTTTTTCCCCAGACCGGGAAGGTCATTCCCTACTGAGCAGCTGGCAGCTTTGGGGTCAACAGGCCCAAAGAAGCTCGAGGGAGGTTTTGGGGCAGCTGTCAGGGTTCCAGGGGGCAGTTGGGGATACCGCACCTTGGCTTATTTTGTAAGGAGACCCTTGTTGGGATTTGGTTGAAAGGGAAAATGAAGCCGCCCATTCTTGGTTTTCCGCAGTTTGAGACAAACCCGTACATAAAGCGGCGAATACTCCCCTGCAAATGAACAAGCCAAAAGGGGGCTCCGCAAAAGGAGTTTCCTCTATAAGTGGCAGTTGTTTGTGTTCCATGTCAATCTGCAGGAGGGTGATTCGACATACATATCTTCCCAGATCATGAATCACTCTTTGTTTGAAAAAGCCATGTACCCCAGAACTCCATGTTGTTGATCTGGGCCAGTAGGGCATGAAGATCAATAGGTGTCGTGGCCGAGTGACGTGCACGGGCTTTACCATAGATGGGTTTTGGTGTGCAGAGTACTGAGATTCTCCCTGTTCTCACAGTGCTGCCCGCATACTTGATGGTGATGTTGTTTGCTGAAGCTCGGTGAAGCATGACACCGAGTGTAGCCTGAGTCTCTCAACCTCTAGAGTGTGTGTATATAATATATATATACATATATATATATATATTGTCGAAGTCCGAACTCCCCAAAAGTCGCTGGTCAACAACTTTTGGTCAGGATTGTCAATATATATATATATATTTGGCTTAACTTCTGCCAGTGTAGAAGTTGTGCTAGGGGGAGAAATAAAACTATAAACAAAGCACATCGGGCGGGCAGAACCTTTTCCTATGCGCTTTTCCTAGCCCATGTGCGTTGTCCACCCACTTTTCCAATCCACTGTGCTTGACTGCCTTTGTTTGGTTGTAGGGGTTACAAATTAATGGGCTTCTTGTTATCCCGAGTCTTGCCATGGTTGGCGTGAATTCAAGAACATGCCAAACATACGCATATGTTTTCTTCGGCCCCCGTTTTTTTTTTTCTTCTCCGGTCTTCCCTTTGGTTGGTTTGTTGCAACCCCTCCTTGGGTTTTTCACCAGTTTTCCCCGCGGCGTTGGAACCCCAAAGCGGCGTTTCGTCGCCAGACGCCCTGGGCCTCTTCGCGGAGCTCCGAAGCCGAAGCCTCGGAGCTTCCACGTCCAGCGTCAACGCTGCGATCGGCGCCTGCGGCAAAGCGGAGGAGCCTTTGTTGCATTTTGCAGAGGGATGTTAGGACTCTATTTTTGTTGCCAACAAAAAAACAGGTTTTTACAACTTCACATTTTGCTTGGATGTTAGTTTTTCCATTAACACACTAAAAGTTGAACTTTTGGCAGGGGAGCAAAACGCAACCGAGGAGTGGCAAAGAGCGCTGCAGCTTTTCTGGGACATGCGCCTCGCTTTGAGACCCGATTTGATCCTGCAGTTGCTGAAAGGAAACGTGGTTTCGATGTTTGACTCGAGCATTCCAGATTGGATGATCCCCTCGATTTGCTGGTTCTTGAAGACATCTGTTTGATGTGTCCTGTTGGGGACTTAAGACGTATTCGCAAATGGAAGTCATGGAATTGATGCGGCGATCCTTGGAGGTGGTTTGGAGGGGCCGAACGACTGGAGATCTCAAGCCAGGTTCGCGTGTTTCCCCTATAGGACCAGAACGCGGCCTTTGGGGGGAGGGACCCCCCGCGCTTCAAGGTTGGGGGGGGTTAAGAGGGGCGGGTCCACCTGAGTTTTTTTTGTTTTTTCCGGCTTTGGGGTGGTTCGGACCGGGTGAGGGTTTCCGGGGCTGGGGAACCAACCAGCAGAGTCTTCCAGCCATGACCAGCTCAGGTCATAGATTCCTCTTGCGGGTGATTCCCTCATTCCCTGCGCGCACCAGCAAGTCCTTTCAGGGGACATCACCTAGGACAGTTTTCAAAGTGAGTCTGAGGGGAGAGAAGTGCAATCCAGCTATACATCCAGTTCCTCTCCCCGGGTTTGACGAGCTGATTTGTGCTCAAAGGTGACAGGTGCTCGGATCATTGGTTTCAAAGTACCACCCCATTGTCGCGTTGTAGTCTTTGTATTGTATCGCTTTGCATATGATGGCAATGGATTGCATTTGCCTTGCAACATGCACAGAACATGCACAGTTGACAGGAACATGAAGCAGCTTGCGTTCCATTGATAGAGAACATCCCGTGCGATTCTCAGCTTGTTGCTTGTAGAGGTCCTTTCATGTTTCGTTGTGTCACTTCGAGGGGTTATCTTGATCTTCTCACGCACCTCCCTTTTGGATGGTTTCACACAAGGAAAGCTTGCACGGTCTGCTTTTTTCCCGTTGTGGCCAGTCTGTTTCCCTGGGAGTGTTATTTCCGTCCCGAAACCGTTGGGGATGGGGCCAGCGTTGCCTGATTGAAAAGCCATCACTGGTTGTTGAAAACATCGGGTGTTGATTAAAGCGGTGCCGCGGTTCAGCTTGCCACATTCTGATCAACCCATGCACGGAAAAGGCCAAGGGCCACATGACCAGAACAGTTTCTCTGCTCGGGAAGTCATGTCGTTTCCGAGTTTCAATTCAACGACAAACTGTTGAACTGACACGGTGTAATAACTGATTGGGTAGCACGCCCCGGAACCTTGAAGTACCAGGCGCAGTCCGAGTCTCGTTCAGTCCGTTGATGTCGGGTCCACTGACGGGAAGAGATCTGAGGAGCGCCTGGAGTGTGGAACCAGACCTCATCAGCTACAACTCCACACTGAGCGCCCTCAAATCATCACCCGCCCAGACCTCCCAGCTCTGGGCACATATGGCCAAACAAGGACGACCTGACCTGGTGAGTTCCCACAGCTGCATTTGCGGGCAAGAAGGTTTTTCAGAATTTAGCATGGGCAACGGTCCGAAGAGGTCAAAGAAGACGCCTTTGTTTGGTTGTACATGGGGTTGTAACACTTCCAAAATGGGGTTTGTTGGGTTTATAACTTAGAAGCTTATGTCCAATCCATATGGCTGCCAGGCAATGTGATGCAGCTCCGAGCGGAGCAAGCGCTTGTTTGTTGTGAGTTGTTTTTCGTGCGCAGTGTTTTCTCTATTGATGATGTCTAGTTCCATTTGGAGGACAGTGACGCCTCAGTCCTCAATGACACTGATGCACTGGCCAAGACCTGGTAACTGCAGGTGTGAACAATGGTTTTTCTTCGCCAAGTGCGAACAACACGTCTGATGATGCGAATTCACTTCAGAGCAGGCAGTTTTTGACCAATCAACTTCAGTGGAAGCTGCGATGTGGCTAGCCATATTTGGCTCCAATATGCAATTGGGAGCCAGCTCCGAAATGGTTGTTGGACATAGATCCTCACCCAAAGAATGTCCACAGGGTCGGCCATTAAGATTTAGCCATTTGATGTTTTCAGTTCTCAAGACAGTGAACGGTAGACTCTTTGGCAAGACCATTTGAGTGGTAGCCAAGAAGTCTGGTTACTTGTTCCGTCTCCACCCAGACTAAGAGTTGATAGAGCTCAAGACCCTTGGAGTTGACAACTTTCCGTTAGCTCACCTGCCCACTCCTGGCAAGTGCATTGGCCCTCAATCAACTGTGGAAAGAGGGGTGTCTCTCGATGGCAAAACTTTTTGCGCGAGGCTTCAATGCGCTGCTGGCATCGCAGCACTGGGTGGATGTTGCCTGGCATGCACCATGAACTTTCCACCCTGAAGCCCCGAAACCCACATTGAACCCACCCAAAATCCACCCTAAACCAACACTAAAACCCGCCAACAGCCCACCCCAACTAAGCACCCAGCTAGCCACCCCCAACCCGCCCGAAACGAACCCAACCCTCTTGGCGTTGCGTTTTGGCAACAAACTTCAAAGAGTGAGCCCTTTGCAACTGTAGTGCATTAGGATGGGCCCGAGCCTAAACATATTTCCGTCAGGAACAAATCAAGCCCTTCCTCCCCCTTAAGGCGATGAATCGCTTTCTGTTTTTCAGGTGCGCTCTAAGTCAAGCCTTTGGTGAAGGGGAGATCAAACAACCTTGTGATTTCCAGCTTGTCGATCACCACCAGGGGAATGAAAAAGCCTTTTGAGACCAACCAAAACGTAGAATCGCAAACCAGGGTGATTTACTTAAATGATACATGTGAGCCAGACAAAAACTCCTTGACCAGCCAATTTTGAGGGTCCGACTCCTTGTGAATCAGCAGGTTTTGTTGGATGTATCCTTCAAGCTGACCTCCACCCTGGTCTTTTTGGGAAACCCACAGGTTGCTTAAACAGGGAGGGCAATCTATCTTCGCAATTTTCCTCAAGGCTTTTGTTTCATCCCCTACCCAGACCTCCCCAAAAGCACAAAGCGTAACATATTTGCTCTGCTCGGGCGCGAGGCGCACGCTCCGAGGCTCTGCAGACCTTCGCCCAACTGCCTCTCTACCGCCTAGCGCCTGACCGCTTCACCATCTCCACCCTGATCTCGCGCTGCTCGAGCTCCGCGTGGCGGCACCTTGAATGAAGCCGGCGGTTTTTGTTTTAAACTTGGCCGAAGGGAATTTGGGTCTAAATTTCTCTCTTCCTGAGTTCCTGGACTAAACGATTTGGGTTTGGACCCAGTTTAGCAAACGACAAGTTTGGACTTTTTTTGGCCAATCCACTCAAAAAGTGAGAAATGCGGTTGTACACCTCGCGGTGCTTGCTGGATCTATAATTGAACCATTGGACAACCAAACAAAGGCCGCCAAGTGAGGAACCTCTAACCACCTTTTTTTTAGAACAGGGCCACAACCCCATTCACTTTTTGGGTTGGTACCGCACTCTTTTCTGACTGTGCCGTTTGAGCATGTGCCAATTGTTGCATGGACAGGCTTGCTGACGAAATCCGTGCTTCACCCTTGTGTTTTACAGTATTTTGTGGAAAGCCTGCTTGGCAAGCATGGGTTTGGCAGTTGGGCCGGCATGATCAAGGCGCGACGAAACACATCAGCGGATATTTGTGTGGCGTCTGGTGGGACTGTTTCGAGCCGAAGCTATGTTTGATCGCGCCCAGTGCATGCATGAAAGTGTTTGCTTGGCAAAGCCTATCCCTGTAAAAACTGAATATGGTGCTTCGACTGAAGGTCGATTAAAAGCGAGGAGACGCTTAGTAGTCACTGTTGCTTGCGCAGTGCATGTGTGGGGCAATATGCTTAGCATTATCTCGAATTGTTTGTGTGAGGCGAGGGACATTCCTTTTCGCTACAGGCTATGGCACCTTTGTGCCAGTTGGCGACGTCCGACCCTGTCGCCCCTGAAGGTCTGTCACAGTGTGTGCTGCATGGCACACCAAGTTCATCTATAAGCCAAAGCATTTCCGAGAAAGCAGCGGGAACAGTTACGCAGTTACTTGCTGAGAGGATCTTTGCTTCATCCCAGTCTGGGCTTGAAGGGCAACTATGTTTTTTCCCCAACTTCTGGCAACCCAGCTCAGCACGCAGCAGCGCCTGAAAGCATTTGACCTATGCTTCTTGGATTTCAAGAAAACAGGCATGGGAATGGCTCAAAGACATGTACCCAAATTTGGCACCTTGGTAAATGGAGCCAAAGACTAAAGCCTGCGTAACCCTGGCTCTTCAATTTTGAGCCATACCCACATCGAGTCACGACGTCAAGACCGTGCGACGAATTTGAGGACTGCTCTGAAGCTTCTGGTTCACATGGATGTGCCCGCGGCCCGGCTGCGTCTTTGCTCATTTTATTTCAGGCCTCCAGAGGTGTTGTCCCCCCCCCCGTTTTCCCCCCTTCCTTTTTTTCGGACGGGGATAGGGGTTTGGCTTTAAAGCAAGGGTGCCTTATTCTGAGCGGAATCTAATGGAGGTCTGAGTGCCTTAGGTGCCTTGGCCTTTACCTGCAATGGCCTAGGCAGGATGGTTCGTTAAAAAGAAAGAACTGGATTGCCGCACGCAACAGACAAAGGACTCTCTTCTTGGTTTTCCGGAAACTGGCAAGCTCGGCTTATTTACACAACCATGATTCACGTGCAGCAGCGAAAACAATTCTTTATTTCTAACAGTTTGTTGCATTCAAGGATCATTTAGGCGTGTGTTTTGTTGAGGCTACCGAGAAAAGGGAAAGCTAAGCAAAGAAAAGCCACGATTTCTGCACCGCGATTTTGACACACCAACTTTTCTATGGGACAAAGCAGAGGTTTCCTCCTTGCCATAGATTGCCCTCTCTTGGGAACTGGTCTTCAATCTATGTGTTGATTTCCAGCAAATCTTTACGAAGAAGCGTCAAGAGTTCTGTACGTTTTCCTATTTGGTGGATGTACCCCACTTTTGTTGGGGCCCTTTCAGAGAAAGTCTCCTTTGTTTGGGGCAATGTTGAAAGGGGTGAATGTGGGCAACCCAATATGTTTGCTGGGGTGGTTGGCTTTCGGTGGTTGATGCAGCAATGGGACGCTGTCCGTTGAGGTTTGAAATTGAATGTTTCAAAAATAATTGGATTTTCCAAGTACCCTCCGCAGGAGCTATGTTTGTGGGAAAAAGGGTAAACGTCAGTGCCGGTATATGGCTGTGGGTCAAAACCCTGTACTCCTGGTGAATGTCAAAATAGGTGCTACATGGGGGTTCATCCGCCCCAAAATGGAGGCATAGGTTATGACCCATGGCCATATGTATCCAAGATCATAGAAGTGGCATTTTCAAGAGGATGTGTTTTGAACCCCATTTGCTTCCATTGGAAAGCGGTCCCCAAAAAGAAGTTGCCTCGAATATCAATTGCACACATTATGCTCATGATCCTGACTTGCTTTGGGCTTTAAGAACCCTACTTACAAGCACGTTCTAATTCTTTGGCCACTTATTGTAGCGCATATCTACTACATGGGTGTTTGTGTGTTGGTGTTTCCCCTCATCTCCTTCCCTTCCCCCCCGTTATTATTCGACCAATTGCCCTCAAAGCACAAACCCACCACCCACCCCGCCAAGGGCCGGGTCTGTTTTGGACGGCCGGTACTCTTTTTGTATTTGGACCACCGCCCACAGCCGCTGGTGGGACGAGCTCCACTTTTGAGTGCTTTTTGTGCTTGATTGCTTTTTTGTTGGGTGGGGGGGGGAGGGGTGGGGGGGGGATGATTACGTCACTTCTTCGAGTTTGCTCGACAAGAACTTCATTATTTCCTGTGTTTGTGGTGTGTGTGGGGTTCTTTTTAACCGACAAAGATTTGGAGAATCAACTTTTGGGTGAACAACCGATTGAGGACTTGAAAAGAGAATTCATCATGCGGTTCCCAGGCAACATGCGGTCTTGAACATAGCAAAATGCTTGACAGGCGACGCTGGCTCCTCAAGAGCCTGTGTGTTGCCTGCAACCAAAAACCGACAAATATTTGGGGAATTAACTTTTGGGTGAACAACAGATTAAGGACCCCTCCCCGTCAGCTTTTGAAAAGAGAATTCATCATGCAGTTCCCAGGCAATATGCAGTCTTGAACATGGCAGAATGCTTGACAGACGATAGTTGGGGGCTGAAAAAATGAGCTTTTGAAAGCAGGGTGCCACTAGGATTCGGGAACGCAAGCAATTCTCAGTGGCTCGCCGCGTTTCACATGAGGGACCGACAGTGCTCTCCTTTCCCGCCCTGTAATTGCAGCTTGGACAGGTTGCCCCGAAGCAAAAAGCAAAATATTACGCGGGCTACTACGGGCGGTGTACCGAGTTGGTGTCAGCTTCTCTTGATTGGTGGTTTAGATTTGTTGAGTGGTTTCCCAGTTGCCCTCTACCAGGGCTTCAAATCCGAAGCCAAACCACCACCCCAACCCACCAACCAAGCGTTTTCTGATGGTTGAAGAGGAGACATTTGGGTGTGGCTCAACAGTAGGTACCCAAAACGGATCCCTGGAAAATGGAAAGGTTTAATTACTAGAACTTGCGTAACGCACAGCTGTTTAATTTTGACCCACACCCATTTCGCGAGCCGCGCCGACTTTCGCAGGACCTCACCTGTCACAATGCCACGCTGACCGCCTTGGGCCGCGCGGCACGGTGGCAGCACTCCGCGCTGCTGCTTTTCGGGGATTGGACCCATGGCCAGGATATGGCCCTGGGTGCATCTGTTTAATGTTGACCCCACATGAACCAACCTCAGTTTATGAATAGGGGAGTGTCCATTTCTGGGTTTAGCGGGGAATCAGACCACTTTTGGAGGGAACCCCCCTATGAAGAAGCCGCGGTTGACCAAAAAGGGGTCAACATTAGGGAACCTTCCCAAAGAAAGATGGTGGATTCCGTTCTGGTTTCGCTTTAAACACACAAACAAACAGCACCCTCAAAAAAATAATTCCCGGGTTTGCGCTTCTTTGGTATTTCTTTAACGGTCGGCTTCGATTCAACGGAAGCCGAAAAGCAAACCAAACACAGATGTTGGGCTCCATGTCAAGGAGAGTGCCCCCCTTGGGGTTGTGGGACTTGCAGGTTAATCAGAGTATGAAAGTTGCCATTTACACAATGAGTTTTGCTTCCCTTATGTTACGGCTCTGGCGCATGACACAGATCGTGGCAGTGGACCTGAATGGTTCACTCACCCGCAACTAAATGAATATATTGTCAAGATGGGCGGAGCCTCAAAATTGTGGTGTCCTCTCGGTTTCCCAGTTTAATCAAACCCACAAAAATGTCCCCTAGAAACCCATAGCCATGACGCAGCGGAACCTTCGCCGTTCTCAGCGGCTGGGACCTGAACAGGTGGGGGGGCAGGTGGGTCTTGCAACCACTGGCTTGCAGGTTCTTCTTGTGCTGTTTTTGTTTGGTGACGGACAACTCTCATTGGCTGGGCTGGATGCTTGGTTTATGCTTTCTTCGGAGACTCGAGTCAGGACCGGGGTTCAGACAGATGCGTCGAAACCAAGGAGCGTGCGGCCGGATGTCATAAGCTACAACGCCGCCATCGACGCCTTTGAGAAGGGCACGCAGTGGCTTGGCGGCTCGTGCGAGCACCAAACGGGCACCAAAAGCGTTGTCACTTCGGGTCTTGGCTTGGACACTGGTTTCCAACCCCTACCAGGGGCGGCTCATTTGGATTTTGGGTAACCATGGGCAGCCCTTGGAAGGTCCTGGTTTCAGGCGCAGTGTGCGGGGGTGATGTTTGGACTTCCGCAGCGTGTTTGGCCGTCTCTGCAACCGGAACAGCGATCGAGACTCGGGACCGCCCGGTCGGTCGCTCGGGGGGGTTGTGTTGGTGCGGATATCCGCCTGGATTCTTTACATGACATGGTGGGTGGACTCTCCTTTCCGGACCCGAACTAGATGGGCCAGTTCTCATGAACAGGTTTCGATCGCTTGAGGACCATCATGTAGCATGTGATGGAGCCCCATGCATGGGTCGCTCCATTCAGGTGGCAGCTGGCCATGCACTGCTTCAGTCTCCATGAGAAGCCCAATGAGATCAGCGTCTCGGCATGCGAGTAGTGGGCAATACATGGGTGTCATTTTGTTGGGAGAATTTCCCGCAAGACAAAGAAAGAAAGAAGAAGTGGTTTCTCCGTTTGGATACCCTTCAATGCAAGGCCAAGTTTAAAAGGGTGACCTGAAAAAAAAGAGACCCAAATCGGGCCCCTCAAAGGACACTCTTGGGCTTGGAAAACAAACAACTGTACCAGTTGGAATTATTAGAGAATCCCAATTACTTCAGCAGGTGGTTTTGGATATCCTTGAAAGGTGGTTGTGTTGCCTTGGCAAAAAGCCACCTGGGGGCATGGTACTGTGGAAGCCATAAATATTGCAAGTTCCGCCACCTGGGATATGGACACTGATTCTTTGGCACCGCTCACTGCGTGCGAACCCCTCTCCCCAGCTACAATGTTGAAGCCAATCGCGTAACCCTTCTTCCCAGGCCCAAAATCTATTGCAAGTCCAACACTGTATTAGGGGAGTGGGGCTGCAGATGTCGTGTCATGGTGTTTTTTTGGTAGACCGTGCAATCTGTTGTGCTTCGCACTTGCCACATCTAGGGCTTCGATCGTATGGTCCTGGACACCTTGCTGGGGAACCATGACCGGAGCCCCTGTCAAACCAAAAAGGAACGGATGGTGTGTCTTTTCTTTTGGGCACCCCCAGACAAAAAAGCAGCGGGGTCCATAGCATATGTTGAGACACCCCATTGAGCTTGTCAGCACCAAGCGATTCCGCAAACCTGGGGATTTGCGGGATTTGTCCGCTGACATGACTATCTGAGAGGAAATATGATTCCCGATTTATGATTGTTGGAAAGAATATGCCTGACGAATCTAAGGGACCCGGGGAGAAGGGCGGCGAGCTTACGCGGCTGATACATGTCCCATAGTCAAAACACGCTGTTTTGGGCCAGGGTTGGTCATGGGCGCCAGGAATGTTGACAACTGTACGGGTCCCTACTTCGGGAAGAACTGCCCCACATGTTGGCTTCCCGAAATCTATTTAGGGGCAATGCATTTGCGACTTTTCGAACAGTATGCATGTTGGCGGAAACCGGTCTGCAGGACGGCTTCACCGTTCATATTGGCAGTTCGCGTTCGGCACATGCTGCACAATCGTGCCTCCAGATGGAAAGTTGACGTTTTCCATGGGCACCGAAGATCCTGTGATTCCTTCTCAGGCAAGCGGGGTCGCACATCTTCGTGTTCACTCTTCACAGGATCTGTTTGGCCTCGGCGCAGATGTGCTGGAATCGCCCTCACTTCCTGAGTTCCTGGACTTTAAACTTTTTGGGTAGACCATTTTAGTGGTAAACAATAAGTTTGGACACTCCACTCAGGAAGTGAGGCCCTTATCCTTTCCCACCGTTCTAACCTTCCCATCCTTTCTCTTCTTTTTCCCCCCTGCAAACTAATAATAGAACCCAGAATAGGTTTCCCCAAAAGGAGTTTCCTCTACCAATTGTGGTGTTTGGGGTTGCATATTAATCTGTAGCGGAACACCCCTTTCCATCCTTCACATCTTTTCATTTGTTCTATCCCATTTCAGTTTGTCTGTGCTTGCACAGGATGATGAGTGCAGCATCCAAAAGCATCCCCTTTGTTAGCACGCATTCAACGGGTCACCCAAATAGTTGCATCTTTGGGTTCCAACAATTTCTTTCTGGATGTGACACTTCGGAATAAACAAGTTAACCTGTTGGATGTGACCTAATTCTCCCGCGCTTGCGCGATCCGGACCCGTTGCTTCGTGCCCTGGCCCGAGGCTTCGGGGCAGGCATCAGCGCCTGCGAGAAGGGTGGGCAGTGGCAAAGCGCCTTGGCGCTGCTGCGACAGATGGGCCGAAAGCAGCTGCGACCAGGCGGATTCCAGAGGGTTTTGTGAGGCATTTTTGATCGCGGCCATAGGTTGGGGACGAACTCCGACTCGAGTTTGTTTGCCCTGGTTAAGAAGCCCAGGGAAGAATAATAATTTTGAGTGTTCCAACTTGAGTTTGTAAATGATGGTGCTCCTTGGACACCTACTAGAACAGTGACACTGGCAGAAGCCAACTTTCCGAGCGCTGAGATCGGAATCAGCCTATGCGGTAGGAATCGCGGTCAAGCCTAAGATGTAGGCCCTTTACTTGGGCAGCCTTACTGCAGGTTTTTGAGAATTATTGTAATTTGTGCAGATCTAGTTAACCCTTACTTGAGGTTAAAAGGAATTGTAATACTTGAAATAAATCGGGTTGTTAAAGGAAATTCTGGAGCATGCTTGGGTGAAGTGGGAACTTCTGACGTCCTCGTCGGATTTTGAGGGATCCTCGCACAAAAGCCACTTTGGTGTGTTTGACGCGCCTACAAATTGAGAAAGGGTCCAGGTGATTAGATGTTCCATACCATATGGGCGTTCCGAAAAATACGGACTCCCCTTTGTCAAGGGCAGCCCATTGGGTGCCTTCAGGCGCGTGCCCCAACCGTATGTGCCCCTTGGTATGGCCTTATTCGTCGCTATTAGCCTTGGGGGGCCCGTTGGGGGGCCCAGACGACCATAGGAGTAAGGCTTCTTATTGAGGGAGCCGTGACCACGGCCCGCACGAGTTTGACCATGTGTGTGATACTGGCTGGTGATGAGCAACGGGGCTAAGGTGCCTAAGGATACTCAAGAGTCCATGCTGAAAAGGAATCAGGGTTCGAGCGGTTGTTCATTGATCCGTATCAGCGTAGTCTTGGGTGGCAGGGCTGGGCGCCAAGGGCAAAGTTGCTGCAAGGCACTGTAAGGATTATGCCACCTTATGCCCAGACACGCCCCACTCCGGTTAGACCATCCCGCAAGGAATGCGTTTCAGCTTGTTGTAACTTCCGGAGATTCGAATAGCATGAATACTGAGTGGTCTGCTGGGACGAAGGTCGTGATCTGGCAAACAGAGGTCAAATCAATCCCATCTCAAGTGCTGAGAGGTGTGTTCAGGAATTGAGAGTCACTGAGTTTTCGAAAGCAGGCCTCATATCCTATGAGCCCCCCTTTTGGAGTAATTATCTTTGTCATTCTCAAGGAACCTTTGCCAACCTTCGCCCTGGACTTCTTGACGTTTGGCAGCCTTCAGTCGCATATACGTGCCTACCAACATGTTGGCCACTCACATGTGAGATAATATGGGTGCATGGTCCGTTTCAAGCCCTACCCAAACGCTCTGCCCAGTCTAGTAAGTGGCCCCGGATCAAAATTATAGTAATTAGGGCTCATATTAGATATTGACCAACGAGCTCGCTATGATTCAGGTCCTTTCCCTGGGGGTTCAATTCTCACTCCGATTGACCATGCTCGAACCCAAACTCTTGGGCCCTCTGGTTTTTGTTGTTCCAGGGAACCAAAAGGAAGCCACTTCCATTTTGGGGTTTCCCTTTTTGGGTATGTCTTTTCTTGGGGCATCCCCATTGGTTGTTTCAAAATTGGAAACCACGAGGAAGACCGAAGACATCTCGGGGGGTCCCCCAAACAAAGACAGACTGGGACTTGAAGGTCTGGTGGTCTACAACGCAGCCATCAGCGCCTGCGAGAAGCTGAGCCAGTGGCAGAGCGCTCTAAGCCTCTTTAGGGCCATCCCTCTGCCTGACGCAGCTGGGCTCAGAGCGAGAGACGGGGATGATGGCTGGCGGGGTGGGTCTTTTTCTCACTGGACTTTGGTCACTTCTGTGGAGACACATGTTGGTGGTAAGCAACAAGTTTGGGGACTTGTTTTGGCCAATCTACTAAGGAAGTGAGTTTTTATGAGTTTGCACATGGCATAGCATTCATCACCTTTTGGTGGGGGTGATACTTAAATGAAACATAAAAGTAAGGAACCTTGAGTTTGAGACACTCTATGAGGCTGGTTCAGCCCTTGCTGTTGTTGGGGGGAAAACAACATATCCCCCGGTCCCAGTGCGATTGCCATGGAATCATGCAATGTGACTTCACGCGCGTTGTGACTTAGCACCATGGGAAGGCAACAATGGGCGTGTGGCCGACTTCCACTCAGGAGATGGTTTGGGACCTGGCTGAGCAATGCCTAAAACCAATTCCTATCTGCCATTTGAGTAGGTGGCCTACCTGGACAAATGAATTTGTCAGCCTTGACAACCGTAGCACCATTGGACCATGGGTGGTTGCTGCTCACATCGAACAAAAGTTTGGTGAGTCCCAAATGAACCATTTACGGGTAACTTCGCAGCAACCCCGTTCGTGTCAACAGGGGGACCCCGACATGCATGGCTTCGGTTTTCCTCGTTCCCCTTTCACCCACCCCTTAAAGAGAATCCTCTATCCTTGAACAACATGCCACTTCCACCCACCCCGGTTTGGGGTTCAAACCCTTGGATTTGATCGACACCCGAGACCTTCAGCTTCGTGGCAGTGATCAGCGCCTGTGAGAAGGCCACCCTCTGGCAATCCGCCCTGCACTTCCTCCGCGTCTTTCGAAAGACTCGAGAAGAGCAAAGCGCGGCGCCCAAAGCGCGCGGAAAAAGCGGCGCGCTCTGAGCGCCCGGCGGAAGAAGTGGGTGGGCAAGCAGAGAACTTATGTCCATAAGATAAGCTAGAAGTTCGGTTGAAGTAAATGCTTTTTTTCAGACCAATCAATCGTGGCTGAGTTGCTGAGGTGAGAGTGGCTTGCTTTCTTTTGTCCTTTTCGTGGAGAGGGTTTGTCTCAGAATAGGGACCCCAACGGTCGGTCTCAAATTGGCTTTCCTTAGATTCAGATACTCTCATATGGGGTGTCCAAACAAGGTGTATGACTGTTTTTGGACCACCTTATGTTTTGAGACTGCGCATTAGGACTAAAAGCCAAACAGGGGGGATACTCCGCACATCGGTTTTCTTTAGGTTTCCCTTGTTACCATTCCCCCCCCACACAAAATAAAGGCAAGACTCTTTTCAAGCGATAGCTTGGGTGGAGGGGAAACCACAGGAAACCCCAAAAACCAACTCCAGGGCATTCGCCCAGGTACCTTTCTCTTCCTTTTTTTCTGTGGGTGTGTTGTTGTTTTTCCGGGTTGATCCTCCTTGTTTGGGGTTCAAAGGGAAACCACCAGGAAGAAAATCCACAGATTCGGGGCGTCCGACAGACCCAGCGGTGGGCAGTCAAGGGAATGACCCAGTTTGGCGTCACGGAATAGATCGCTTCCCAGAGCGGGCTTCCCTGAGACCGCCAATCTTGAGGGGGTCTTCCGAAATGTATCCGGTTTCCCATGTAAAATAAAGATAAAATAGACCGACCAAAGGTTTTGGAAGAGAATTTGGGAAATGGACTCCGAAGCTGCAGCCACGGAGTTAGGGGTGGAATGCGCTCGGGAAACATACACATGCGCTCCATGGTACCTGCGGCAACATGTGTCTGGTTTTGCTCATGGTGCACGCGACTTGCAGCAAGATGTGTTTGTTTTAGTGGCTGCTGTGTTGTTCTTGTGGATAGGCGACTGGCGTCTTATTTTTTTTTGCAGACGTTTCTCCGCGGTTGCTGGTAGATAGCTTGTCCTTGGGTTTGCAGTGAGTAAGCAATACTTTGACTTGCAGTGCTTGCAAAAGGGGCGAATAAGTATGGAGAAACCTGCTGTCGAGCCAGGGCGGAAAGCTCCCCGGAATGAATCCACGAACCTCGGAAGTGTTGATTCAAAGTTGGGAGAAAGTAAGAGGCATCATTGCAACTAATGTCAGTTTCGTCGTACCCTTTACTCAACCGCATCTACCGGAAAATCGTGCCATTTACTTCACCTTGGGATTTATCCGCAGATGCATCTGGAAGCTCCCCAAAATGGTGGTATTCCTTTTGGCTTCCCTTCAAGCCACCCTGAGGGCTGGCCTTCACATGACAGGTCGTCGCGATCGCACCTCGTGATGATGCTCTTTCTGGGCAGCTGGGATGTCAGCACAGGCTTGCTTGCTTGCTTGCTTGCTTGCTTGCTTGCTTGCTTGCTTGCTTGCTTGCTTGCTTGCTTGCTTGCTTGCTTGCTTGCTTGCTTGCTTGCTTGCTTGCTTGCTTGCTTGCTTGCTTGCTTGCTTGCTTGCTTGCTTGCTCTCTGTGGGGATGTATCCAAACAGGGTAATTATCCCGTTTTGGTTGGTGTTGAAGGGAAGCTATATCACTTTGGCCACGGGAAATGAGTTCCCCCCGTCTTGATGTAGAGGAAATTAGCTGGAGATCTGTTGCTTACCCGTGCCAGGTTTTGCCTCGGGTGAAGGATTCCTGTCATTTGGTGGTGCTCCGCAGCACATCGGATTGGCAGGTGTTTGAGCCAGACAGATCCTAGGTTCTACAGATCCATGTTATCGAAGCGTGCAACTCGGTAGGTGGTCAAATGAATTAGTGTTCACTCTGGGATGATTAGCAATTCTTGCTGTGGTGTTTGAAGCCATCTGTAATTACTCGGCAGGAGGGACGCGCAGAGTGCATGTGGATCATTGTTGGAGGTCACAACACGCGCAGCTTGAACGGCTTATTTTGCGGCACAGTTTGATAGTGTGTCGGATTTCCCGATTGCCCTATTTCAGTTTGAAAGCCCTGCTTGAAACAAACTCCCTTCGCCAGGACGACTGCGCAATTACGGCAAGCTGAGCTTTGTGGATTTGGCCTGCACCTCAAATCTGCTCTCTTTGCGTTGGTCAAGTCAAAGTCAAATTTTGATAGATGGTACCAAGCTATGACAGCTGACAAGCATGACCACTATTGTGTCAATGTTGTTACGTGCACTGTTGGTGCGTCTATGTACATCTGAATTGGGTGAGAGTAGATGGCCGCCATCTACTAGCGGCGATGAATTCTACATGGCCAGGGCCTTGGCCCAATTCATGGGATATCGGACATATCTTAAGCAGCTGACCCAACGGTCATGTGGAAAGCTGAGGGGTTTAGCTTGCCAGTTTCCATGACACCGAGGGAATGTCCTAGAGAAGAAGTTCACGGGGATAGATTCGGTATTCAACGTGACTCAGCTGTCGCCAAGCACTATGCCTGGACCCCTTTTCGTGAATATGTTTAGGGCCCTCCAAATGCTTGGGGGTGGTGTCCAACTTGGATCCATCATTTACAGGGAAGCTATTCAAGGTTTAGTGGTAGTTTCCATTCAACCCAACAAAAGTTCAAACTTAAATATAGCAGGGAATCTGAGGACAGCCTAAGATATCACTTTAGTGGTCATGGTGCGTTCGCAGATTTCGATGGGGACTTCAGCCGGGGACTGCAAGCCACGCCATTTGCCCTACTCTCAGCCAGAAGGCTTGTTTGGGGTTCGCTTTTGGCGGTTTTTCCTGCCGTTTTTCCACCTGTACTGTCCATAGTGGATAATTGTTTCAGGTTGCCAGCTTCTGTAAAGGGAATCCTTTCAAAGTCGTGTCACGAATGGCACATGGTACTTTATTTTCTAGTTTTTGTTGGACCCCTCAAATGGATTGTGTTTGTTTTTGTCTACCAATGATAGTATGCATGGCAAATGCATAAGTATTGATGCATCGGCTCCATGTTGCTCTTTTGAACATTTCACGTCCTCTCACTGTGATTTTCCTTCAAACCGATCCCAAACACCGCGCACCACGCCTCAAGAAAAGTGAGCCCCCACCTTCAGGCGGGTAGCGAGCGCCTCAAGCGCAGCGAGGCCTTGCTTCGAACGCCCGGAAGTTTTAGGGAGCCTTGGCTCAGGTAAAGGGAGACCAAGTGGAACCTGTGAACCATCAAGGGAAACCAGCAAGGTAAAGGGAAACCAACATGGAAACCATCCGGTGCTATTTGTGGTGAACCAGTTGTTTTTTCTCGCCACCATCCCCTTGAACATCAGGCATAAGCCCAAATTGGTGGTTTGGATTTGGATTTGAACACCTTCTAGAGGGAAGATGAGCAACCACTCCCGGAACGCCAAACTAAACCACCTGGCTCCAACCCACTAACCAGAGGGAAGCTGAATGGCTGGTGACAAATCCTTCGACACTATGCCATGTCGTCAGATGGGGACCTTCTTTTTGCCCGTTGCAAAGGCAACCCAAAGGAAACCAAACATCCCATACCATAGTGCCTCTTTTGAGGTTTAGATCGAATGCAAAGGGACACCACCTATTGGGGGCTTCCCTCATTTGCAGACGCACCCATAGTATCTCAAAACGGTGAACCAGTGAACTCCCCAAAACGCTAGCTTTCTCTTTGATTTCTGTTGAAGGAAACCACTCCTAGGCTATCCGCAAGAAAAGACAGACCCATATTCCAAGTGCTCATTCTGTCTATGACAGAATAAGTTGGTGTTCAAAGTATCCCTCAACTCCGTTCTAAACACACAACTTCATATTGCACTCAATCCATTCTTGCTCTCTAATTGTTTCCTGTCCTCTGGAGGGAATATGTTGAGCGTGGCTCATGTGGCTTGAGGATATCTCTGAAGCTTTCTTTATCTTGCCCGACGCTTTTCCCACCGCTCAGTTTCCTCCTTGACAGGAGTGCGCTGAGACAGAGAGACAGAGAAAGAGAGAGAGAGAAAGTTCAGAGTCATGCTCATTGCTTGTGCTAAGAGTCTACAACAGAAACGCTGTCAAAGCTGGCCCTGTTTTCCCCGTTGAAGTGTCTCAGTGAAGAAGCTGATGGAACGTCATAGTCACCGAGTCAAGGTGGCTCACGTTGATAGTTGGGTATGACGTCGAACCTGCACAATTCGAGAAATGCACATTCTAACGCAACTCTGGACTTTGCCAACTAGATGTACAAGAAAGCAAATGACATACCATGCAAAGGGCAGGGAAGACAAATGAGCAATATCCAACCCGTTTGCTGATGGCCAACAGATTGAGCAAGGGGATATCCAAGAGCCAAGGACGGTGGCCATGAGGCTCAAATCAAAACAGCGCCCAAGTTGAGGCGGGATTTCACGCCTACTGCGGCATATTGCCGAAAGCCTTGACTTATTTCGCCTGGCAAAGCAAACCAGAGTTCATGAGTAGCGGGTGGGCATGGGCTGGATGTGCAGCATATGGTCCTTTGCTTCTTTGCTTGCCGAAACGCGGCACAACAAGCCCAGCACAGATGCTTCAGACGTCAAGACACTAGACTCAGCTTGTTTTTTCGATGGTTTGCCTTGATCTTCCTTCATTTTTCCTTTCATCCAGCAACTCACTCCTCGAGTGCCTCGAGTGCAGCTGTTAGTCAAGCTGTTTGTCAAGTGCCGACTTGTCTGGCCAACACTCGCGGCCTTGGGCTGGCAACAAGCCACGGGGGCCCACTCCAGCCCTTTGAAACATCCTGAGAGAGCGGGCCATGGGCGGCGGCGCTTCAAAGCAGGCTGCCAAGGCTCGATATCGAGTGTGCTGGCGCCTTGTTTTTCTTTTTTTTGAGAAACCGACACAGGTGCGTCCCTTTTCAGTTTGGTTGAACATCGATTGGTTCCAGCGGCTTCAGTTTGGCAACTTGGTTTTTTTAGCTTGCTTTGTTTTTTCTCCAGGGATTCCGAGATGCCAAGGCGACATGCTTCAAAGTTTCAAAATGGTCAGAGGGGTGGAAATCCCACTTAATTTCACAAGGGTCATGTCCACTTGCGAGCCGTGTTTTTTTTGGGGCAAATTTTCCCGAGCCAGTGGATTTCGAGCCATCCGCTTTCGGTTCCTGCTCCAACGAATGGAATCAATCCCGAAAACGGTCCACCTGTTCAAGAAGGGTCACTCAAGTGCGTGCTGGATGGCTAGCACATGAAATTGCGGGCCTCGCGTGTGTGGAAGCTTCCAGGGGTAAACCTCTCCTGTGCTACAATGGCCCAAGACATTGCATGGGGTTGTGGAGTATTTAACCAAGTTGAGTCAGGACCATAGGATAATGATGTTTATGAACTTGGCCCCTTATATAATATAATTACACACAAGGACTGCTAGCTAGATCAAGCCCAACCAGCTACAATGTGTTGTGATGCAGCTGCACATGCCATTGTGAGGCCTCACCATAAGATATATGTTGCCAATTTGTTGCTGTTCTAAGGAAGCAACCAAAGGTACCCTGCTTGGAAGGGGTTCGGGTTCTGACTGAAGGGTTCTGGGGGTGGGGGCTCTGATGATCAGTCCTACTGTATATGCGCTTTCTGCGGAGGAAACTGCTTTCGTAGTCCAATACCTCGCCTGTCAGAAGAAGAAAAAATGACCTTGAATGCAAGGGGTGCAAGAGTTCGATACGGATCCAATCCGGCACTTGGCCAGAGTATTCTTCGTGTGCATTTATTTGCATGGCGAGACCGTTCTCTGGCAAAAGGTGCAGGTTTGTCTCTAAACAGAACCTCCAAAATCGGGGCCTGGTTGCGTCTGGCGCTAAAAGTAGCTTTGTGACAGGGCAGAGCTAAAGTCCAACTCCCAAAAGATACCCTGATACAAGTCACGACGCACCTCAACAAGGACTCCAAAACGACAGCCACACAACTCAGCCTACCTAAATCATAGCACTCCAAAAACAGGAGCCTTTCAGAAGATGCCACTAAGCCATATACTCAAACTCCACAAGGACACCCAGAGGACTTAGCGTGGGAGGAATCGATCGATCGCCTAGGCCTCCCAGGAGGCAGCGAAGGCTTCCCTGCAGCGGCGCAGACGGCTTCTCTTTGGGTCCCAAGAGACAAGGCGGGGCCCTTGGGCCCGGGGAAACGAGAAGCGGGAGGAGCGGGGAGGTGGGGAAGGGCTCAAAACGGGTGGCCTCGGATTTGGCCGCTTGGTGTGTCTTTCAAACTAGGCAGACAGGGCCCCCCTGCTTTTGGCGTGGTAACTTTTGAGGCTCGGTACCTTTGTTGGGTGGGTTTCACAAGAAGAAGCACAACACCAAAAAAAATGCTGCTGGTTCCCCAGCAGGAGAACTCAAAACGGGTGTTTTGTGGGGAGCCCTTTGTCTCCCTTTAAACCAACCTGACTCAAAGAGCTGGTACTGAAAGGGTGGCTTCATTCCAAATCCCAGTTTTGACCGCCCAATGATTCTACAGGGTTTGCACATATAGACTATGCTTGTTGTGAGGGTTTTCGGGAGGGGGGGGGGGTGACGAGGTCACCTAATGAAGGTCCCTATGTTGGGAGGCGCCCATGTCTCTTGGCTGGGGTTCCATGCTCATATGAACAGGGCTTTGGAACGCGACCTGCATTTTTGGAGAACGTGGCCTGGGTACTCATGTTCAATGCTGATGTGGTCCACGTGTCCACGTCGGACTGATATCTTCACACTCAGTTCCCTCTACAGTGTTCACTGATCTAGACATCTTTTGTTGACATTCCACGTCTTCGCTTTTTCCAAGTCTCACTGCGTTCATGGTTGTACTTTTTGGGGGAAGACCATTTTGGCAAGCAAACAGTTCAGGTTTCTTCCAAGGTTGGGCCAAGAAAGAGGGTTGATCAATCTTCCCTTCGGCCCCCAAATGACGATGGCGAACTTTGTCCCATGTGGGTGTGGGTCAAAAATAGGCAACCACCATAGAACCCTGCCAAATGAAAAGAAGGACTAAAACCTGCGGTCCCTGGTGGTGTATGTTCCCTTTGAAACCACAACAAACTGGGAACCAACTCCAAAAAGACAGACCCATCTGAAGCAGACTCTTTTGCCTCATGTGTTACCTCGCCAGCCCTCCTGTAGCCTTCGGTTTGACTCACTTGCCAGCGAATCGACGGGATCTGACCTTTTGGTGTCCACTTGTTGGTCCATTTTTCGTCATGGCCCCAGAAGGTGAATCTTATTTTTGGGGGTCCCTCAGGGGTAACTGAGTAGGGGAGAGCCTTCATTGCGCAGCTTCGGCTTGGATTCCGTCGGATATGACTGCTGCCATCGCAGCACTCCTCGCGCTGGGCAGATCACCTGGATCGCAGGCTATCCGTGCACTGCTGGCGCCCATTTCGCGACGCCCACCGGAAAAGATCTTGAAAGCTTTGGCGGCAAAGAGGGCGGACTTGCTCTTTGACGCTTTGCAAGTTCTGCAGGAAGATGCCTGGCAGAATGAGAAAATGAGAGGTCTCGCAGATCGCACGTGTTCAGCCAGAGCGTCCGGGCCTTGAAGACGGTGCAGGAACGAATATGTTTGTTTAAAAAGCCTCGCAACTGCAGCCATGTGGTTGCTTAAGTTGTTTTGCATGTTTGCTGAAAAGGAGCCCAGTATGGGGAGGGCAAGGTGTACGTGGAAATACCTGTGCAGTTTCGTATGCACCGTCAGTGCCGTCCATATCTGTAAAACAAAGACCTTCCAAGTACCACAGCCCAGTTTGTGCGCGTGTAAGACACTCGAAGTTCTTTGCGTGTGTTCGGGTAGACCACTTTGATGCCAGGTGTTGATTCTGACACAATTGCTTTCAAACAAGCCCGTGACAGACTAAGGACGGGTCCAAGCTAGGAGCCCGACACTACACCATCGGGATTTCCAGTTGCGCACGGTCTAGGAGGTGGCGAGAAGCATGCTGGCTTTTTGGGTCCATGAAAGTTCGGCCGGACCTGATTTGCTTGAATGCTGCCACCTGGCAAGGCTATGACATAATGAACTTTAAGACTCGCAACCGGAACCACCTCTCAAGTGGGTGAACATAAATCCTCTAAAAAAAAGATTATCCACCAAAGGGTCCCCCACTAAAACGCGTTTCCGTATAAATCCGGGTTTAGGTGTTTCTAGTTCATTGTTGCACCCCACGAAGAAGACCTCCCTCTTTCGGTGGGCTACCCGCTGATTGCAGGCCCCCAGACATGGATTCAGTGTCCACAAGGGCAGCGGATGTTCCACTTGCTAGCAAGTCGACCAGAGACTTTTTGGTTTCCCCTTTCATGTTTTTGTCAAGGCCCCAAAAAGGTGAACCTGTTTTTTGCTGCTTCTTCTCGAGTGAGTTCATGGTTGCTGTTTCGCTGAACGTTTGAATGCAACACAGAAGTTCCAAACAAGACATGTTGCACAAGGCGATGGTTTGGCTGGGAGACCAGCAGGTGTTCACTGCTTTTTTCTTTTAAGATGCCAAGAGAACCGTTGCCGCGCGCGTTTAGTTTGTTTGGAGTCGACAGAGTGAAGCCGACGTGGGTGTGCGTGTTTTGGAGTCTTTGGAGGGCAGCCTTTTCGTCATTTAACGGGAAAGTCGAGCTCCATTTTGGGGCCCCCTTCGACACACACACACGCATCTACCTTCCATCCACATTGCCACCAGAGAAATGGTCCCTTTTGAGGGAGCACGGTCCAAGCCAAGACCCTTCAGGTTCCGTTGCGTGGAGAGGGGAGCCCCGCAGCTTTGCTGGTGTCCTGTGTGTTTCCCTTTGGTTTCCATTGACCCCAGCCCGAAAAGTGGGCACCCCGAAAAGCGATCACATGCAACGGCACGCGCACACACACAACAAAAAAGAAGAAGTGTTTTTTTTCTTTCTCAAAATGATATGTTGGTGTACATGTAAACGGACCCCAAACTAAGTAGAAGGGATCCACCATTTTGAGAAACACATGTGCCTTTGCCAAGGCCATCAGCGCCTTTGAGAAGGGTGCCCAGTGGCAGCAAGCCTTGAGCACATTCCAGTCCTTGCCAACCAGGAAGCTTCAGCCCAGCGCCATTTCCTTCAATGCCACCTGGTTCTGACAGGGCTCTCTACGTATCCACCCAAAAGGGGGGTGGTTTTAAAGTGAAACCCAGTGAAACCGGGAAAACACCATTGAGACCTTTCCCCAAAGAGTGGTGTTGATCAGCTTTTGGTTGCCCATGGACGAGTTTTCTTGTACGTTGATATTGGATGTGGCGCAAAATCCCGTTCCAAGATACATGTGATTGCACGGACTCTTTGGAGTACATGGTTTTCGGAAGGTTCTGTGGGCCTCCAGGTTCGTGGGGAGGGTATGTATTCCGTTTGCGATTGTTCATTTTGCGATGATCAGAGGTTCTTGGGGCTTTCAATGGAAGACCCGACTCTCCAGTAGACACCTGGAGGTGTTTGGGGGTCTCAAACCTTGGCTGTCTGAGGGCCCTAAATTGATTGAGAGCGTCTGGGTGGTCAGATAGCCTTGACTGGTGTACTTTGTTGATTTGATGATTTGCACATCCTCGGCCAGTCCTAGCCCATCCTTTAGCAGGACTATGGTTATCATACTGGGACTACCTAGAATGGATGTTATGATTGGAATATTTGATTTGGTACCCTCCCCCAGGTTAATGAGCACGGAACCTCCAAGGACCCCTTTGGAAGACTTGGCTCCGTTTACAGAGTGGGAACTTCCATGTCAGTCCAGGGAGTGTAGTTCTGCTCATGGCGGATTTGGCACAATCTGCAACATTCGCAACGGCCGGTTGCTTTGAGTGAGGCAACCATCAGCTCCTGCGAGAAGGCTTGGTTACGCAAAGAGAGGGAACCTGGTTGGTTTCCCAGGGCTCCTTAAAAGATACATGTTGCCCTGTTGAAATCATGGCATGTTCCACCAAAATACAGGGAAACCACCATTGACAAGGCAATGTTCAGGTGTATAATGCAAGGATCCCTATTTCCTTTTGGTTTCATTTGAAATACGAACCATGTTTGTTTGCCGTTGCTTTCGTTTGAAATATAAACTATATTTATCTTGCAATACAACATATATTGGTTTCCTTCTGGTTGCCGTTTTAAAATCCAACCGAAAGGGGTTCCGTTTTGAGAAACTTTCATAATGAGAGGCACGGCAGTGGCAACATGCGCTGCACCTCTTCAATGCCATGCCAGCTTTTTCAGCTCAGCCAAGCTTGGTGAGCTACAATGCAGCCATCACCTCGTGTGAGAAGGGCGCGCAGTGGATGCAAGCAGTCTGCCACTCGGGTTGGCATTAATGGTATCGGTTCCGGAAAAGGCTTCCAGGGCCGCAGGGGAGGTGAGGGAGGGAGCCCAAAGCAGGCCTTGTGAATAGCGAACTTGGGCTCTCTCTCCCCTCCCCTCCCTTCGCCGGGTGAAATTGTGGCAAACGAAAGCATTCAATCACGGTCCTTCAGCACCGTATTTCCATACTTCATTGTCGCAAGCCAAAGCTGAGCACTGGATGAAAGCCATGATGAGTGGAAGAACAGAACGGGTTCCAGGTTTTCTTTTGGTTTCCCTTGGAACTTACCTAAGGGTAGCCTTCGCATCAAACTAAACCAAAACCCAAAGCATCATTCCCGGGTGCTTTTGCCAAGGCCTCTTCCGATCCATCCCACAAATTTTGCTTCAACCAGACGTGATCAGCTGCAATGCAGTACTGAGCTCCTGTGAGAAGGCCGCTCAGTGGCAGCAACTTGCCATCCGAACAGTGCGTTACATCGACGAGCGTGAAACGTCGAAAACGAAGGGGGGCCGAGTATGTTTCAATAAAACCACTATTCAACACCCGACAAAGCACAGGATGACTTGGCCGAATAGTTTGGATATTGACATGGCATCGTAAGACTGAGATTTAATGATTCGTCCGGCTTTGCAAGCGTACAAGCACGAGCACCTAGTTTCTCCGCAGGCAATCCCTGGCATTGTACCAGTCAATGCCGGAAATTGCGCTCCAGCCGGATGTCATTAGCTTGAACGCGCTCATCAGCGCCTTCGAGAAGTCCGCGCAGTGGCAATGGGCGGTGCATATCTTCGAGGCATTGGGTAAAGTTTGCTTAAGCAATGAGACCCAGGTCCCCTTCAACGGGAAATTCACCAGGAGGTTGTTGAAACAAACACAGAAAGTTGGTTTAGATCAAAAAGGTCGGTTAAGCCAAACAAAGCCGGTTTCCCTGCAAGGACATACAATGGAGCCTCAAGGAAAGTTTCACATTTACCAAAGGGATGGGCGGACCCTTCGAGGCCACAGAAGTTCGGCCAGATGTGGTCAGCTTCACAGCGCTGATCAGCTCCTGTGAGAAGGGCGGGGAGTGGGAAGTGGCGCTGAACTTCTTTGAGCAAATGCCGGAGGCGCAGTGTTGCCCAAATCTTGTCACCTGGAATGCATCCATCAGCTGCTGCGAGAAAGGCCTTCACTGGCCAGCGGCTTTGCACATGTTCAGTTCCATGCGCCAGGCATCCATCCAGCCAGACCTGGTAAGCTTCAGTGCCGCCATCACCGCATGTGAGAAGGGCGCTCAGTGGCAGCTGGCCTTGCGTCTCTTTACATCCATGGAGTCCACGATCCGTCCCGACAGCATCGTTCTCAACGCGGCCATCAGTGCCTGCGAGAAGGCCCTGCAATGGGAACATGCCTTGCACCTCATGCACTCAGCACAACTCATGGATGCTGTGAGCTCGGCGTCGGCCCTGAATGCGTGCGCCAAGGCGGCGCAGTGGACAAGGGCACTGCACCTATTCGAGAAGCAAGAGTCTCCCAACGTCATCATCTACATGTCTCTGTTGAGCTCCTTCTGCGACCAGGATCTGGGATACAAGTCTTTAACTCAGCTGGAGCTGCACCAGCATTTGCTGAAGCTGACACCTCACGTGCTGGAGGTGGAGGGTTTGCTTCCGCTGCAGTGGTGGGTCTCCGTGATCCACCCAGAGCTCCGCCGGGTTTCGCCGGGGCTCCGGGAGGCTTCGCGGATGGCCGCCATGCGAATAAGCCGTGCCGGACGGGCGCAGCTGGAGCTCCGGCGGAGAGACCTGCCGGTGCTGAGGCGGTGCTTGAAAAAATGGAAGGGGGCCGGGGGTCCAACTTGACGGCTTTTTCAACCATGTCCAAAATCCGTGTCCAAGAAGCAGTGGTGGGCTGGGTTCAAAACTGATCCTGGCAGGATGACACTGGTAAACTTTGTGGCGTTTTACTAGGGATTTCGGCGGGGTGGAACTCATAGGTTAGGACTTTTTTACGCGGAACTTCAACTTCGGATGTTTTGAGCATTGTGGTTCTGCCCTGGAGAAGTTCTCTTCACCTCTATTTTTAGTCTGTACGAGCCAGTGCCTGGACCAGCAACTTCCGACCATTGTGTTGCACATGCACTGATCAAGTACCCTTGCTTCGCAGTGGTTGCTTCACGCAAACCATGTTTGACCCAAGGCCTAGGTTGAGCTGCTTGCTCAGCAGCCAGCAAACGAATACAGACAGGTTTGCCTGTGTCTGCCAATTACATTCGGAGACGCTGGGAAACGCATATATATATATATATATATATGTATGTATATGTCCCACCCCTCATTTGGGGGCCTGCCTTTCACCATTCTAGTTTTCTTATATAGATATTTGTACACATCCCATGTTGAGCACAGCTCCCGCCCTGAGCATGTTCCAATCTCGAGGCCCTTTGAGTCAGTGCCGCCACGTTCGCAGTTCCGTGCTGAGGCTCAGGCGGGGTTGGGGCGAGGAAGGGTTCGACGGCTCGTTTTGGGCGTGTCGTTGTTTTTGAGGTAGCCTGTCTGTTGGTTGGAAATAGAGGGAAACCAAAAGGGAAACCGCCATTTTGGGGGTCCTCAAAAAGAAAACATACCCATTCGGGTGTGGTTTTGAGTCTCGGCACCCTTTTTGTTGGGTGGGTTAGGTGGAAAGCAAAGGAGTACGGCGAGGAATGGTTAGGAGTTTGATTCGTGGTTGTTTTTGCGGGTACTTTGAAACAAGACCACACCCAAATGGCTATGACCGCAGGGTGGCATGAGCTTTTCAGAAGCACTTGCATGCACTTGGTGTTGTACTCCCGGGATGAGCGTAGACAACAGCCCATCGGCGCAGAATGTTTCATTTTCCCTGTTCAGCTGAGCTTGTAGAAAATGGGGTTTCAAGTTGCCAGATTCTTACCAAGTTGAACCCCCGTTCAAAGTGAAGTAGGAGACAAACTTTGCTGTCACAAAGGTCATTTCCCGCAACCATGGCTGGACTTACGCATACACTGTGTGCAGCAAGTGATTCTTCCGTGCCGGGTCTGGTGTGTGTCGCGGAGTCCCTTGGACGAACAATCATATGGGTGTGTTAAGGTGTGTAACTCAAAAAATGGTGGTGTGCCCTTGGTTTGCCTTTGAACCCACCAAACAGGATTCCTTCAGAACAAGATTCAACCCAGAAGAAGCATGGAGCCTGACTGGAGGTCTTTGCAAGACCACGATGTTGTAAAGGTAGCCGTTGGTTAAATTCCATTTGTTTGGCCAGGATATGCTCAACGATATTCAAAGCATTCACGTGTGACGCCCAGAACAAACTGACTTGACCTTGCAACAGCACTGTCAAGGTATATTGATCATTCAATTCGAAGCAACGTTGGAACATCAAGGTGTCAGTATCACTGGTTGACAAGAATGCCACATGATTTGCGCAATCTCAGCGATGTTGCCAGCCTGCTGTTCCATGTCTACGTTGTGAGGCAATGGTTGTTTCGTTGGCCTGGTCAAGGCCGATCCTGGTCAAGGCCGATCTTTCTCCCAACGCATTGTATGAAAACAACAACATGGAACACCAAGAAGGGGTTGGTTTTGTGGGAATCAGGAATTGTTGGGGTTCCATATTCATTTGGGTTACCCTTCCTCCCACTAACGTAGCATTTGTTGGGGAGGGGGTACCTGGAAGCTCAATTTCCGCTTCAATGAACCTCTCTGTCAGGTGCCATGTGGCTGTGGGTCAACACCAACGGTACCATTTTGGGGTAGGTGCACCTGCATTTTGGTCGGGATGTTCACTGGGGGAACGGGTTTTGATCCATGGCCATGATAGTACCCTCAAAAAAAGAAGAAGAACCTGCGCCAGATGAGTTTCACTCGTCAGGACGAGGATTTGGTCTTCCAACGCCTGGGAATCGATGCGCAGAGCTTGCGGCTGAACTTGGAGGTGCGGAGAACGGGGCGCTCAGTGTGCTCCACCCCTCCTTTTTTCCTTTCGGGAAGCTTCCGTTGGTTGAAATGCCTTTTTTTGGGTTCCCTGGTTTAAAGAGAATCCATCACCACGTTACCTGAAAAAATGACGCAAGTGGGGGGAAGGGCTCCGAGTGCAGGGCACAATTGGGTGCGCCTTCTTTGGCTTCGTGAGCAACTAAAATCTCAGGGTAGATGACGGCGGGAGTGGAGGCACGTTTTCTTTCAGAGGGCCCCGGTTTTCCGCAAAAACCATAAAGAAGGGGTACCCTCAAAAAGAGACACGAAAAGTCTGTACGAATTTGCGTTTTTTCCATTTGTGGCGCTTTGGGCAGACTGTCAGACCCCTTGAGTACCAGGTTTTAGAGTTTGTGACTCAAATGGTCTTCAGCATGCGCAGCGAGGTCTCATGGCAGGAATTGTGTCCACTTTGTGGGTCGGGAGCCTACCTGACAAGGAAGGGTTGGATCCCAGTGGGATAAAAGCAAATGGATCATTGCTTGGCGCCTCTCTTTTTTTGGGTGTCTTCCCTTTTTGAGAAGTTGCCCTGTCATTCGACCCTGGCAGTTCAATATTCAACCCTTTCCGTGGCCTTTTTTGTGGCCTGATTCCTTTTCCAAGCGGGAGCATTTTCAACTCGCTGTCGGTTGCCATGTTGGCATGGTTCCCCACTCTTGTTACAGGTCTCGTTGAGAGTTGCCAGCTTTCACTGTTTTCATGTTGTCTTTGGTCTTTTGAGATCAACAAAGGGGGTCTGGGTGTTTCCGAGAATGCCCAGTGACAGTCGCAGCCCGGTGAATCTGTGCGCCTGGATCTTCAGCTGCAACCTGATCTGAAAATTTCGACGTCACGTGATGATTGTTGCATTCACGGCAGCTGCGGCAGAACCAGCTCGTGATGGTGGCTTGAGGTAATTGGGCGCCTTCCGCGATGATGGATGGTCGCAGTGTTCTTTGGGCAATTCAGGTTGTCGCAAGGGTGTCCCTAGGGTTTACCTTCCGCTGGTTGGCAGTGAAGGTGTCCAGTGAGCAAAGTTCCCATGCCCAGTAGGAGACCTCCGACAAACAAAATCTGTCGCTTGCTCCGGCCAAGTAGTCAGCCGCTTGGCTTCAAACAGTTCGCGCCAGGCCATTCATCGTGACCATGCGGCTTGGATGGATAGCCTTAGCCCAAAGCGAATCGACCTTTTGATCTTTTGGCTTCCCCTCTTTGATCTACTTTTACTCATAAGCCCCAAAAGCTTAACGTTTTACTTCCAGGTCCTTTTGTTTGCAAGTCAGTAGCCGTATGGTCTTTACAGCCACCGTGGGCTCGGATTTTCACGGCAAGTTCAGAAGGATCTCTGCTCCGATTTTTTGAGCGATGGCTCGAGTTTCCATTGAACACCAGCCATGTGGGCATGTGAGGTTCAGTCAACATTGCTGGTGGGGCATGGCGGACTCACTAAACGCTTTCTATATTATTTGCACGTGGTGAAAGGCAGGATGAGAGGCTGCACGAAGCTGAGAAGAATCACGCTAGTAAGTCTGCTTATTGGGGGTGCAATGTCCTTTCAATGGCTGGAGACCTTGGCCAAGACTCCCTCCAAGCAGTTTGAAGGGATACCATTGGCCACAAGTCATGCTGAGAACCTCTCAAAATGCAACCACACTTAAGGGACCCACTTGGCGACGCTGCTCAATATGACCAAACCACGTGAGGGAGAACTGGCAAAGGGTTCCTTTGGTTTTCCCCCTCAAATATCGATTGGTTCCGCCAACTCAATTGCCAGAGACAGGCATCCTTGCGGAACAGGCCAAAGGAATCCCCTTCACGATGACAAAGTAAGCACATGGATGGCCCACTTGCTATCACAGAAAGGTGTATGTCCCATGGGATTTGAACCCCAGTTCTTCTTGAATCCAAATGAAAGTTCATGTGGCGTCCGATGCAAACCAGGCTTCCAGACACTAATCCAAACCTCCAAGGGTCGTAGCTGCATCAATATTGGACTCCTGAAAAGGACAGTGGCTTCATGCTGGTTCCTTTTGAACCATGTTCCCACATTGCCTTTTTGTTTTCTGGTCGTGCCGTTGGGTGAACGGGAAACCAAAGGGAAGCCCGACCATTTCAGGGGAAATTTTCAAGCGAAGGACGAGGGCTTCCTTCGACCCAACGCCCTGGAGACCTTGCGCTTGCAGCTGCCAGAGGCGGCACCCATTTCCAGGCGAGATGATTCTCGGTCAAGGCCTTGCTCAGCTCGTGGCTCTAGGGATACCTTCCCCATTCTTTCCAGGGAGCCTTCTTTCTAGAAAACCACCAAAAAACCCAGGGAACATGGTTGGTTTTTGAAAAGAACGATGGTGGAACAGAATGGGGAATCAACCCCTGGAATAGCGTTGTTTTTTTCCGCAACCGCTGAAAGCTATGGGGTCTCTGCCCGAATCAGCTTTGGGGCGGTTTGGGGCAGCTTCATGGAGGGTTCCCTTTCGGTAGCTCATTTTGAGTAAGCATGTATAGCAAGTCTTTCTTGGTGTTGAAAGGTGGGATGAAGTGCAACAGTTGGCAACGCGAAATTCGTATGTGCTGGATTTGGACGTTAATGCCTTTGTAGATGTTGATACTGTACATGGTTGGGAAAACGGAATGCCTCGATTCGTAAGGCGGGGCGGCGGTTGACTTAGAGATACAGTTGGATGTATTTGGGCCAATTAAAAAGGCAACGAGCTCACCAAATCAGGTGTAAGACGAGGGGGAAGCCCAAGTTATAAAGTCCTTTACTTGGGTGTCAATATTTCCAATTTGTGGCATGTCATAAATTGCTTAGATGTATGCTATAGAAGTTGCGATGTTGGGCCACATGTGTCAAGTGCCTGGTACACATGTTGCTTCGAACTAGAGTAAGCAGACAGCTCGTTTGATTGCACTTGCGAGACGCTGATACATTGAACATGAGGATTTGTTCCAGGCAGTTCAGATGCCTAGCATAGATTGAATCTATGCTAGGCATGCTTTCTAGAATGTGCAGGAAGGACAAGAACCTTGGATGGTACACACCCTCAAGTTTGTTTTTTTTTACATGTATGACTTAGCTGTATTCGAGAGGTCGTTAACGGCAAATTCCAGAAAACCTGGGCAAGTGGCGCGCGAGGGAAACGTGCGGGCGAGCGAACGGGTGAACGTACGAGTGTGCGAGCGCACGCGCGAGTAGACGGACGAGTGGACGGACGAGTGCGCGGTTGGACGGACGCACGGACGGACGCACGCACGGACGCGCGCGCACGCACGCACGCACGCACGCACGCACCCGTCCGTTCAGAAATAAGACCTTTTTTAAGACCATAAAATGGTCTTATTTCTGCCCTTATTTCTGTACGGAATGGTGCGTGCGCGCGTGCGTGCGTGCGTGCGTGCGTGCGTGCGTGCGCGCGTGCGTGCGTGCGTGTGCGTCCGTCCGTCCGTCCGTCCGTCCGTCCGTCCGTCCGTCCGTCCGTCCGTCCGTCCGTCCGTCCGTCCATCCGCCCACTCGTCCGTCCACTCGTCCGTGCACTCGTCCGTCTACTCGTCCACTCGTCCGTGCACGCGCTCGTTGCTTCAAAAACACCCCGTACGCCCCACCTCGCGCGTTTTTGAGAATTATACAATTACGAGTTCTTAAATTTAGCTAATGTATGACTGATGGTGTCCTCATAAATTGCATCAACTTAGTGCTACTGGAGGAAGCTCATAGTCGCACCGTGCTAGAGACTGAAAGCTCCTGGCTCTTCATAGATGTGTTGTTAACCATATTCTCCAATGGGACAGAAACCTCGACAACACAGGACCGACGCATGAACTGGCAACTAAGGGACATTTGATCAATAACTCATGGTGTCACACACCCCGTCCGGTAACAAACACATTATATCTACACACAATTATGTTGTTCCTGATATAAAACCAATATATATATATATATATGTATATTATATATTTACAGGCTGCACAAGTGAAAAGGTGGGCACTGGGGGGGGTGAGTCTGTGACTATATATATATACTATATACATGGTATTAGGCCTGTGCACATATGGATTGAGCTTCTCCAGAGCCAGGCGGCTCTACCGGGTGGCGCAGGCGCAGCTGGGCCTAGTGGAGCCCCGACGGGCGCAGCTCACCTGCGCCGCGGCAAAGCCTCGCGCTCGTTGGCCGTAGGTGGCCTCTTTGGTTGGTTTTGGGCGAGAAACAGGTTGGTGGTTTTCTGGTTGTTTTGGCCATAGGTTGTGTTTGTTTTGTTGTTTTTGGGCTTGGTTAATTGTTGTTGGTGATTTTGGCGCCGTAGGTTGTGTTTGGTTGGTTGTTTTGGGCTGGTTTGGGCATAGGTTGTTTTTGGTTGTTTGTTTTGGGCTGGTTTGGCCATAGGTTGTGGTTGGTTGGTTGTTTTGGGCTGGTTTGGCCATAGGTTGTGTTTGTTTGTTTTTTGGGGGCTGGTTTGGCCATAGCTTGTTTTTGGTTGTTCGTTTTTGGTTGTTTTTGGCCGTTGTCAGACATGTCAGTCGCCGTGACAACCACGACAGCTCTTGGGTAACATATTTTTCTGGCGCGGAACCTGCTAAAAGTTAGCGTGGGAACCGAACTAGGCACGCGTGGGTACCATCCTGTCTCTTTGGTTGTTTCAGTAGAAACATGGATGGCCCTGGTCTATCTAGTGGTTTAAGCATCTAGCGCCATCTATTTCCCCCAAAAGGACACCTATGTAGTTGGCAACATTTGGGCGTGGGTCGATCATCGAGTGACCCTCAAATGGAACCCTGGCGGCACGTATTTTGGGTGGTCAACCATCAAAAAAGAAATGCCTGGACTTTAGCCATTGAGCCACTGCTTGAGATTGTTCAATTTTAGCTGGTAAACAAAAGGCTTGGAAACTTTTTTTGACCAGTCCACTCAGGAAGTCAGACAGAGGTCAGGTACTCTCTTTCCAACAAACATGGCAGTGGAGGGGTTCCCCAAAAGGAAAGCTGCTGTCAGCTTCCAGATATCACTCCGCAAACCCCCATAAGGGGAGTATAAGGTATAAGGGGCTGAACACTAACATTATTTCCTCATGGTCATTCTTGATTTAGTCTCACAGTACCCCCCGCCCCCCCGTATTCAGGCCCCCAAAACTGGTGGTTTGGGGTAAATGGGAAACCCGCCACGGAACACCACCAGGCAGTCAAAACCACTACGGGTTGCCTGCATTTGCAAACACCCTTGGGTATCTAAGTATCTTGCAACCATGATTTCTGGGGGTTTAATGGGATTCACAACCACTATGCAGCCACTCAGGTGTTTTTTTTCCCTGCGTGGGAGTAATGATTTGGGGGCAGTGGAATCCATCTTCGATTGCAGGGACGGTCGTGAAGATCGTTGGATCATGTCCACCAGAAGGGTTGCTAGGGGACCAGGACCGTGGCGGTGAAAGTGAACCCTTTTGTGGTTGGTAGGAATGGGGCATGAACCCTTAAGTCGCGTTTTAGACAACCCGTGTGAGGCTTACTAGGAGAACCACCAGGAACCTCGTGGAGTTTGGCCACATGCTGTGATGGAATACACTCCGTTTGTGAAATGAGGGCAAGCATAGCAGCTGCTTAAGAGTCCACATATGTGGGTTAATCAATATTCCCTTTCGGCTTCCAAATCGCCAAGGGCAACTTTTCTCATGTGGTTGAACCATCATTTGTTTAGTGGTTTTCCCCAATGGTCATCCCATGTTTATGGGACCTTGAGATCACCCTCCATGCTTCGCTGTTGTGGAGTTTTACACACTTGCCCGAAGCGAATCGACCGCTGGACCTTTTAGTCTCCCCTTGTTGGTCCCTTCTTTGCCATGGCTCCGAAGGTTAACCTTTTATGCCTGGGTCAGGGGAGTTTCTTAACAGGGTTCGAATTACAGGGAACTGGTTGTAGAAGTCAATGTGTATCTAAGTCGACCAGGATCCTTTGGCACTTGGGGCCCATGTCCACCCAAGACCTGAGTTTAGTCACAGGCAATAGACAATCACCACCAAGTACACACACCAATTTCCCTGGGCACTTGACTCGCAAATTGCGCCGATCACTACCTTGATGTGGTTCATGTGCTTTATGTTCCTTTGCCCCTTGAGTTGAAGAGGTTATTTGGGCGTGCGGTGGGGACTGATCCCCAGATTTGTCCCCCTGGTGCCTTTTCACTGGGCTTCTATGTTGCTAGACACCCATGCGGTGCAGCATTCGCATCGTCCATTCATCAGGAAAGTAGCCAACACATCGGCCATTCCCATGTCCCTTTGAGTTCACTTTGGTTTCCCTGCCTCAAGCAGAGGAGAACCCTCTTGTTTTTGCCCTTCAACGCCACCGGGTGGTGTTTCCCCCTAAACGACGGGTCCCGTGGTCCCCTCCGGCCATGGGGCCATCGGCTGGCGCGAGGCTATGAGGTGCTGGCTCTGGCGGGGCTGCTGCGCAGCGGCAGCTCGGCGGAGCTTCTGGAGCTGCTCTTCTGCGGCTCGACGTGTGCGAAGCGGACCGGACCTGTGTTTTTTGGGGGGGGAGGGGGGGGGGTGTGGTTGGGGGGGGTGGGGGAAGGGGTGGGGGGTGGGGGTGGGGGTTCCCCATGGCTGGATCCGTAAAAGGAATCTTATCTGAACTACCTGGCCGAATTTTCTGGATTCCGACTTGATTTTGTAAAGACGGTGTCCCTACTGGAACGCCCGAACAAAGTCCTGGTTGAGAGAAGAAAGGGAGCCGGGGTCGCTGGTTGAATCCTCTTTTGAGGGGCCCACAAAAAGAGGACCCACAAGACAGGCGCCCAAAAAGGAACCCTATTTTCCTCTATGGCCCCTACTGGGGATTTGGGACTCCTTGTTTTTTGTGGTGACACCCTACTATTAGGATGGGGTTATTAATCCGAGGTTCCCATTGTTTCAGGAACTGAAGGAGCGACTTCTCGTGTGACTCGTAGGGAAGGAACACGAGTTTTGGGAGTGAACCGGACGGGGGATCCACTCATTTGATGGTCGAGAGCACCCTTTTCTAAAGAAGGGCCAGGGACCAGGGATGGTCTGGAGGCAAGAAGTGGAATTTGGAGAAACATGGTGCCTCACTGTGATACAATGCCTCAAATTGCACCCCGAACGAACATTGTAACACCACAAAAGAAGTCGAAATCTCTGGAGCCCTGAAAGCTGCCCCAAACCACACCAGAGCCTGGGCAGAGACAGATGAAAGATGTCAGGGTTAATCCCCGTTTGAGTTTAGTCATCCCCTTTACTTGCGCAAACTGCTGGGGAATCGTGTCATCCACTATCTGCTTTGGGTGTTTCTCAAAATAGTGGTCCACGCTGGTTTGCTCCTGGCTTCCCTTCGCCTGCCAACCCAAAGGGAGTGTCCTACAGTGCCCGAAATCCTGCATCATGGGCAACCATGGTTTGTTGAGGGGAATCATCATACTGAAATCATGGGAAACCATGGTTTGTTGGTATTTACCAGGGGAATCATCATACTGAAATCATGGGAAACCATGGTTTGTTGGTATTTTCCCGGGGAATCGTATCATTCCAGGGTTCCTTAAGTGTTTTTTTTTTTTTTTGTGTGATTGCGCGTCCATCCACGGGGCGTCTTCGCTTGAGGCGTCTTCGATGCGGATGGGGACGACCGGATCGGGCAGGCGGACCTGGAAGCCGGCATCGCCACCGGGCCAAAATTTTGGGGCCCGGTTTGGGGCCAAAGCTTTCCGCCGGTTTGGGGGGGATTCACAACGGGCCGCGTTTCATGTTTCACAAACCTCCGAAATGACGCTGAAACTAGCAGTGGGACACGAGCCTCTCTATGTGATTTGTAGTGTGGTGGCCAAGCACCTGATTTGATGGAGCCGTCTTTCCACGATGTGCCCGTCCTGTTCATAGCCCATGTGTCAGGCGATGTCTGACTCCCTGACTGTTTGGCCACGCCTTGCGCCTCAGGATCCTAAAAACGGGGCCCCATTTTTGGGACCCTGTATGCACAACGTGCTGTCGGCTTGAAAAAGCCATGCACTCTCTCCCGCACAGTGGTCCCAGTACTGGAGGCGGCCGGCGATTGGATGATTGCGAATTGGGCCAATAGATTTGTGCACAAGCCAAGCTCGACGTGCGAAACGTACATTTCGTGCTTGTATGCTCAACTGAATGAGGGCAGATGTTGCATTTGCTTGGCAGGCTCGGTGCGCACGCATGACAGACATTACAAGTGCCCAACACCAATTCCAATCGGCAAAGCTAATTTTGGTAAGTGGTTCCACCACTTTGTGCCATTTGTTTGTCGGGAGTCCAGTAAAGCCAAGATAAACCCTTATAGCCATTCCAGTAGAACCACGAGTCAGCGGACGAAACGGGCGTAACCTTTGGGAGGTCTTGCGCAGTTACCCCTAGGAGTTTCAAGTTATTGCACTAAGCCCGCGTGACATTGAAGCCCAAGACGATTCCTATACACATGATTTGCTAGCGGCTTTACTGGACCCACGTTTAGTGCTTGCATCTATTCTTTCAAGTGCACCCACTCAGAACGGAAAACTACTGGGGTATGTGCCTCCGAGCAGCCACTGCCAGAGCTAAATTCGGCTCAGGATGCCTTCCTGCAGCTTGCCTCTTTGCCGGAAGCGGACGCCAAGGCGCCTCTGCTCAAATCTGCTGTGAAGACCCTCAAGCTGGAGTTGGGTGGCTCGTCTTTTCGGACGTTACCCTCCCGTTTTTGCACGGAACCGTTCGAGGTTCGGGGCCCGGTCCCTTTGAAAGGAACTTGAACCCGGACTTTTCGAACGTCGGGTTCCATGTTAATTGGGAGAGACTATTTTTGGTCGGTGTTAAAAGATAAAGGGACACCAAGACACACACACACACACACTCTCATTTGCATGTATCAAAGTTTCGTTCGGTGAGGGGAAGTCAATTATTTTTGGTCATGCCTTGTAAAGGACCTTTTGATCAAGCCCCAAAATGAGCAACATTAAATACTTTTCCGTCATATAAATGGGAATGCCATGTGCCACACTCACTAAAGTACCATTGCGAATTGTTTATTTGCCTGCCTTGAGGTGGCTAACTTGAGCTGTATTGTCATATATGTCATCGATGATGTAATTTGTGGCTTTCATTGGGCTCTGGGTAAGCCTCGCTTGTGGAAGTCTATTTTGTTGTGCTTGTCGAACGCCTGTCAACTCGAGCGATCGTTTGAAGCATTTTCGTAGGGCATGGCTGGGCAAGGCAAATTATCACGAGCTTACTCTAAACCGAGCCTATTCATGATCAAAGGCTCCTTAGTTGGGGATTCCAGATGTCCAACTTGTGAGTTTGCTACACTTGTCTCAGATTCGGATATTCTGTCCTTTTGCGTGCGGGCAAGATTCAGCCAGTGTCCCTTAAAGGCAGCCCCTTCATAGGGTGACCTCACTTGCCCCAAGCAAATCGCCCGATAATCGCCCTGTTGACCTCAGTTTGCTCTTCTTGGTCCATTCTTAGTCATGGCCCCCAAAAGGTTGACCTTTTTGTTTCTGGGTCCCGGGTGTCTGGGTTTCGAAGGGGCCACTGCCGATAGAACCTGTACGGTCACATCAGGACTTCCGGCGCCTGGACATGCGGAAGCGCAAGGCGGAAGTGCAGAGACTGGCAAAGCAGGCGATGCAGGCGGGAGAGATGCGAACGGTGCGAACCAGCCCACAATTTGTTGGATTTATGATTTACCCAACGGGAAACCATAAAGGGATGAGTTTAAGAAGGCAAACCAAAGCATTTGTTGCCAGCTTATCACCCAGAATGCAATGGCAATCAAGGTTGTGGGAGATTGGAGCTTACGTAAAGGGGAATGCCCATCCGAGTGATCAAGTATGTCACGGGAATGACCCAAAGTCACGGACAGGATTATTTTCCACAGCCATGGATGTACTGTTAACTTCGGATTAATGCGGAGGACCCTTCAAAAACCAGGAACCACCTCTCATCAGCACAGTTTGCGGATTAATCCAAAGCTAAGATTATGGAAGGGGGGCCTTACCCCGAAGGGACCCTTACCCATACATTTTCGCTTCGTACAAGTTACAAGGGACTTTTGGAAGGGGGGGATTGAACAGTACGAATGTCGGAATGCACTAGGGAAACCCCTGCAAGCCATTGCAATTTACCTGGTTGGATATGGTAACTTCATGTGCAATGTTTAGGGACTCTACGTACCTCCTTACTGGATGGCCTTTTCATAGGGGCTGTCGTCTTCAATTAGGCTTTGTTAGGTTTCATGTGTGTTGGAATGGAATTGAAGGGAACTCTACTCTTCATTCGCTCCTTATGAACGTGTTGGGATACCATAGCCCCGTTGGAACATAGCTAGGGCTGTTCAAGATTCTTTGCAGATTAGCATGGAATCAACATATCCATCATTTCTTTAGGGGACCCCCCTTGCAGGCTTCATGTTAGATTTGTATCTTACCAAGCCATCAGCTGGGGTAGCCTGAGCCACATAATCATGAAAGGAATGCGGAGTACACTTCGGCAATGGGACAACGTGTATATTTCTAGATGCTACCCTGGTTTACGAGAAACGGTTACTAGTCTTAACCCCCGTTTTGTCCCCATAAAGACTGGGCACCAGGGCCATGTCAGCGCTGTTACACCTGACTCATGCGGGGGGGGGGGGTGTAATGTTTGAGGGTACCATTTGTTTGAAGCTGAGTTTGAAGGACTGTCAAAGGGAACATCACCATTTTTTGGAAGGTCCCCTCATAGAAGACACACCCTGGTACGCTTGAGTTTTGAGTCACCATCAAAACCCAGTACTAAAGTGGTCGAGAATCCCTTAAAGGCTACATTTGGGGATCGGATATCACATTGACCAGCCTTACTTGGGGAATTCCCGCGTATCACAGGTGGTTGTTAGATGTATCATTTCCAGGAGCTCTGTTTGCCCAAAGCCGAATAAAGATGATGAACGGGCGGATCTCCTGAACCAATTCTGGCGACTCTTCAGGACTTTGCCGGGGACGACTCAGACCCAGAGCCTGAGGCAGGCGTTTTGAGTCTCTTTGAGAGTCCGCCCGCCTATGCCCAAACCGAATCGACGACCCCATCTGACCTTTTTTTTTTCCGAAGAACACTTTTTTGGGACCCATTTTTGGTGGCCCCAAAAGGTGATCACTTTTTATTTTGTGGCAAGGGGCAACTGGTTCCGTGGATAGCAGGCCTGAGTTTCTTACCTCTCCCTTGCCTTCGAATTCTTTCACGCACTCCCAAACTTGCGACTGCTCATGGCAAACGATAAATATTTCATCCACTGTGTGTTTGTGTGTGTGTGTGCGTGCGTGCGTGCGTGCGTGCGTGCGTGCGTGCGTGCGTGCGTGTGCAATACCTTGTTACACAACACCACACCAAGCCAGACAAGTAACCCATTTAAGAACATGTTGTACGCAAACCAGCATGCCAGCAGGTATGCAAAAAGGCCCATGCGTCCGCGCTCGCACACACCCACACAACCACAAGCACACCCACATACACCACCCACACACACACACTCGCTCACACAGACGAGTTTTAACAAACGTGCATGACAGAGCTGGCACCGCCAGGATAAAAACTAGGAGTCCCGCCAAAGTCAATTATTTATCAAGGTGTGCGGTTAAATGACACCTCGGTACTTGCCCAGCTGACCCAGGACAACTTCCATTTGCCTAAGAATATTGTTTATTTTCTTCTGGTGGTTTTGAAGGGAGTCTATCACTACTGGACCTCTATTTTTCCACATGGCTTAAGTAAATGGGCGACGGTCAAAAACCCATTTGTAAAAGTTTAGTAAGGAGCATATTCATGTGTTCTGGCGCTGCGCGCGCGAAAGGTCGCGAGTGGGCGCCGGAAGGTTTGGCGAAAGGGCTGGCCACAATGATGGTTCAGGATGCTGATTTAGCACTCTGAATGGTGTAAATAGCTTTTGGACTGTTGTTTATGCCATATGTGCGATGTTGGTATGCCGTTGTTGGGGGTTGCCCAAAAGCTATTTCGGCCAAGGCCAAATAACATTTGGGCCTGTTTTGGGGTTGGTCCACAAGATGCAAACCAGGGCACCCCCAAAACCTGGTTTTTGGCATTGGAAAATAACATTTGGGCAGGTTAGTCTTTCCTTGAGAATGCAGACCAGGGCACCCCCAAAACCTGTTTTCGGCACTGGAAAAAACATTTGGGCAGGTTCTGGGTTGGTTTGCAGGCCAAGGGGCCGAAAGTGTCCAAATGAGTCTTTTCCTTGAGGGTGCAGTTTTGGGCGCTGCAAAAAAACATTTGGGCAGGTGTTGGCTTGCAGGCAAAAGGGCCGAGCGTGTCCAAATGAGTCTTTTCTTTGAGAAGGCGCCAAAACCTGTTTTGGGCACTGGAAAATAACATTTGGGCAGGTTTTGGTTGGTTTGCAGGCCAAGGGGTCGAAAGTGTCCAAATGAGTCTTTTCCTTGAGGGTGCAGTTTTGGGCGCTGCAAAAAAACATTTGGGCAGGTGTTGGCTTGCAGGCAAAAGGGCCGAGCGTGTCCAAATGAGTCTTTTCTTTGAGAAGGCGCCAAAACCTGTTTTGGGCACTGGAAAATAACATTTGGGCAGGTTTTGGGTTGGTTTGCAGGCCAAGCAGCGGAAAGTTGTCCAAATCAGTCTTTTCCTTGAGGGTACAGAATAGGGAGTCCCCAAACCCTGTTTTCGGTACTGGAAAATAACATTTGGGCAGGTTCTGGGTTGGTTTGCAGCAGGGCAGGGGCGGAAAGTGCTCAAATGTGTCTTTTCCTTGAGGGTGCCACCAAAACTTGTTTTGGCGCTGGAAAATAACATTTGGGCAGGTTCCGGGTTGGTTTGCAGGTGTCTCAAATTAGTCTTTTCCGTGAGACCCCCCAAAACCTGTTTTGGGCACTGGAAAATAATATTTGGGCAGGTGTTGGGTTGGTTTGCAGGCCAAGGGGTCTTTTCCGTGAGAATACAGACCAGCGCCCCCCCCCCCAAAACCTGTTTTGGGCTGGAAAATGACATTTGGGCAGGTTCCGGGTTGGTTTGCAGGCCAAGGGGCCGAAAGTGTCCAAACGAGTCTTTTCCGACCAGGCACCTCCAAAACCTGTTTTGGGCACTGGAAAATAACATTTGCGCAGGTGTTGGGTTGGTTTGCAGGAGCCAAAAGTGTCCAAACGTGTTCAAATGAGTCTTTCCTTGAGAATACACAGACTAGCGCCCCCAAAGCCTGTTTTAGGCTTGGAAAATAACATTCGGGCTGGGTTGTTGGTTCCCAAAGCAGGCTTTTGACGCATGGCTTTAGTGGTGTTGTCGACGCAGGGTTGTCGACCATGTGCGCCCCACTGTGGGCGCGAAAGAAAGCGTAAGTTTCGCGAAAGGGCGCCGGAAGGCCAAAAAAAAAGACAAACTAATTTCGACCAACGCCCAAATGGAGGACAACATTGCGTAATGTGTTTGACTGGATTTTCAACCTAAGCGAACGGACCATTTCTTGTGCAACCGATTATCCATTGGTTCGAGGAGCCTGACTTCGTTGCGAAGTCAGAGCGACATGTAGCTCTAGTCGCACGCGATGAGTTTTGGGACTTTAGTCACTTTTTGGGGAAGACCATTTTTCAGGTGGTAACCAAGCAGTTAGGTGACATGTTTGGGCCAGTCCACTCAGGTGGTAAACCTTTATGCAGTCGTTTGGCTTCGTGAGCATGTGCAGTCATACTCCAGGACTTCTGTGTGTCATGCCTTCCCTTTGCCAGGAAAAACACATTGCCCACTTCTTTCAGAAGCATGTCATCGTTCCAGCACCAACTTTGTGGCACCATCCCCGCACGTTGAAAGTCGCTTGCTTGCCTGTGTTTTCTCTCCTTTTTCTTTCAGGAGACACGCAGTCTTGGCTCTTCTCCAAAGCTATGTTGTATATTCGGGTTGACTGAATACGCAACAGAATCATCCTGCAGCACCTAAGAAGCCCTGGAATGATGATTCCCCTGTAAATACCAACAAACAATGGCTTGGTGTGGTTCAACTTGGTGCAGGATGCCGTCCATCGGCATGCTGAATATTTAGGTTTGACTGAACATGAAACCGAATCAAAGTTCGCTTCTGCGTACTCCGCTTTTCTGGGCCCAGTGGCCATCCTTTCGCGGCTCACAGGCGGAATTCCTCGAGGAGCCGCCAGCCCCGCCGTCTCCAAAGGAGAGAGAGGGGAGCACATGATGGGTGGGCAACCCATGTTGGAATTTTGTTTTTTTTTGAGCCACAGCCACATGGGGTCGTCTTCAAAGAACGGAACTGAACCCCTGCCCCAAGACGGTGGTTCCTTCAACAATTGCTTTCACCGATTTTCCGAAATCCCAAGTACTGCCCAAAAAGCATTTGTTGGAGGGGGTGGCTGTGCAATTTTGAGAAGAACCCAAAGAATCTTCAAACAAAGACACGGCCACATAGTTGTCAGAGACAATCACTGGAGTGGACAAACTCAGATTGACCGCAAACAAATGAATGTGTATACATTTCCCGAAAGTGTTTGAGCCAGGGTACGAGGGCTGGCTGGAATTGCCCGCAATTCACCCATAATCTTCACTAAATGATGGCAATGTGCCATTTGTGCCCAACAAGGCTCTACCGAAAGCCCCTTTTGTTTGTATTGACGTCTGGGCTTGCTTTGCAGCTTCTTTGCGTCTCGCGAGGACCCGACCGCCAGTTCGGGACTTGGGGAAGTCTGCAAACAGCCGCTCCGTGCCTGTTTTCGGAGGGTGTTAGAGTCTTCCATGGTCTTTGCTTGGCCGCCTTTGCTTTGCTTATAAACGGGGTTATTTACAGTAGGAGGTTTATATCCCCGTTTACAATCAAGCAATGGCTCTCAAGTGTGGAAGGACTTCACACAATGTTATGTTGTGAACTCGAAGGCCCCAAACCACTGGCTTGAACGCACATGAATGCTGCAGACCGGATAGATGTCACCAAGTTGGCCGTGACAATTCCAAACCGCGTCATGTTGACGAGTGGGTGTCCTTTTCCGTTACATAACTGGGTTCCGCTGGTCTCAGTTGTGCCATCGACTTGTCTGTGTGGAGAAATCCAGCTGTCGGCCAACTTTCTGTGATGCCAAGGGAACCTCCATTAAAGTGACAAGGCGTAAGGATGCCAATAACACTTGGGTATCGCAGAAAGGGTTGTTTCGCGCAACAATGTGGGTGTGTGTTTTAGCGGACCCAACAAATTGTGGCTCTCCCTTTGGGTTTCTGAAAACCACCCCGAAAAGGTTACTGCCCTTCTCTCCCTTTTTTTGGGGGAGGATTCCCCTACTAAAAGAGACGTCCAGAAAAAAATAGGGTGCCAACTTGTTCTAACCTCTTAAATCTGGAGGACCTGGAATGTGTGTTTTGTTTTTAACCAACTGGTTTAGAGGGTCCCTTGTCCAGCAGCGGGTTTTGGGGCCAGGTCCAGCACCGCGAGCAAGGTGGCAGAGACGGGCCAGGCCTCTTGTGGATGTCCCATGGCTGGTGGTTTTTGGCCAGAGAGGAGCAAGAAAAATCTGAAAATGGATATGGCCGTGGGTCAAAACCAATGGGATCCCATTTGGGGGTAGGTGTATTACCCATTTTAGAGCCTATTTTAGGGGGGATCGGGATGTTCACTTGGGGTACGGGATTTTGACCCATGGCCATATGGCTCCATCGCGACAAACCTCTTGCCCAGTGAAGAGCATAGTGTCATACCCAAGGACACATTTCCGTGTTACGTTCAGGAATTCGGGGAGGGGTCACCTCTGGAATGTTATTTGGAAAGGCGAAGAGAGACATATGAAATTTGAGGGCCCCACTCAGCACTGCGGCTTGGGTCATAAAAGCAAAGCCTTACTGTCCCATGTTCTCTTGGAGAACGAACAAGATAATTTTGACCATGAAGAATGTGGGAGTTTTGGGCCGACCAAAAATGGGTATATGACTTCAAATAGAGCTTTGGACTCCGCAAGTGGCCAGGCTTTCCAACGCAAGAGGGTGAACCCCACAGATTGCGGATTTTCCTTTTGATTTCCCTGTAGACCAGCGCAAATCGGTTACCAAGCGGCGATGGGCCGACTAAAAATGGGTATGTGATTTCAAATAGAGATTTGGACTCCGCAAATGGCCAGGCTTTCCAACAAAAGAGGGGGGAACCCCACAGATTGCGGGTTTTCCTTTTGATTCCCTGTAGACCAGCGCAAATCGGTTACCAAGCTGTGACTTCATTGTGCGGAGTCTTCCAAAGTCTGAACCAAGCAGCACGGAGATATACACACGCCTGAATCGGTTTCAGACGAAAAGGCACGGCGATGGCGGCAACTCAACATGTGTCAAGCTTTCTCTGCTCAACTCCCTTGGAATTTGCGAGCCCATACCCCTGAGAACCGTGATGCTGCGCCCATGCTCATAGCCCATACTGAGAGTGCAGTGTTCACTTGTTCAGCTGGGTTGTGACACCGAAGGAAACAATATGCGACCCCCACTCCATGGATTAGTCAAAGACGTGTTACGCACCACAGCTGACGTGTGAAAAGCACAAGATGTTGACATTGCCTGAACAGTCGGAAGAATTCATTCATACGAAGAGCTACTGGGAGGCAATGATAATCAGCTAAGGCTGGTGCGCTCAGGACCCACAGTGAAGGATGTGGGATGTGCCCAAAGTCACTCAGAAGGCTGCCTGTAGGGGCTGTGTCCGCAGATGTCAGTTGGTCGTTTATGAGTGCTTAAAGTCACTCATCAAACATGTCTGAATGGTGTCTTGTTCATTTTGTTTGTGGCTCGAAGTTGAAACAATCCGTCTATTGAAACCTTGCTTTGAATTGATCAACTGTGCAATACTGTGGACATTGTCCTGCACCAGATGGGATACGACGATCTTCCAACTGCTGCCTTGCACGGATTTCGTCCATGGGCAGTTTGGCTTTGCAGGCACGCAAGGGTGGCCTTTGCGGCAAGGCGCCAAAGGAGACATGGGGTATCGGTTTTTGGTGGCTCCTATGGGTTTCTGGTCGTATTGTCGGTAACTCACACGTTTGAAAGCCCTGGTACAAGCTTGCCACGAGACGGGTCGCTAAAATGTATGTGTGTTGTGCTACCATAGAGAGTGGCCGAGTGTCTTGTTGGTGTCATTGTTTGATTACGAAAAAAGCCATCCCCTTCTTCGTTCGACTTCTTTTAAAGGTTTATGTCCAGCGCCGGTTGGCTTGGATGCAGAGCACAAGTTCTGGAAAAGCTCCCGGGATAAACTAGGGTCATGATTGCTGTTGACTTGTTTCTTGTCTCTTGGTCTTGTCAGAGGCAGCGACTGGGAGTGTTTTCCTACTTAGCACTTGGGGTGGCTACGGTAAAATAATTAGATAGCCCAGACAAGCTCATAGTGCGCTAGGCGAGCGCGTAAGTGACGACTAGACACAGGAAGGCGGTCATGAGCTACTTGCAATCAAATTGGCAGCATGACCAAACATCCAGGCTGAGTGCAGCTGGTAGACATAGATCAGCACAGCAGACACACCAGCACCCCAACCACTGCTCTGTGGGCAGTACTTGAGATTTTCGACACGGGAAGAAGCAGTTGTCGGGGGGGAACTACTTGCAGACAGACCCGTTTGCCTCTTCCAGAGACTGTCACAGTTTCAGCCCTAGTGCATACGCCATGACCTGCGTGAGGGCTGCTTTCCTCTAGCCAAGTAAGACACAGAGCGCATGTGTGTTTTCTTAGTGTCATTTTATTTGCAACTGTGTTTGTTTGCTGGTTTGTCTGTTTCGCGTTTTGTATGCAACATATGTTGCTTGCTTGATTGCTTGTTTGATGGTTTGGTTGCTTGACTGGTTGTTTGCGTGATTGATTTGTGTGTTTCTTTGCTTGCTTGCTTGCTTGCTTGCTTGCTTGCTTGCTTGCTTGCTTGCTTGCTTGCTTGCTTGCTTGCTTGCTTGCTTGCTTGCTTGCTTGCTTGCTTGCTTGCTTGCTTGCTTGCTTGTTTATTTGCGTGTTTGTTCGTTTGTTTGTCTGTTTGTCTCTGTCTTTGTCTCTGTCTTTGTCTCTGTCTTTGTTTCGTTGTTTGTTTGCTTTGTTTGTTTTCTTGTTTTCTTGTTTGTCAGTCTGCCTGTCTATCTGAGAAGTTCATGCTCGGCAATGTGCTATGAGCGTCCCGCCATGGCCCAGGGGCCCAGACCTCCAACGGTGCCTGTGTTTCCTTTTGTTTCTTGAGAGCGGGGGGGGGGGGGTCGTTTCAATCTGGATGGGCGTTGATTCACTGAGTTGCGAGGACGCGCCGGAGGCACGGGGAGAGCACAGTGGGGGGGGGGGGTCTTGGGAGCAGCGCCCAAGTTCGTATCACCAAAGCTGCATTTTAGGCAGCTGCAGAGGTACTCAGGATTTAAGGCATCAACTGAGCTGCAGTGAACTGCATGTTCTGTCAGAGGCGCATCGGCATCCTGCGTTAGGCTGCTTGAAGCGCACACCTCCGACTGGGGCTATGAGAGCATGAGCGGCCGAGCAAGTAATCAAGAAACAAGTATTGACCCGATCAGAATGCCATAAAAAGTTGAGATACCCGTTGGGATTTCTAGTTGGAGCTGGAGCTCTTCAAAGCGTCGCAACGTGAAGGGGCAATCAAGGATGCCTGCCACCCACCCTGGCTTTGCACTCCCGGGGCTTGCCCGCCCGTGACGTGCTCCAAGGTCATAAATCTAAGTGGGCGGCTCGTCTTTTCGTAGGGACCCTCCAAAATAACTTTGGTTTTCCTTTTGGTTTTCCGGTGTGTCCATTTGGCGGGTTGGTACCCTTTTGGGTGTCGTTCTAATTGGCGGCCACATGGCAGCTTGTTCCATTTACTCGTTTTTGTTTTTTTTTGGGGGGGGAAGAGTGTCCCCTTTCAGAAGCAATCCGGACCAGTGTTTGTTGTGTTTTTTTTTGGGGGGGGGGGTGGTGGTGGTGCTGGTGGTGTAGCTCAAAACTCCGCCAGGACATGGCCTTTCAGAAGGCCAAGCCTAAGGCGCGATCCGAGGGTTTGATGGCTACGTACGAGGAAGGGCTTCAGGTGACGCCATGGTTCGGTTGTAGGAACTTAGAGTGAAATCTTGTTCTGTTAGCGACTTATCGAATGGTACAGTTACAACAGTTGCATCACTGCTTTAAAGCAATTGTTGTGTTTCGTTTGCCAAGGAGTGCTCATGTCTCTTCCCACATGCGTGCGTGTAGAGGCGGCTGTGTTTGGGTATGGCGTGTCAGCACAGGGGTTGCTCCTTTTGCTGCAGTAAACCAAGGCCAAAAGGTACAACAGCTGTTTGGTCCAAATCCCTTGACAATATCTCACCTGCCCGAAGACAAAACCTTTTGACCATTCAGTTCCCCCTTTTTTTGGTCCACTAGAAAGGTTAGCCGTGCCTGGCCGATGGGGTCCGACAAACAGCAACCATAAGAGCACGCCGAGCACGGTCGGGACAACCCAATTTCGGACCGGCTGGAGACTTGAGGTCCCAAAGCTCGAAGCCACAACTTTTTTCGGGATCATGCTCAGCAGTGCCGATCAGCCATGCCGAGCTGTGTTGAGCTGTGAGACTCAGGTGCCCTTATTATGTCCTCTCAGGTGGTTTCGAAAAAGAAAAACAAAAAACACGGGCATTGTGAAGCTAATCTGTTGCGGGGGCTGTTTTTTTGTTGTGCCGGGGGGCGGTGCAATGCAAAGACTTGTGCAAACTGCACTACCTCAGCCTCTACACCAAGGCAACTTCCTACCCAACCAGAGTTCAGGCATGATCAATCAGGCCAAGTTCTCATTTTCAATCCGCACTTCCCATTTCTTTCAATGTCCTGTTCACCAACTCACTTCTTGAGTTCTTGGACTTTATATCCTTTTGGGAAGACCATGTTACTGGTAACAAGAAGTTCGGTTCATTTTTTCAGCTCCACTCAGGAAGTCGGCCAAAAGCTCCAACTCCATGTTAGCTCCTACGCACCCTTTGTAGATGTTCTCGGGGTCCGTTTCTTCCCCATGCCTCGAAATCTGCGGCCACGACTGCAAGGCGAAAGGCGGCCTTTGTGGCCGGCAGACTCAGACCTGGGGTTGCAAAATGGGGGATCCCCGCCCCCCTTTCGGCCGGTTTGAAAGGAATCCAAAAGGGAAGGATGGCTTGAGGCCAACCATTTTTAGGGGTTCCTGTTTGAGAACCCGCTGGAGATGGCGCATTGCGACGCGACCAAACACCGGATAAGTGAAGGTAGGGCACGGTCCCAACAAGAAATCAACCTGGCCTTTGGATTCTGTGCATGGCTTTGGGTAGACCATTGTAAGACAGTATATTCTTAGTTTTGGTTGTGTGACTCATCTGACGATTCAAGAGCTGATGAAAATCCGTTGTTGGAGGTTCCCTTGTTCTTTGGAGAATCGGTTTCGGAATGATAATTTGCCCACATGGCATTATTATTTTGACGAGAGTGGACAGGGTTTTCGTTGGAGGCTTGTTCCAAACCCATCAGGGTTCGTGTTGAGAGATCCATTTGGGACTTCGATCCTTGACTTTTTTGAGGACCTGTTAGAAGTCCATGTTAAGTGCTTTAGTTGGACGACACATGTCTTTCCCAGCACATCCTCAATTCAAACCCAGCCTATGAATGTGGCAATGCAGAGGTACAAGAGAGGTGGTACCAAGCGGCCGTTGGGCAAGCAATGTTACAGGCTTATCTCAAGCTTTTGTAAAATTGACAGAGCCACACCAATGGACCAACACTACGTTAACAATGGAGATGTTTGTCGAACGCGCTTTACATGTTACTCCCTAAACGGAGAGGTTTGTTCCTGCCTGTCCCAGGGGTTGCTGGGGATACCTGGAGTCTCCCTGACCCTTTGAATCGGTCCAGCTACCTAGACATGAACAGCACAGAGCAAAAAGGTTGCATGCAAAGCTGAGACACGTCCAGAACCACAACTTCCGGAGGAATCCGCTGTGAGAAAGGTCACTTCGTCGCAACTTATGGCAAGTACTCCCAGCATATTGGCCTGAATTCTATCACCATCTTTTTTGTATGGGGGTCCTCCATTGTGACCCTCCGTTTGGGTTTCATGTCAATTTGAAGGGGAGATGTCAATTTGAAGGGGAGGGGACTCAAACATGTGTTGCTCAATTGGTGGCCTATTGCCATATCATCACTTCAGGTGATGTGTTGTTTCACGTTTGCGGAAGATCGGCTTTTAGATTGCCACTTTCTGTCAGTTGCCCAGGAATTCCCTGAGTGATAAAGTAGCATTGGAATCAGCAACTTTACGTGTCAAATAGGGAGACCCCTAAAATGTTGACTTCTCTGATGTTTTCCCTGGTGACCAACCAAAAAGGCAAAAAGGCAACCGTCAGAAAACCACTGTGGCAGCACAAGGGAGCAGCTCGGTTACCTCAGCATAGGTCCAACAGCAGCTTGAGCAGCGTTTTGAGACGCACATCCCAAATTTGCGGTTCGGTTAGTGTCCATTGGTCCTTTTGGTAAAGTGGTGGCGCTCGAAATGACCCGTTTCTCAAAACGGTGGAGTATAGGGAAGCCAAAAGGAGACCAACCAGCTGGAGGGGTCCCTGTTTTTGAGAAACACCCACATCATTTCTTGAGAAACACCCCCTCAGGCAGAAAGTCTACGGAGGCGCGAACTCTCCGAGTCGGCACTCAGCAGACTCTCAGAGTTTTCTGGGTGCCTCAACATAGCGACAGCGGTTTTCCTTGTCTTGCTGCTGCGATAGGTAGGGAATGAGGGAATGAACCTGGGGATCCCCTTAAAGGAAACCATAGGGGATGGTTTATAGGGGTCATTTCCTCATTCACCAGCGAGTTGTGTTTCCCTTTTGAGCCATTCCAACTCAAAAGAAAGGACACGCCCATACCAAGTTGAGGCGGCTTCGCCTGCAAAAAATACGCCGGGCTTGGTATTCTTAAGATTCTTGCAAGGCGGATGTCCTTCTCGATCTTGTGGCCCTCGAAGAACTACGAGTTTTAGCCGTTGGGTGGCACGCGCATTTGGAAGCACCTGGTTTGGTCGGCCGGCGTAAGTCATCACTAAATTAGGTAACACTCCTGGCGGCTTGCTAAATTTCCGGCGTACTTTGAATATTGTTCATGTTGGCTTTGCCGTTGCCCTTCGGGAACTCCCTTGGTGTTGTTGTCCTGTCCCATTTGCCGTTGCTGAAGCGGCCGACTTGTGGGACGTTGACGTGACAAAGCCGTCGGAGATGGTAAGCAAAGCTCTCTGCAATGTCGTATCAAACAAGAGGATTGTCATCAATTTTCAACACAGCAGCAAAAGGACCAGCTTGTAAAAGTAATCTGAATTGGTCAATGTCTTGAGGGTGTTGTTTTTTTTCTAGAACCCCCACCTTTGGTTGGGTTTAAAGGACAACCATTGGGACAACCTACGTCCCAGTTTGGAGCGAGTTGGGTGCCAACCTGCAAACATACCAGGCTGCTGCAAAGGAGGACGAGCTGGACAGAGAGGAGCCATGGACGAAATTACGCCACCAGTTAGGTGGTTTGTCCCCTTCCATTGGCGGCAAAATTGTCAGTCAATATATGTGCCCCGAGTTGGCAATCAACTTCAAGGGAGCGGGAGGTTTGGTCTCCGTCTCATTTGGTTGGAAGACTACGGTTCTGGGGAAGCCCCGAAACGCCCACTTCTACGACTCTCAACTTGATGTTAGTGTCACTGGGAGTTCTATACTCCGATGCTTGGCTGGCATTCTTGTGGCCGCTATCGCAGGGCTTCCGTTTCTGTGCTCCACTGGTGGCCAAACCGGATTACACGGCCCTAAACAAATTGAATGGGCTTGCGGGGCGTTGGACAACCGAATTGAGTCATGATCAAAAACCAGTGTGCACTTGGTTAGCCCTTCACATTGGTACCAGGACTGACAAGCTTTGAAGAAATTACCAAGTTGTCGGACTTGAGGTGCCGCCTTTGCAAAACTTTGCACCCTTTCCAGCTCCCAGAAGGACTCAACCGGGCCGGATCACTCGGCCATCAATATCTGAAGGATGTGTTCCTACGGATCAAGTCCCAACCCCAAATCCTCCTACCTCCCGAAGTGCGGTCCAGATCTCATTCGGGCCAATGATTTCAGAAGCGCCACTGAGGAATCAAAAGCAAAGGAGACAGAAGCTTCGCAGCTCGCCGAAAGGAACTTGACCTTCGGGCTAGCCTCGACGTGTCAAAGGAGTGGTGGGAGTGCGACGCTGCATGTGTGGCCAAGCAGCGAGTTCTTGGGTTTGCATCGGACAAGCTATGCTCAACATGTTTGTGTTGGAATGATGTTTGTCCATGCAGGGTACTTTAGTAGTTGGTTCTACTACCTGGTGTCATCGCGATTATATTGATTGTGGGTCCCTGCCTAATTTGTTTTGCCATGTTGCGTATTCATTTCAATTTGCTCAACATGGTTTGTAGCTTGCAGAGCTTCGAAGTGTCCTGTTCTGGATAGTCATGGTGCTCTTGCAGCAAGGTTGCAAATACGAGGCGCTGCGCGATGCAGTAGCCATTCAATGAGGTGATCGAACGCGGAAAAAGTTGCCGCGAATCCATCACGTCAAGGGCCCACGAAGCCCAGGATAAAGTGGGGTAGCCAAGCAAGGACCATTTCTGATTGACCGGAGCGGGTGCTACCATCCAAAGGCTGCGGCACTTGGGCAAAAAGTGCGCTTCATCAAAACCCGGGCAGATGAAGGTTAGTCATGGACAATCTCCATCAGAAATGGGTGCTTCCGCCTTTTGAACTTGGGTGAGATGTTTAAACAAAGCATGCAAGGGCAGTTTGCACCTTCGCTGGCTCAGGCCAGAAGATGAGGCCAAAGCTAAAGCGGAAGAGGCGGCTAAGGCCAAAGCGGCCAAGGAGGCCAAGGAGGCCAAGGAGGCCAAGGAGGCCAAGGAGTCCAAAGAAGCCAAGGACTCGCAGAGTTGGTTGGTCCAGCATGTTCTTGCAATGGCCACATTTGGTCGGGGGACAAAGATCATGCGAGGCGGTTGTTTGCAAGAGGGGTGGATCGCCGCAAAGCCAAGGACGCCAAAGAAGCCAAAGCCAAGGCCAAAGCTAAGGCTGGCAAGGGAAATGTGCGTTTCAGAATAGGCGCATGGACCCAAAAAATGTGCGGGTGTTCCTTTTGGACTCCATTTGTGCTAAACTCATTTAACCCCAAAAAAGCTCGCACAAATGCGAGAAGGTTCTTTCAAATGCATGGGTTCTCGCATTGAAGAGCTCTATATAATTGTTACAAGCAAAGCACAGTGACAATGCGCGACAGTATTGTGAGCTTACTCGGAAAAAGCGGCCCCCCCAAAAAGGCGTTTGCTCTAGGCATGGTGGTTGTTTGGGTCGGACTCAGGGAGTACAGCTAGTGAGCTGCTTGAGGCATCGTCAGGATTGCTGTAGCCTAGTAGCGGGACGACTTGAGGGATAGATGCCCGTTGCAGTTGCTCAGGCCGTCGGTTTCTGGGCCGTGCATGGCTATGCTCCTTTATCTGATCCTAGCGTACCTCTCCAAGCGTCAATTTGGTTAGACTTAGGACTTATGCGTGCTACATTGTGCTGAGGACCAAAGCTAAAGCAAACGATGGAATCTTACAGGTTTTGTTCCAATCACTAGTAGTGCTTGGGACCGGTGTTTCTGGAGCACAAGAAGGATCTCTAAGTGCCTGCTTTGACAGCACGAGCTCAAGCGCACGGCTATGTTTCTTTGTTGGACAACTCGCTGGACATAGATACCCAGGCATGTCCATGTAAATGCTGTCCACCAAAGGGTCCTCAACTTTCCTTGTTTGAAAGAACTGCCACGGGGGTTGGGGGGGGGGAAGAAGTGGGGTGAGGGTCGCCCTGTGGCACCGTGACCAGGCCAAAGCAAAAGCCAAAGCCAAAGCACGCGGGTTGGGGATGCCCAGCGGGTGGGGCGCGCTCGTCCAAACTCTTGATATGTTTGTTTCTGAGGGACCAATATTTTGTTTTTTGTCAGGAAAACCATGACAACCAACATAGGTCAGGAGTATGAACGTCAACCACTCAGGAATTGGACTTGGTAGGTTTTTCAATGCAGACTTGTGGACGACTTGTTGCCATTGCGTTGGGTGTGTGGTCTCTTGTTAGGAGACCTGCTGTCTTAGCACAGCTGTTACGCTTTTGCGCGGCACTGAACGACGAGCAACTGTAAGTGCTCAGCTCAGAACAGCAGCCAAGTAAAGCAACAAGTATGATGGTGAGTTGCTATATGCATATAGAATGTTACATTATAATACATATATATATATATGTATGTATACGTGATACGTAATTATATTATATGTGACGTGTGTAAAGACCCCCCGGGAGACAGGTAGCTATGCCCAACACGCATCTGTTGGCTAATGGTGTGTTTTCCTCAATTTGGGAGATCAATCCTTTGAGAGAGGACAGATTCCTTTCAGCAGTAAACATTTGAGCTGATTGCATCCTTGTCTGTAGAGCCTAATGATTGTTGGCGCCATTGGCGGTTTGCTTGAACGTACGGTTATGTTCGTGGGAGTACAAGTTGTACCATGTGCACCATGCCACATGAGAAGTTGAAACCTACCATTTTGGGGATCTCCTCATTTTGACACAAATCCCTAGCTTGCTGTTGCAAGCCAAGCACAAGCCGTAGAAACAGAAGATGAACAGCCCTGACATGGCGTGCACCTCTTGACTCATCATTTTTAGGCATGTGCGCAAAGCTGCGCTGCTGCTTTCGAACGCCTGTGGCTGTCACTTGTGCTCCTTTCAGAGGAAAATTGGAGCTCCCAAACCTGCCTCCAACATCTAGCCCACGTGACTCTGTGTATGCGGCTGGGGAGGTATGTGACTTCGGGGACAGTGTTGCTGTTCTTTGTCTCAGCCGATATTAGAAGAACATGGAAGCGCCCACGCCATTCCTCCGATCAAGAGACACACTTTGTGGCTGATACTTTGGGAGTAGAAGAAAGTAGCGGCAGAGGCAGAGGCAGCAGCAGCAACAACAGCAACACATGTCTCTTATCAGTTCTCAGATGGCAAGGCTGCTTCCATCTTCGCCCGGCCGAGGCGTGCCTTATGTGGGGCTGCGCCTGTGCAGTTCCTGTCCTTTCGCCAGCTGGGATGCCCAGAGCGCTTCAGACGTCCATAGGCCTGGGATGCGTTCTGTTTGTTTTAAAAAAGAAGAAGAAACAAAAACATGGGCTCAGCTCAGCAACTCCGTTGACTTTCGACTTGGCGGTGTTTGCTGCTGGGAACATTCCCCGTTGTTTTTTGTTTGTTTTCCCCACAGCTGAAAGCTACGGTGTCCCTGCCAACATCGACTTCTGGCATGTTTCGGAGCAGCTTTCAGGGAGGGGTTGTGGCGGGTTGCAGGGGGTGGGGGCTGTTGGGGATACCACCTATTAAGCCACAATCAAAACCCGAGATGAAGGTTGGTTCTGGTTAGACGAAGGCTGGTTCTAGTTAGATGAAGGCTTGTTCTGGTTTGGTCCCGGTTTAATCCCGAGAGAATCCCAACCATACATGGGTGCAGCCGCCTTTTTTACTGTTTACATGGTTCTTGGTAGACATTTTACCCTCTACAAGAACCAGGGTGTTTGGAAGCCAGCGAGCCAAATGCTGTCTGGCAACCAAGTGCCCCTGTGTTCACGCTTACGATTCTTTCTCACACACCAGTTGGAGCACGAAGCTCCGCAAAAGTTGTGGAAGGCACATTCATGCGTCCCGTTCACAGCAAGGTAGTAAAAGGCGAAAGATTGGTGCGCCATGAAGTTTATTCGGAGTTACCTGGGCGGAAGGGGGCTGGCTGGGCGAGGGACCATTTTACTACCCATTTGAGCTTTACCCAGGTGAATACCCATCTCAACACATGATTCTGGGTTTACATGATTGCGAGCTCGCCCCTCTCAGTTTTTGGCTGCTTTTCCGGACGCGAGGTGGAGCCAATGGCTCCTGGCCAGCGAGGTGCTGCCGCCCGCGCTGGCATCAGCTGCCCAGGAAGCCAAGCCAGGCGCGCGTTGGCCGGGGGGGGTCCTCAGACCGGTCCTGGGTGGCTTTAAAGGGAAGCCGAAAGGAAGCGACCCATTTGAGGTTCCCCCTATTTTGAGAAACATATGGGGGCGTCGTTTTGACGTTTTGGGGGAAGCCAAGAGGAAAACACACCGTTTTGGGGTCCCCTAGAACAAGACAGACCCATATCTGAACCCGTCGCCATGCTGGTTTCCCCAAATAACTCCACCAACGCTGAAACAAGCAGCAAACTACTTCGTGCCTTCAGCCGCTGAGACTCGCGTTTGCTCTCTCGTTGGTTGGTTCGTCTCAGCGCCCTCAAAAACGTTGGACAGCCTTTAGAATCACAGCGATCTTCTGGAAACCCAACTGGAAAACTGGGAGACCAATCTCATCTGGTGCAAGAGGATGTCCACACCAAGAGAGTTCCCCCAAAGACAACGTACAGCATATGGGAACTGACGATTTTTTCTACTAGGGTCCTTTTTTGGAGCCTGCTTCATTGGCCACACCAAACTCCCTTAGATGAGAACCCTATTCTTGAACACACCATGATAAGGTTTGGGAGCCGTCCTTTGGATTGCGCAGAATTGACGCACCCCTCGGCGATTGGTGTGTTTTTTCCCACCCACCTTTGAATTAAGTGTGCTGCCTTTTCTCCTCTCTCACTTGCTGCTCCCGCAAGCGTGACACTGCTCGACTGCTTGCCCTAGTTTCGCCAATGTTATGTACAAAAGCCGTGCTGGCTTGTTTTTGCAGACAGGAGTTGCTTCGAAGGACTGCCATGTTCCACCGTCGCATAGAGATCGGCTGAACAGCCCTGAAGCAAAACCACTGCAGTTCGCTTTTCGGGACCTCGACAAAGTCAGAGGGAGCCCGCAATTCTCCATGGCCGCTGCGTTTGTTTGCCAGGTGGGTTTTTCGCAGAGCGGGGTTGTTGTATACCAAATAATCAAAGGACGCATGTTGGCGCCTTTGTCGAATCCCTTTTGAAGCGGCCGATTCATATGGCTAGAACAAGTTCAATTATCAATGTTGCGCTAGCTTGCTTCGCGTTCTTTGCACTGCTTTCAGGATCCCTCCCGTTCTGAAACTGCTACACTTCGATAGTTCTGGGATGAGTCTTGTGATCTGGCTCAACTCAGCAACACCATTGGCTTCAGTTGGCGGTGGGCAAGCCCAGCCACCGTTTGCAAGAATCACCGTGACTTTTTAGACAGCAGCCCATCTATGTCAATGATGTCAATGATTGGCAAGAGGGCACTGTGTTTTTGAGGGTACACCCTTTTTTGGGCGGGTGTGTTTTACAGGGAAACACCAAAGTCCATTTTCCGGGTTTCCCATTTTGACCCACCCATTGTTGTGTAAGTTCCTTTGGGCCAAACTGGCGTGCATTTCTTTGCTTCTCGGCTGAGTTGCACGGCCACTTCCAGCAGAAGCAGAAGCAGGAGCTGGAGCAGAAGTAGGAGCAGGAGCAGAAGCAATCGTTGGGGGTTGCTTCTAAATGGGTTTTGTTTTTTTTTGGGAAGAAGGCAACCCAATCTGGTGTGGCTTTGAAAGGGAAGCCAAAAGGAAGACCATTGTGGAGGGACCCATTAAAGAGACACACCCAAATGAGGCAGCCCCGAAAGGTGATAAGGCATGTTGCATGTTGCTCACGTCGATGAAAATCACCAGCTTGCTGACAATGGACCCTGGACCGAACGAAGACCGATGCATTCGGATGCATGTGTCAGGACATATCAGGACCTTCATGGCATGTGAAATATGTAGTCATGCCCTGCAGATTTAGCGACTTCTTCGGCAGTCCATTGCCACACACTGCCGCACATATCATTGTGGGTTGGAATCAGAGCTACTGGTGGTGATATGAGCCACAATCAAAACTCGGGATAGATACAGGTTAGCAAGGGACAATCCCAGCCATAAATGGGGTTGTTTTGCATTGTTTTTTGGTAGACAATTCTGTCTAATGCCAGGTTTTGATTATGACTCATATGCCCTGCAACACATTTGACATCGCGAATTATATGCAAGTAAACATCATCGGCTCGGATGTTTGCGTGCCTGCAATAAATGTTTGTTTGTGTTTGATCTGGTGATCAGAATAATTTAGGCAAGACATCAGGTTTCAGTCGAAGAACCATGTAGAATGCCACCCGAGTAATCGAACGATTCCTGAACGATACGCTTCTTTGTTTGTTTGTGGAGGCTACCCATTCGTTTGTTTTCAACGAAAGCCAAGAAGCCAACCTTTTGGGGTTCCCCGCTTTGTTTGAAGCTCTGAACGAACGTCGAGTCGAGTGCCGGCTTTGGCTCGCGAGGCGCACTTGTCCCAGTGTCCCGGTCGCCAGCTGCGTCCGGCACAGAGAAAACTTGGGACCTTCGCGGTCGTTGTTTATTGGCAGCCACCAGAGGATCCGTGACTTTTAGAGACAAATGGTCTTCCACCCCTCAGTCAGGTTCCATGTTAGTGGATAGGAGGGTGTTTGGTTGGTTGGGCTGGTTGCTTGTGTTTTGCTTGCTTCATTGGCTGCTTGCTTCCTTGTGCGTACTTTGTCGACTGCATCTTTGGATTCGGATGCTTGCAGGCTTTTTGACTTTCGAGAAGCCTCATGTCGAAGGAAACCGCCCAAGTTGGCGTTTCCTCTGTTTTGGGACAAACCCATATCTCAAGCTCTCGAGATTTTGAGACAGTCACAAGGTCCTTTCGTGCATGCCGCAGCTGAAACGCTGATTGCCGCTTTCACCTCAATCAGATGCAGCTGGACTCCTTCAAACGCTTTGGTGACACATGTTTGTCGCCAGATCCTTTGGCCGTCAGCTTGGGGTTTCCGGATTGTGGGAAATGTCACTGGGGGCGGTGTGCTTTCCGCAATAGCAAGATTTGGGTAAGTTAGTTCCCAGTGGGCCCTTTCAAATGTGCTTGCCCACAACAAATTCTGAACGTATCTAAAACCGTGCTGCCCTGTGAGAAGCTGTCAAATCCAAAGCCATGCGACGCGAACGCAGAATGAATCCAGAGCTCGGATATGCTTCAAGCAGAGGCTTCACGTACGGCATTTGTGAGTTCACCCCTTCAACACATGAAAGTGCACCCCCTTTTGGAAGGCTAAGTTCCTTTTGCAAAGGGGGCCTTTGCCAGGGTTGCAACATGTGTTTCAAAAACCAGACCCAGGTGCTCTTTTGCAAGCCAAAAGCAGGTGTCACCAGTATTACAGTATGAGTCTTTCTCATTGGTGGACGTTTTGGTATTTGAAGGGAAACCAACCGGAAACTGCGGCCTTTCTTTTTTGGGACCTTCTACTAGAGGAACACCACCACAGCTCTTTGGATACGTAGGAGTTTAGTTTGGACATGGGTAAAACTTGCTGGTCCTCAGCAGAGAATGAGTTCGAATACCTCGCATTTACCATCCCCTATGGCTTCCCTTTTGGGAATTCCAAGGTTCCTTCCCAAACCCTGGGTCATTCCCTACTGAGCTCCAGCAAGAAAAGCAGTTCGCTCATGTGCGCCACGTGGTTTCTTAGGTCCGAGGACACCCCGGAGGACACTCCGTTAGGCGAAGCCTTGGACGGTCCAGCGGATTGTAGAAACCCGCTCTTGCAGGTGTCCTTTTTCGAGGGGTTGATTCCCCATTTGTTTCAACCATCGTTCTTTGCGATTACCAGCCATTTTCCCTGGGTTTCCGGAGGTTTCTGGAAAGAAGGATCCCTGGAAAGAATAGGGAAGGTACCCCTAGACTTTTGCGGGAAGGATTGCCTTAAAAAGGTATTGTTGTTCCAGCTGGGAAGGGGGTTTGGGCTAAGAGCATGCCACCTGCTTCCCAGAATCAGGCTCGCCCACCTAAAAGGGGAAACACATGCCTGTACTTCCAAGTCCTAAATCAGGGTGCAAGTGTTCCATGTGCTAAACAACAAAAGGAGAATCATGGTGCGCTCAAACAAACACACACCCAAATGATTGACTTGCGAACTTTGACGGGCAAGTGGGTGTAGCATTGGGCCAAGCAAGCAGAGAATCGACGAGCTTGTGAGCCGCGGAGGTGCAACATTATTCTTGCGTTTTGTTTGTATCCGAATTGACAATCAACACCTAGAAGGTTGGTAAGGGACTTATCCCAACCAGAAATGAGTACAGCTATTTGCCCTGTGATTGTTTTATCTCTCTTTCACGAGCATGGCAGCTGACAGGGAATCCCGTCAAGACGAATTGATTTTCCAGGTATCCTCGCACAGGTGCTATGTTTGTGGGAGGAAGGGTACACGGATTTGGGTAGATTACGTTTCTGTTTGAGGCCAGCGCTGTGGATGAAATTGTGAGTCGGTCTGGAAGCTAAGGTGCGTGGGATTTGTTTGGCGGCCATGAAGAACATTTCATCTTACGAACCGGAAACACACAAACTAAACGTGGCTCTGGGTTGATTCTAGGTTTGGGGCTTCCCCTGTGAGTAGCAAGTTAAATGGCAAACTGCGCAGTATTGGAGGAGCAGGCAGTGGCCAGCATCCTTGACCAAATGTATAAGTTGACAGAATCGTGTGTAATCACATACGTTTTCCTTGCTCATCCGTACTAACCACTTTGTTGTACCAGCGCGCATTTGCAAAGACCTTGTTTGGGCGGGCGTTGGCTTGCCTAGGAGACCCGAGCCGTTAGAGCACACGGGTTCCAGAGTGCGCCAACTGATATGCGACATCCAAGAGCCGAGGTTACATGCCATCCTTGCCAGGCATGTTACAGCCACTTCTGGCCAGCTGAGCGAAGCCGGCGGTAGGCTTGCAAGCGATTTGCCGTTGGAGCCTTTCCGTTGCAAGAAAGATCACACCAACAGATGGGTCGGGGAGCATTGCAACGTCTAAGGGCTCAACCACGTGTCACCTGGGTTCGTGGCTGTGCACACATACACATGTTGTTAACAAATATATATATATATATATATATATATTCATATGTATATTCATATATACATATGAATATGTATGTGTATGCAGTAAAACCGAACTTACTAGTGAGCGGATATGTAAAGGGATTATATCAGAGGTACCCCCGTGGTCGATCCCCTAGACAACGCGGCAACGAACATTGTTCTGCGTGATAGGAAAATGAATGTGCCTTTGGGCAGGGAAGATGCTGGGCTTTGAGCCCAATCTTCCTAATCGCTTCAGGCGTTTCGTTCATGTTCCGCGGCGCTGCAAGATGTGGCGCCCTGCCGCACAGCTGATTGAAGAGATGGAGAGCCAGGCTGCCCATGTGAGCGTGCGAGCGAGACCGTTTGAGCTTGCGTGGATCAAAACGACATACCTGCATACCCATACATGAGCGACTGATATAGGGGCACAACTCTTTTTTGTTACACAACAATCAGGGGGACAGCCAACTTCCCCCATGTCCTCTTTTCGGAACACATATTTTTTGTTTGTGGGTCATATTTATCATCCATTACGAAGCTCACCTGCTGCAGCTTCCGCAGGGAGTGAGACGGTCACTGCAGTGCTTTTCTGCGGACTGGCAGTTGCAACGGTTCAGCAAATGAATCTGCCTATTTTCCATCGAGACCTGGGATAAAACGAGCTCACCCATCATGAAGGTCCTTCACTTGCGTGTTCCTCCGTTTTCCAGTGTTCGGAATGATTATAACATATATGCAGATGGCAAAGCTGTTGATGGAGGAAACCATGCACCCCTCGTTGGTTTTTCTCCTTTATTGCAAGATATTTAAGTTTCATGAATTCTTTTGACCACTGGTGGCCCTGCCAGGTTCAGTAGAGAACGTGAGTATCGCTGGGCTGCACAGCAAGCAAGGATACCACTATGGTTTTTAGAAGGGGACCACCTCTAAAGTGAGTGGACGTAATTAGTTTCCATGATGTTCACCAGAGGGTCCAAACACTTAAACTTCAGACCCACAAGTAGTATGCAGGAGCTGGTATATGCGGAATCCCAATGCACCCCGTCGCATGGTTTAGAGTACATGCGCTGACGTAAGCAAAATCCAAATGGGCCAATGGGTGGTTCTCAGACTGGTTGCCTAAACCAGGTGGTTTTCCTTCAACTAGCCAACAGGGGTCCGCCCCGTTTTGAGAAACCTCCAAATCAGTTGTGTATGCTTTATTGGCTGGTTCCATTGGCTGAACCCTTGCAGTGTACAATAAGATGCCCAGCTGCACGGGCGCCGTCCAACGCCGATGGTGCTGTGTCAAGAGGGGAAATGATTTGCGGGGCTGAGCCTGGCTGGACTGGACCAGGGCGGTTTTTCAAATTTGGGTCCCCTGCAATGATTGGTGTCCTTTGGGTTTCCCTTCAAAAACTGGTACCAAAAACGGGGTCCATCAGGTACTGAAGCTCTCAGTTGACGTTCATGCTGAAATTGACGAATATAGACCAGTTGCTGTTTGCCGCTGGATCTTGAGGGCGTCAAGTGAGCTTCATTTGGACAGGCGTGCGTCACTTTGCGCCCGGCAATACTTGCTCGAAATGGATTTCGTTAGGACAGCAATCAAGATCCTTCCCTTCACCCCTTCTTTTCGTCTCGTCCGTGGTGTCAATATCGGGGGACCCTTCATGGTGTTCCTGTTGCGCCACTCGAACAGGGAACCCTCAACAAACTTGGGATTCACGGTGTGCAAGTGGCGTATGTGGCTTGATAGCCGCAGAGTTGTCCATCAACCTACGGCCTGTTCTGCATCGAAACATTTGAAAAAGCCGGCAATGGCTTGCCACGGGGCTTCGAGCAGCTTTTACCGTGCGCGTACTGGTTACGGATCAGCATGCTTATCATTTGATTTCGAAGTTGCTGGTGTTTGGAGGTGTCAGTTTAAGCCTGACCTTCCGTTCTTACATGTGAATACCACTTGCGAGATGCGTATTATCATTTGGGTTCTTAGGTGCTGCTGCCATGTACCACCAGATGTCATCTTTAGAAAAGCTTTCCAAGTGTTCAAGTCTCTTCGTCAAGAAAGTGTTGAATGTGTACCTGAAATGGTGTCCAGACGGGTCCGTTTGTCAGCTCCACCAGTTAGTTAAAGTGCTTCCATGACAAGCGGTTGCCCCGTGGCGCCAAATTTTGGATTCCCAAAGACTCATTCTCCATTCCCAGTCCCCTTGTGCGTGGGGAAATATGATTTGGAGCGGGGGGTCCGTCCTAGGGGCCAGGTTTCTTCTGTGACTTTGATTGGGACAATGGGGGAAATGGGAACCCGCCGGAATTTTCTTTCCGTTGTTGGGGGGTCAAAGCCACTCCGCACCTGAAACTAAAAGTGAGCAGGCGCCCAACGTCCAAGCCGCTCAAAAGTTGCTCCCACGGCACATTACGCGAATTGGGCCCACTCACTGTGAGCTTCCTCGGCGGGTGTGAGGGGAAATATATGGGTGTATCCTTTTTAGGCAGGGAACTCACCAAAATGATGGTTTTCCTTTTGGTTTCCCTTTACAACCTACCAAAACGTGTACCAACTCCAACAAAGACGAGCCACCCATATCACCCCAACCACCAGTTCGTTTGCTCGCCAGGCGGTTGGTGAGCGGCGACGCGAAGCGCAGCACATCAACCGTGTCCTGACACAAAACAGGGCGAGAAAAGCGTCTTTTCTCTCGGGGGCAGTTTGTTGGTGGCTTTGAGGGATTTGCTTTTGTGGCTTGAACTACCTGGCGAATCCCAGCCATTTGAGTCTTTTGGAGTGAGGGAGTTACAAAGTTGGACGGGGCAAGGCTCAGCCTAGATCCGTTTACTTTGGGCAACCAAGAAAAGCACCAATGAAAATCCAACAAGAAAGTTGGATGGCTATTTGTAGGGGGCTTGCCCATCCACAGGAATGATCACGCTCGCGTCTCGCCCTGTCGCGAGTTGCTTTGAGCATGGGATTGAAGAAATCCTGGGCCAACATGGTGGGAAGGGAGGGTAACATGGAGGGAAGGTGCCGTGGTTGGTTATGTTGTCGGTGGCAAACAGAGTGTTTCTTGTCGTGGTTGCAACACCCACCAAAAGGGATTTGATTTTCATCAAAAACGCCGAGCCCTATTTCGGGTTTTCAGATCTTGTCGCAAGGCTCGCTCAGTGCCCTCGCCGATGTGATTTCGGCCAAGGAGACCGAACTTCGGATTCTCCAGTTCGGGACTTTTTGCTTTTATTGAGATGGGTGTTTCGTTTTTTGGCTTCCCTTTAAAAACCAAGCTTGAGAGTGTTTCCCGGCATAGTGGGCGGTTAGGCGGTGGTAAGCGGGTGGTTTGTGGTTGGCCAGTCACTGGGTGGTTCACCTTTGGGTTGCGCAAAGTTGGCTAGGAAAGGATAGTTCCTGATCGACTGCTTTATAGGCGGCTGTCAGCAATATGCAGGCGCCTATGTCATCTATGCATCTGATGTTTGACCGCACTCGGTCCAAAATGAAATGGGTTTGCAACTGCTTTGGCCAATCCAAGTCGAGCGCAGGAGCGCCGTGTCTCCCACGTGCCCTTCCGCAATTCCAAGCTGACGCAGCTGCTGCAGGCGGGGAAGCCGCTGTGCCGGTCTGCCCTTGGAGGGTGGGTTTATATTTGCGTCCCATCTCTTGAGCCACGGGTGATTTATGCAAAGCCGGGGACCCAAAGAGTTCCTGACACGGGATTATTTTTCGAAATCAACGGGTTCCAGCTCGGGCCGTTTGCGCATGCCGCCCTTTTTACACTAGGCGTCCGAGCGCATAGAGATCAGGTTTCCATTGCCCAAGGATGACGGTGCAATCGACCCATCACACAACAGGTCGCCCTTAGTTGGTGGGTTGGATTGTGGGAACTGGAGTTGATTTTGAACCCAGGGTGTTGTAGTGGGTTGGGAAACCACGCCCGGAACACCACCAAACCGGGCTCCAAACCACCAATTAGAGGAAAGCTGTAAAACGCACTCAGGTTCCCTGAGACACACTCTGGCGGGTTCCATGTTAGCAATTTCACTGACATGATGCGTCACAACCAGTGAAGGGACCCTGTCAGATTTGAATAGTGCATGTGTCTTAGGATCATGGCTGCGACAATTCCAGACATGCTGGAAAATGCTGGCCATGGAAGATGAAGAGATGCCGTTTTTGTATCCAGGGAAATAGTTTGGGAGCCAACAATATTTGAATGACGCATTCATTGCAAGGGGCTTGAGCACATGCGAAGCTTGGTCCAACACGAAACAACAACATGTCCGTGCTTTTGAAGTCTTTGGAGCCACAATATCAGGAAGGGAAGTGTGTAGGTTCTTCTTTTTGGTTGGGTTTAAATGCATTTAAATTCTTAACCCTTGTGCCATACGGTAGCGGTTTTCCGTGTTGTATTCGCCACGGACGTCGGATTTGGATTAGCCATTCACATTCAGCCAGGGGCTCCGAGCCGTTGAAGACGCAAGTTTCGAACGTCGCTTTGGTTTTCTTTCCCAACTACTTCCTCCCAAGTCCAAACCATGGTTGTTGTTGGGAAACATTTCACATCTGCGTTTATTGTGGTTTAGTGGGAAATCCCCACACAACTGCTAAAATTTCATTTTTTGCTGCCCTTCCAACGTCAACCAAGTAAACCCGTGGACCTGAGGCTAGTTGTTTCTTTGCAGAGCCCCACCCACCCACCCACCCACCCACCCGCCCGCCCACCCACCCACCCACCCATCCATCCACAGCCACCCAGTTCACAGGATGCCTTGGGTGGCGCTGGCCAATGCCGCACGGTGGTCATCGTGACTTTGCCGCCCACCAAGCAGCTCGGACGAGTCGTGGCCACCTTGGCTATGGACGCGTTATTCTCATAATTACTTTTGTGGGAGTGGCTTCATTTTAAACCGCCGTTTTGAGGTTGAACTTTGG